AGAAACACGCCGATGTGCACCAAATGATGGCCTGCTGCACACCTTTTGCCTTGCCCCTCGCCTCTTGCCCCTCGCCTCTTGCCCCTGCCCCTTCCCAAAGATTTTCCGCATTAATATTGCAATTTTATGAAAACAAGAACTTCGAACGAGCCGCGTCTCCCTGTCGCCGGTTCCAATTGCACCTGCCCATTTAGCACACGCCGCGATAGTGACAAGTCATTTTGAATACTCCCGTCCGGCGTCCTTTGGAAAAGGATACTTGCAAAGGATACTCCAGTGCAGTTAATTGCCACAAGAAGAATGCTCTACACACTTTTTAGTGTTCAATGGTTTCATGAAAAAGGGTAAGCGTATTTGTTTTTGGAGAGTATTATATCTTGGCTAAAGTGGAGCTTGTGAAATTACAAAAAAATATAAAATATTGGTGGAAACAAATAAAAAGTTCTTTGGAAATAAAAGTTTTCTGGAAGCAATTCAATTACTCAATTCATTAGTATTATTTATATTTAATTTTTGATGGAATTTAATTTTCAATTTCCTCCAACTGATTGTATGCCTAATATGTAAAGCGTAAAATATTTTAATAAATAAATAGCTTGTTTGCTTTAGCTTTCCTTTACATTTGCAGTTACAGCTGTCTCTCAAAAGCCAGTTCCTTCAAGTCTGGTTAGTGTATTTAGAGGGCTTTAATAATTGCAATGTAATTCGCAATTATTGGCTCCCCAGGGGTGGCTTTCCACTTGGCCACGCTGCCTAGATCAAGTGGCCCTTATAGCGAAGGGCGCTCGTTGGCGGGCTGGAAATTAATAACGTTATTTTCGCATTAGGAAGCAGCCATGACACAGGCAGTTATGAGCATTTCGCGTAATTACCGTAATTATTGCGTTACTTTTTTTTTACGTTTGCAAAAACCAAGCAACCCGAGTATAGATCTACGATCTTGACAACCCCGACGACGATCGGTGGCATCGGAGGGCGATTAGCCACTTCGAAAAAAGAGTCAGTTGCAGCGCCCCAAGGAGATGGAAGTTAAGTTCGGGTTGCAATTTCAAAAGCGATTATGCTAATTGACCCAGTGAGGAGTGGCTCTCCGTCGAGGGATATTACATCCAGCGACAGGGCACAATTTAGTGCAATTAATATGCCTCAAATTCGGTGTATATTTTGTAAGCGAATTGCCAGCATAAATGGACACCCTGCAAGCGGTCTGCTCTAAATAAATTGTAGGACCTCGGCGAATTTGCATGCCTACAAAATATAGAGTACAATAAATATTCAAATTTTATTTGGCCCCTTGTTCAACATCCATCAACGAAATGGAGAGCGAGACGCAGCGGAAAAAAACGAGAGAAATAAAACTTAAAAGCGTTAAATTTACGAGGTCTGGGCAAAGTGCTCGACACATTTATGGCCAAACATGGCCGGGCAAACTACGATTGGTCTTCTCTCTTCGGAAACTCTGGTGTGCTTTTGTTTTTTTTTTTCCAGCGGGAAGATTGAAGGGGGAACTGCTTCCATTTCGCATGCGCGCGCATTTAAATTCACTTCCGTTCTGGCGCAAATTGTTGTTTTTGTGTGTGTGTCTGCCTTTGAGTGCTTTGTGGGCTGCCATAAATTCATAACTTTGTGGAAAATCATAAAAACAGAATTTATGGCTTAATTATATATGTACACTCTCGGGAGCGAGGAGAGCAGAGCCAAGTGCACAATTGGCCTCGACTTGGCCATTTCTTTTTCTTCATTTCACGCTGATGATTAAGTGTTGCACACACTCCCACAGTCGATCACACCGATACGTACCAAAGCTGTCCAAAAACACTCAGAAATTCAAAATAAAATGATAGAGATTTCACTTAAAGGTATATTTTTATATTTATATTTTATACACCTTTACAATTTACAAAAGGCAGCTTAGTAAATGCAAACTGTGACTCACTTTGGATTGACAAATTCAGACAAAAGGGATCATTCTTTAACAAAAAAACAGGAGCCTCATTTAATTGTTAAATAAAAATGATTATTCATAAGCTTTAACAAGTTTTATTTAGTTTATCACTCTTTCATCAAATAATTAAGTTTGTGAAGCCTAAAATCTTAATTGTAGAAAAATGTCATTTCACGACCCAATAAATTTTAATTCTTATTAAATTTAATATTTTGGTGCTGCAATGCAGCAATCCTTTATTTTAAATACATTTTTTTCTGAGTGCGCCGACGCGGACTTTTTGCTGGCATTTATGCTTAAATGCGCTGCAATTGTTCTTAAAACGCTGCCAACCTGCACGCGATGATGGAAAACCTCAACGATTTTCATTTTATTCTGGCCATTGCTTGTTGTTGCTGCGGCGGCGGCGGCTGCTGCTCATAACTTGCAATTACGTGCAGCGTTTTCTTTTGTTTCTTATTGATTTTTTTGTTCGCTAAGGCGAAGAAACAAAAAATTGGGTTAAGCTGTTTTGCATTTGCATTTGCAGCCAGTCCACACGCGCCCAGATAGACGATTCCCACGATTCTTCGGGCCTGCAGATTGGGGATGGCTTGGGGCACAGAAGAAACAGGAGGAACAGGACCTGCAGACAGTTTGTCTATAAAGTTCGAACGAGAGTCCGGGAAGAGCGAGAACTCCTTGCATAAAGCCAATTAAATTAAGAAATCTGATGCAGTCCGACGACAACAACACAAACACCAGCAGCACCAACAGCGACATCGACACATGGAATTAAAAAAGCAAAAAAAAAATAAAAGTCGAATGATGCAGAAACGTGAATCACAGAGGAATCTCTCTCCCACTCCCACTGTGACTCCATCTCTTTCTCTTTGGCTGTCTCTGTTACTCCGTGAGGATGAGCCTGGCAATTGGTATTTTACAACAAACAGAGCTTGCGTTCAGCTTATTTAACATAAATCGAATGGCTACTGAAATACACCCAGTCAGCCAGCCAGCCAGTCAGTTAGCCAGTCGTCTTATCTCTGACTTTGACTTGCAGTTTTCGCTGCTGGGATGTGTGATGCACTCGCAGAAAATGTGCAGTGTATATCGTTACTTATTTAAAATAAGCATACGCCATGTTGAATTCGGAAAAGAAGTGATGATTTTAGTTATCAAGGCAAGTAAAGTGCAGAAACAAGGAAAGTGTAGCGATTATTGAACATCAATTAAAAATAAGCATACGCACTGTTGGATACAGAAAAAAAGTGTATAACGATGGATTTATTTAAAAGGTAAAATGAAACACACAACAAGAAAGCATTTATAATATTGTACATTTCATCGACCATATAAATTTGTTAGGTCAATTATATTAAATATTATTCTTCCCTTGATTTACAAACTAAATTAATATTTAATCATATGATTGTTACGTTAAGCCAGAGTAAATGGTTTCATTTTTTATTTATACAATACCCTAACTTTTTTAATGAAAATCTCTTACCAAGACCTATTTACCTCTCGATTTCACTGCTGTATTCCTTATTTTTTCTCTGTGTGCCTTTGGGAGCTGGGCCAATTTCATTGAGTAAAGGCAAATGTAAAGGTAAAGCAAACGACCTTTAGAAAAATTGCTGAGGTCCGAGGAGTTGTTTGTGTCTTTTGCAGACAAATCACGACCCGCAGACGAAGCCAGCCGGCCATCGAGGACATTCAGCAGGAGGAGAGGAGATCAGTGCAGAGGGGAATGCAACAGATTTCACACCTCCTCCACAGCGAAGAGGCTGGAACAAAAAAAAAAAGTAAGACGGACTGACCCAACTAATAAGAGTCAGCTTCGAAAACACAGCAACTGCAACACCTCAACGGAGACAACAACAACATGGCATAATAAATAAAAGCCAAGTAGCTGCGGCTGCCTCGGAGTCTGGGTCTGCATTTGGGCCTGGTTTGGTTTGGTTCGCTTTGCCTTGGTTTGGTTTGGCCTGGCCTGGTCTGTTTTGGCCCGGCCTGGAGTCCGGACTCCAGCCACAACGGAGTCTGCTGGGCCCTGTGATTTTCACAAGTTGATATCGCAAACACAAAATGTTAATGAGCAATTTCGAGATGGTGCGAAGTGATTTCATTATTTAAACTTTTTTTTCTTAGTTTTCGCCTTTTATTTCGCTGTCTTTGTCCCTGGGATTGGATGTGCTGTGAGTTTGGGTTTGGGTTTGTCGAATTTCCTTTTTTTTTTTTTTTTTTTTTTGGGTTTCTGGTAAGACTTTTATTACGGCTGCTCCATTGGGTAATGAAAGCGAAATAATTTTAATTGGCACCGGCTGGCAGCACTTTTATTTTAGGCTCCTTCGATGCCAAATTAATTATTTCCTGTCAAATTAGTTTTGAGTTTCGGCATAAATTACGGCTCAGCCGCTATGAATATGCATTGCACTCGGCTCTCCCCGCCGCAATCCCCACCCGCGTCCCCCTTCTCCGGGTGAAATGTCACCTGTCGTGCGATGTCGCGTCGGGTTACTTCAAAACCCAGTTCCGCCGCATAAATTAAGGCCAACAACGTTGATTAATTGGGTCGCATTTGATGATTAAAACATAAATTGCAATGGATGCAGTAAAAGTGGCCATGGATACAGTCGCTACTCGACCAGGACGATATGAGCCAAATCGAAAGGACTCGTCTTAGGGGTTGCTGAGCACTAAAATTACACTTAATTAAACAACAACCCATTAGGGAGCTTCGTCGTGACGATCCCCTTTACAAAAGTACTTGGAGAATGGCAATGAAGGGGTTGAAGAATTCGAGGAATTTTATATGGAGAAAGGAGCTAACCTGCGGAATTACCAACTGATCCACTGTGTATAACTTGTATTTATCAGGATCTGCAGAAAATTTTACAAGTTCGTGCCAAAAAAACCTAAAAGAATATCTTATAATTATCTTGAACAGAGCCATGTTATAGCTTAAATACAATATTAAGTGATCTGGTTTGGCTAAATAGCTATAGTTTTAATTTAACAAGCGAGTGTTTTTCGAGACATTTTAAAGTAACCCAGCAAATTCAGTCAGAAAATGTTATATTACCTGTTGGTTTGCTTCGTTCTGATCATTAGACGATTTACCGACGGAAGTCTGTGCGCCACAAAGGTCATAGTGCGAGTTCCCCGGGATAACGACATTGGCTTGATCTTCGGTGAGGTCCTCTCTTGATCCCGCACGATCCCCTGATTGACTAAACCCACCAGATCTGACCGTCACCAACCGCATCAGGGGAAACAGAAGGAACACGCTGGACTTAACGATCGTCTCGGACGGACAATGTACAGTGAATACAACCAGTGGGGAACAGGTGCACTCGATGGGTCGAATCTTCGGCGGCGACTTTGGGTCGATCGAACCTGGCAAGAGTGAAACTATCTCTCTGGTGTGGCCCACTGTGGTTAGTACGGAAATTTTATAGTGTACATATAGACAGTTGTCCGAAGGAAATATGTATGGAAATTTAATAATTTGGGTAAAGTTAAGATATTTTGACTTAGGTAATTTATATTTAAGGTGTGGATAGTATAAAAATTGTACAATCCATTATGATTAAACTTGCATATACTAACAGACAGTTGTCCAAAGCGAATATAGAAATTTGATAAATTGCATAAAGTAAAGTTACTTTCATTAATAAGTTTTAAAGAGAATATATTATATTACCCCATTTTGTTGTTCGTTTACGAATTTTACAAATCGACTGCTTGAATTTAAAGGACACCTTTTGATTTCCACAGTCTCTGTTCAACCGAGTGGGCTTCTGTCCCATTTTGATCTCCGCGACAAGTGCCCACGCCCAGGATGCAGTGGCAACCGCCAGGCAAGTGCTGCATTTCGATACCCGCTTCGAGACCCTCGATCCGCAGAACAACAAGTTGCGCAGGCGAAAGGACTTCATGGACTGTCGCAACTGGGACAAGGACTACCTAAGGAACTGTACACCACTCAATTGCGAGGAACGATACTTTGGCCAACGCAGCTTCTTCAACGAGGAAACCGAACAGTGCGAAAAGGTTTCCGAGTGCTCGGGACGCGGCGAATTTTACGACATTTTCAGCAACGAGGCTATTTCTGGTAATTTTGTTACTGAGGAGGAACTCGATTTGATCAAGCAAGGAAAATTCGATTTGAATTTTTTGGATCTAAAACGACCTTTACCGGTGAGTTGCATTTTACTTATGATTACACTTTTTAGTAAATGAATTTCGGTTTGATGTTTTTGTTTGGCTCCAATAAGTTAACCTTTATCACTTTTAAAAAGTAGTTTCCTTTTGAACATTTTTTTTTATTTTAAAGAATTTGTATAATTTTCTTTGAGTGTTTTTAGGCATCTTAAGTAGCGCCACCTATTGTACTAAGCGCGTAACTTAAAACAAACTGCTTGCGAGTACATCGGTAAGGCAGTGTTTTTTATAAAGTGAATTAAAAACATGAATTCTTTGCGAATGAGATACATTGCGAAACTTTAATTATCTTTTGCACATTAGTTTCTTATCGTTTTCTTTGCTTTTGTCTTTTAAACTTTTTTTTTTGTAAATTGAGTTCATTGATGGAGGGTAAAATTAACATTATTATTTTTTGTAACAGCAGGAAGAACCAAAACACAATCAGGCTTATCCTCTCAAGAAAAAGAGCAAACAATTTGCTGTGCCCTTTCCGCATTTATCTACTCACACAATGCCGGAAGATTGCGATTCGTCTCACAAACTTACATTGGCTGATTTCAATGATTGCTTTCAGCATTTGAAGGACTCGCAGTTTCCGGAAAACCTGGAAGACGGAAAGAAAGTTGAGAAAAAGTCCCCATTTGAGGTACCTGTTCTGACCCAACTTTATTATGATTGGTATCTGCCCCTAAGGGCCGATAATTGGGCCGAATCAGTCGAAATGGGGGCCGAGAGTGAATCGATTCCTCAAAATGCTTCATCAGGATCTGTACCCCTTTTAAACTGGGTCATACAACTGGACTCCAGAGGATGGCTGTTGCTGATCCTCAAGGGAAGTGTCACTGTAAGTTTGTGATGTCGGTTACCGAACAGAAAATTCATTCTTTACGATTGTTGCAGATCTTATTGCTAATTGTGTTTCAGATTTTGGCCACTCTGACGGCTTATTTCCTGATCTGCCTTGCCGTCTACGGATTTATGGAACTTTATAGCGTATTCACTTCGAACGAAGCTGCGGATAATTTGATCAGGGACTCCAGTTCTCAACACAGCGTATATGACCTTTTTACCTCAGAGAGTCTGATGTCCCAACGTTAACTAAAAACCAATGTTTTTTTAATGTGAATTTGTTGTAGTAAAATTTATACTTGTAAATATAGGTGTGAAATATTATTTTATCATTAATTTATTCAAATAAATTCAAACAAAACAAACATCATACTATCATTTTGGAAAACTACTAGTGAAGTGCCCTAACTAAAAAAAACGCCAGTGTTGTGAAGCGGGTTTTCGTAGTGCTGCCGCACAACTCTCGTGAAATTCCTACTCGGCGATTCATTTTGTTTATTTCATTTTATTTAACCGAGTATACAACAGCGCCAAAATGGGACCCGAGGAGGAACTGCTGTTCCGGAACTTCCAGCGCCTGAAGAGCTACATGTTCGACGACGAAAAAGTGTCCACGACCACGTCCCGCGAGCAGGTGAGTAATCCCAGAAAGTCGGTCAGAAAAAGATAAGAACCCATAGAGTTTTGCAGCAAAAAACAGAGGCTTCGGTGGAGAAATGCTTCGACCGCTTTGAGCAGCTGATGTTCACCCACCCGCGCCTCACCCAGATCTTCCGGCTGGAGCACCAGTACTACTTGGACGCGATGCTGCGGCGACTGCCTTCCAACTACGAGTGCCTCGACAGCAGTCGTCCGTGGTGCGTCTACTGGATCCTGCAGGCGGCACAGCTTCTTAGCTTTAACTTTGACGACCAGACACTGGACCATGTCGTGCAGTTCCTAAGCAAGTAGGTTTCCAAAAGACAGTTTTAGGCCAGTAGTAGTAGTAGTAGTAACCCATTATTTTTGCTTTGTTCCGTAGCTGCCGTTCGCCGACGGGGGGCTTTGGTGGAGGACCTGGACAATATGCCCACCTGGCGCCCACTTATGCAGCGGTTAACAGCCTTTGTATCATTGGCACCGAGCAGGCTTACCGCGCCATCGACCGACCGACCTTAGTTCAGTTTCTATTCAGCGTGCGCGAATCGGACGGCTCATTTCGGTTACACGTGGACGGCGAGACAGATGTGCGTGGCGCTTATTGTGCCATTTCCTGCGCCAAGCTGCTAAACCTTCCGGAGCCAGTCATCAAAGAGCTATTCGCAGGCACAGGCGACTGGATAGCCCAGTGTCAGACCTACGAGGGCGGATTTGGAGGCGCCCCTGATCTAGAGGCCCATGGCGGCTACACCTTCTGTGGGATTGCCGGTCTGGCGCTGCTCAACGAGGCAACCAAGTGTGACAGGCAGGCTCTGCTGAAGTGGACACTGCGACGACAAATGACCTATGAAGGAGGTTTCCAGGGCAGGACCAATAAGCTGGTCGACGGCTGCTACTCCTTTTGGGTGGGCGCCACCATCCCCATCACACAAGCTACGCTATCGGGCGTTGACAAGCAAATGGAGCACACATTATTTGACGTGGAAGCCCTGCAAGAGTACATCCTCCTGTGCTGCCAAAAACAAAACGGAGGGCTTATCGACAAGCCGGGAAAGTAAGGAGTTCCTTACTTGTTAAGTGACTTTAAATATTTACAGAGATATATATTTTCAGACCCCAAGATCTCTACCACACGTGCTATACCCTCAGCGGCGTTTCCATTGCGCAGCACTCTGAATGCGCTGATAGCCCACAAGTCCTGGGCGACACCATAAACGAGCTACTGCCAACCCATCCACTGTTCAATGTCCCACCGAAATCCGTTGCAGCTGCCAGGAGCCACTTTAGCAATTCTAATGCCACAGAGTTCTTGGGAGGGGATAGCCCCAGCAAGGAGCACAGTTAAGGCTTCAGGATTGGATCTGGGAGAGCTTTTTACTTGATGGTCGTTTACCTTTGACGAAATAAATTCGCTTTAATAAAATTATCTTTGAATACAGTATTTTTCGCTTCTTAATGTATATGGAAAAAGGAATTGACTATAATATATGTATAACTTTTTCTAAGCTGTGTTTGTACAACAATATTTTCAAAATAAAAGAATGTAATTGCTAATAAACCGGAGTCTGAAAAGAGTGTGGCAACATAAAAAAAAATCTTTAAAATCGAATATGCGTTGCCCGCGTATTTTGAAAAGTCACCTCACTTTTTGAACACCTCATTTTTTTAATAAAAATTGCTCAAGCGTTCAAATTTATTGATGATATGTTTACGTTTACATTTGAATGTCAAAAAAAGGTTTAGGGTTGTGAATAGCCATTTGTGTCTCATTTCAAATCGCGGCGTTTATCCTGAACAACTTTTATGTTCTCCAGCCACAGGACATTAAAGCGGAGAACTCCTGCCGAAGGCATTGATCGCCGCGAGTACATCAGTCACCTGGTCGATGAGTATTATACAACGACAAACATAGGTAAGGTTCTTAATTGTTGTTACCTGTACCCCGATCTTATTTCTGATATGCGATTTTAGAGGCCCAGGAGCAAGTAACCGCCAACTTGGCCAACTTTGCTTACGATCCAATTAACTGGCCGCATCTTCTGGAGGCGGATGCCCTAGATGTTTTCTTGGCTTCCCTGAAGTCCCAAGATCAGCTACTAAAACTCCACGGAATTGCAGCGTTGTGTAACTTTTGCTTAGGTAAGGAAACAGTATGATTTTTAAACGTTTTCAGCATGGGCTTTATTATTTTATAGACAAAACAGCAGCTAAGTTCATTAGGGACAATCTAAAGCTGATCGTTGGATTATTTGTGCGCACGGATCACCCGGAAATAGTACTTCACAGTCTAGCATTATTTTATCAATTACTGGAATCCAGCGAGGTTGACAGGGAACTTCTGTTAAGTCCCTCACTACTGAAAGCTGTGCAAGAGTGGCGTTTGAAGGCTCACGATCAGCGCATTGTTAAGCTCTGTCAATTATTACTGCAGGATTTCGCAAGACGCACAGAGGTTATTCAGCTGCAGAATGCTCCACCAATGCTACCGGCGACTGAGCAGCCAAGCACTTCAGCAGGTGCAAGTGGTTAAGCGCTTCTCACAATGCGATTTGGAGCAGTTTGCCCAGTTTACCGGCGATCACAACTACATTCACAGCCTGGAAACCCCAGTGGAGGAGCGACGAGTGCACGGAGCCCTGCTTAACGCAGTGGTGGCTGGCATTATGGGAACCCAACTACCTGGCCCCGGCACCGTGGTTCTAGAACAGAGCTTTAAGTTTCTTAAGCCCTGTCGCATTGAAACGGACACTTTGTTCACTGTTCGCCTTCTGCAGTCCCGCAAAATCTCGACCGTAGAGTACGACATCCGGCAAAACAACGAGGTGGTCTTTGCCGGCAGTGCCAAATTGCTGACTCGCAGTTAAACACTTTTATCATTCGTTCAATAAAAACGTTTTGTTTTGTATATTTATGGAACTATTTCTTGGAGGCCCGCTTGCCCTCACCCTTTTTGGGTGGTGCCTTGCCTCGCAGCTTACGAAGACGCTTCATTTCTTCTTTGAAGTCCTGATGCTCATCTCGGAATAATCCGTAGTCGCGCAGGTTTTTCATCAGCAAATGCGTTTCCACGTGGCGCGGATACCAGTTGATCACGTAGTCCCGTTTGTGAATCGGCTCTTCGGCGAACATGCGAACAACCTGGTGTTAAAGGAATCCGACTTGATTCTTGTTTAATTTAAAAAATTAAATCTAAGTACAGACCTTCATGGATTTATCGTTAGTGGTGCGCGCAACTTCGCCGAAAATGCGGTTTGAGAGGTAGTTCATGCGACGAGCATATTGGGTTCCGAGCTTAATAAGCTCGGTGTATTTGTGGGACATGTTTCCTAAATAATTTGTAGTATTTAACGTTTGTTTTAAGTAATTAATTGCTAATATTTTACGATTAATAAGTTGCGGTTATGTCACGAAACAAAAACAAGCGCCAGCTGATTGCTTGGCAGTCACTATGAACGCTGACATAAGGGGTATTCACGAAATGTTGAATTTTGTTTACCGTTGTGCGATGGAAATTTGTTTTAAATGTTTTTTAATTTATATTGGATCTTATTTTAAATTTATTAGTTCTTTTTTTAAGAAAAAAATAAGTTTTAAAATTACACAAATGTTTAATACATTGTGCAAATGATATTTTGCGGTTAATATTAAAAGTAAATAAACAAATAATTTCACATCAAATTCGTCAAATCAACTTTTATTTAAAAAGAAAAGCAATTGGAGTCTGTACCACCATATTAGTCAATTGGAATAACAAAAGGTTAGCAACAATCTAAGCATAAGGCTCCACAAGTGTAATACTAAAATTTCTAAACTATGTAGTTTAAACCGTCTCAATGGCTCCTCGTCGTCTGCCCTCCGAACCCCCAGTGGCTTCGTTTCCGTCGTTTCCTATAAAAGATGTTTCCTCGGAGCTTTGAACCGGCAACACCTCGCGTGCGAGGCCATTAAGCTGACTGAGAAGGGCGTTGGTGCCCACCATGGACGCTTCTCGGGGCGATCCGCTGTGCCCGGATAACTGATCGTAGTGGAGCACCCGGATGGGCGTGTGCGAGCGGGAGGCGGGCGAGGGGTTGCCCCGCGAATGCGGACTGTTAGTGCGCGAGTGCTGGAAATCCTCCAGGGGAATCTCCTCTGAACTAAAATAAAAAAGCAATGGAATAATTTTGTTATCACAATTAAAATATGTTCAATTCTAAAATGTGTGCATGCTTTTGAAAATGAATATTAAAACGGTTTCAGCACATGCCAAGGACTTTCACAAAAATAATAATACAAATTCAAAGTCAATAAAACATGCCCCAAGGAAATTTATTTCTCAAACGTAATGTGCATGTATAATTATGTGTTAGAAACTAAAATACCTTTACAAAAATGTTTCCATTTATATATGTATAAAATTAAAAATATAACAATATTTGTTAAATATATATTAATGGAATAAATTTTGATCTAAGAATAATTTTTAACTGTAATACTATTTCAAACCTATTTTAATAATTTTAAATCAAATTTTGTTGCTTTAATCTGGGATCAATAAAAAAACATTTAGAAAACCAACTACTCTAGTTCGATGACCTCTAAAATCTCAATTATAAAACCCATTCCAAGGAAATTAAACGGGGTAATTTTGTTTACCGCGGCCTGGGCATCCTGGGACTGCTTTCCCTCGATCGATTGCCGGAACTTCTGGGCTGGGAGTTCTCTCGAGATTGTGAGGAGCTATGGCTGCCCATGCTCACACTAGGAGATCGCTCCCGATCCGAGTTATCTGCCCTCAGATTCGAGCCCGAAGTGGAACTGGGACTGCGGCGTCGGGAGCGGCCTGCGCTTTCATTCCTAATGCTGCCGGAAGACGCACAAATGAGGATGGAAATGAGAAACATGAAGGTAGCACTACTTGGACTTACCCTTCGATGGAGCGGTTTTGTGCCATCTGGGTACGGCTGACCCCGGCGCTGTTGTTTCCCCGCAGGACTGCGGCAAAACCAGGCACCCGATTGGCCGTGGAGAACATGGGTCGATGGTGACTGCTTCGTGAGCTGCTGCCACTACTGTTTCCGCTACCGCCGCCACTGGAGGCTGCCATGGTGCCACCCACTGCAAACACTGGTGAGTCCATCTGTCCGGGAATCTCTATGAGCTGCGCAATCTGATACATCTTCTTTTGCCGCGCCTTGCTGCGTCCTTTGGTCAGGCGCTGTTTGGCCGCCATGCAACGGATGTGATCGTCAAACAAAAATTTGGCCGAGAGCAGCGGAGTGCGATTATGAGTGACGCCGCCTCGATGCACTGTGATGTGCAGACAGCGCGAGTCGTCCTTGTCACCCTGCACCTCCACGTCCTGCAGGAAACCCACGAACTTGGCTACTCCCCAACCCAACAGCTTCGCATCCGGCTCGACGAGGATCAACTGCAGTGCATCAATAACCAGAAAGCGCCTTTGCTTGCTGCTATCTTTGGCCACTACGGTGCAGGCAATCAGATCACTGTTGTCTGAAAAAATCAAGGTAAGTTAGAAGCGCCTTAATATTTAGCATGAAGTAACTTACTCAAGTCCAGTACATTTTCCACCTGCACCAAATTTACAACATTTGTAAGCGGTAGCAGTGACTCCTTTTCGTTCAGAAACTTTTGGCACGTTCGTCGCAGCAGGAAGTACACGCGAATGGCACGGCGGGCCTTTTCCACCTCTCCGCAGGGCAGGCGGCGCGTGAAATTGATGCCCGTGAGGGGCGTTCCCGTGGGAGGCAGTAAAATGGTTGAGTCCATGCACAGAAACTCCACATTTAGGTGTGCCTTTCGCATCTCATTGTACTCGTCCTCGAACAGATCAAGGAATATGTCCTCCGACTTGTAAAAGTTTCGCAGCACCACCATTGACTGGTTGCGGGCACTGAAGAGCAGATCCTGTTGGGCGGTGGTGATGCAACGAGTCTCATCTGAGTTGGGACGGGTAAATGTAACCAGCAGCTCTAGGGCAATCTCCACGGTAATCAAGCGAATGCGGGAAGCTAAGAAATAGAGGAATTTGTTTTGTTAAAAAGCAATAAAAGACTGGGCACATCTATGCATATCTAAGCATAGTCTACAAATAACCACTTCATACATACATGGCTGACTGGACTGTGTTATGATGTTCAGCAGATGCTCAACTAGCGCTGTCTTGTAGCTGAAGGAACCTCGCGTAGACTTGGCCAGAACCTGCTCGAACCACTCGTTCTTGATGCCTGTGTGGAATAGTTTGGAAAAGACTGTTAGTGACCGAATGCAACAGCATGTTATGGATGGATTAGTACGGAAAGTGGACGAGTTACATACCATCTGCAGTGGGACAGGTACCAGAATGTGAGATATTCATTACACACACAGAAAGCAATTAAATTGAAGCACAAATGGGGTGATCAGAGCAATGGAAAGTTATACAGCATTAGCTTAGTAGCCGAGTGATAGATGAAAAGTAACTAAACTCTGCACAGCACTTACCACGGTTGTGTGACATGGCGTATATGAGGCACAACGACAGGAGAGCCAGGTAATCGTTTTCTGTACAATCCAGGGCATGCAGGACTGTGTCCAAAAACGGTTTGGCCACCTCCCCAAAGTCCGACTTTGCCGAGGAAGATGACTTCTGCAGAAGTTGCTTTTCCTCGTCGGTAATGTTTCGCAGCTTCGTCGGTTCCGCTTCCGCCACATCTGCGTTGGAGTCCAGTTCCGTAGTAGCTGGAGATGAGGATTCCACGCCACTGTCCTCGCTAAGGGCATAGCTAGCGGCGCTGGACTGCCCGGTGACCGTATCCAAGGCCTGCTCGAGACTCTCGTTGGGCTCCCCGAAGCCAGGCACTACCACCTCGCGGTGCTCAACGTACGAGTTGAGAATCTCGGCTGCGCCCTCCTTGAAGACGCTGTGGTCGCCATTTAGGATTACCCATGCCAAAGCGTGTACCAGCGGAGCATGCGAAACCACAAGGAAGACCAGTGAGAGAAGGAAAAGGGCCACTATGGAGCTCACTCGAGGGTTGTGCATCTCCTGAATGTCGATGTCCACATTACGATTGAGCACGGCAGCTAGATTCTGGGTGACCACTGCCAACGAGGGCGGCGGGGGAGCTGGCGTCAGTGAGAATATATACAGTGGCACAAAGAGCTTATGCAGCAAGTGCTCTGTGAGCACCGCATTCAGATCCTTGATGTCGAGCAGCAGAATATCACTTAAATAGTGCAAGTGATCCAGGTGCTCGGCCACCAAATTAGACAGCTTCTGATTGGACTGATGGCTGTGAAGAGAAGTGAATTAATCGTTAGAAAGAGGTATGTCAGGTCAACTCTTACTCTATATCTGTGCGCACACATGTATCTAGTTCCAGAATGTGTTTGCCAATAAACCAAACAAGATTACTAAAGTACGGAGCAGCAGTTCTAAAGGTAAAAATAAAGTTTCAAAATCGATCACAAAAAATTAATTGGAATTGCCATACTTGTCTCGGATAAAACGCAACATGCTGGAGTTCTGAACCTTGTATACATTTAAGGAAATGGTTCGCACAGCTATCCGCACCATAGACTCGGGGTGATTGAAGAACTTAATGGCCTCCGTGTACAAGGGGAAATCGTTTGTGTGCTTTAAAGAAATATAATCAAATTATTTTAAGCTTAAGAATATGCTAAATGTAACCAAACCTCATTGTAAAAGAAGTGTATTGTGTGGGTATTCAGCTTTAGACTGAGCGTCTTCAAGAAAAGAATGTAATAGCCCATCACATCTTCGTCTGAGAAGTCAAACTTGTGCACCATGATGGAATTAACATGGTTATTGCTCAGCAGGTAGTCTGTAACAAGTTAAAAGCCGTTATTATGTAAAAGCTATATAGAAAAGGCTAAGGAACTAACAAAGTGACGTCTCATTGCGTATGTTCTCGAAGAGTATGTTGAGTGTCTGCAGCAGCTGGACGCACACAAAGCTGGAGCCGCCGCTCTTTTGTCGCATGATGTGCAAGAAGTAGGAGAGCATATTCTTCTCCAGAAAGAAGCTAGAGAAGACAAAGAATTAGCTTTGATACATAAAAGTAATGCCACAACTTACTCAAACACCAAGGAGTCATGCTGATCGCCCCAGATCAGGATCTCTGCGATGCAGCGCAGAGATTCCACCAACAGGCCACGATTGCTCTCTGACACGGTGGTGTTCTTCTCCAGGATGCTGTACAGGTACTTGAGGTGCTCCAGTGACAGGCGGTTCTTGGGCCGACCGCCCCACGGTCCGCCGAACCAGCTGCGACTCCGGAACATGGTGTCTTCTGGGCTGGAATCAACTGGCCACGATTCGCCTGGTTAATCTCATATCAGGCTGCAGAGAATTGCGGGTACGCTGCTCTCTCGGATTTTTGCATCCACCACTGCTCACGGTCACGCCACTTAGTTGGCCTACAAAACGGAGGCAGCAAATGCCTGCGATTGCACGAAATCTAATTTTGTAATTTGCGAATTGCGATTTTTCCAACAATTTCCTCTTCTTCTTTACGGAGAACACAAGTGTCACAGTCAGCTGTTGCTTCTGCCTTTGTTAATCGTTATCGGTATCAAAACGCTAGAGATGAGGAATCTTGCTGTTGTGACGGCTTGGGAACTGCGACTTGGTCACGACTTACGAATATGTATTAAAGAACAGTTTGACATCAAGTATTATTTTATTTGGGACAGATTTAATGAACAATACAGGCTCACAGATAACTTTAGAAGCAAACTAAAAGGTTGCCAACATATCACATAAGGCGTACTGAATAAGATGTACTAAACTAAAGACCTTTCACACTGATAAAGTCTTGTATCTCACATTAACCTTGTTTATTTTTTTTCGGTACAACATTCAACTAGCTTGGTTTTTGGTTAAAATTTATGGAATATGATCCCGTGCTCGGATCCTGTTGCATTTGGAAATTCTGCGTGGACAGGCCAAAAGGTTTGAGTATCATATTGCCCAGATCCTTTAAACTAGACATCATCTCGTTCTTAAGCTTCTCGTTGCGCTCGTTAATAATAGGCGGCAGGCGAATCTGAGCTTCTCGAGCGTCTTGCTGTCCTGGATCGATCTCCAGCACTTTCTTGTAGTCTTCCAGAGCCTCGTCGGGTTTATCGTCCTGCTCGTAGAGCTTAGCGCGTCTGCAGAAGATTAAAGATATATAGAATAAAAGGTAAAGATGGGATAATAATTTTAAACCCCACCTCAGGAGCACTCTCACGTACTCCGGCCACAGTTCGATGGCCTTTGTGCAGTCGTCGATGGCCGCTTTGTTGGCCTCCAACTTTATTTTGGCAGCAGCCCTGTTTCCGTAGAGCACTGCTCGCTCCTTAGTGCTGTCCGAGGGGCAAATGTCCAGAGCTTCCGTGTAGCTCTTGGCAGCTCCATCGGCATCATCATTCTTGAAAAGCTCGTTGCCTTCTAGTTTCAGTTTGTCGGCTTTTTCCTTATTCGCCGCCAGCTGCTCGGGGCTGAGATCCTTTTCCCGTTCGCGCAGCTCCTCGATCGACAGCTCGGAGTCCACGATAGGTGGTGTCACCACGCAATCCCCTCCAGCCGCACCCTGTTCCGCTTCGTCATCCAAAGCCAGCTGGCTTTGCTTCTCCACGATCTCGTCCACATCCTTCTCGCTCAGTCGCGTGCTGGTGGCTTCCTTCTCGGTGATCTCCTCGCCGATTGCATCCTGGAACTCGTCATCGCTGTTGGCGTTGTCTGCCATCCTGTTGCCAATTGATCTTAGTGGGCTTACTGGAAATTTCGGCTTGTTGTGCAGCAACAAATAATGTTCATGCTGCCGATAAAAACTTATCGGTTGAAGCCCGCCGTTGAGTGTTGTAAAGGACCACTTTCTTAATAGGTACAATCCTTAAGAAACTTTTATCAGATATTTATTCATCAAATCATATTTTTAAGATTTTTTGTCATTTTTATTGTAACGATGTGAGTCAAGTATTGATTAAAATTTTAGGTGCCTGATATTGTTTAAATTGTACCTAACATATGTTCAGCAAACTAAGAAGCTTTTCAGCACTGTTGGTTTGGCGCTCTGTCTGTGGTCACTTTGCTCGTCGTGCAAATCCATTCCGGATAAAATGGACATTGGGGCGTATATATTGAGTGAATATATTCCCGCCAAGCCGCTGGTCGGTAATCTGGAGGTGTCATTCACCGGGGAAGAAAAGGTAGGTGCGATGACACCGTGGAAACCCTCTTTAAACGCTTGTTTTTGTAGACACCTACTGAAGCATGTGCCCAACTGAGATGCGGTGATGGCTTAAAGTTTCCGTTTTGCCGTCCAGATTTTCAGCCTAAGGCAGCGGTGATAAAGGGGAGCAAGGTGCTCGTGGTTGCTGATAAGAAAACGGAAACAAAACGCGTGGTGGAGCTGACCCTGGAATCCTCGTTTGACTACCAACCCGGAGACACCATCGCCATTCTGCCCAGCAATAGCACGAAACTTGTGGATAAGCTGATTAATCGGCTGGAGCTGAATAACAAGGCAGACGTCACATGCCATTTAAAGTTGGTCCTAAACTGTGCCAAGAAAAACGCCAAATTACCGGCACACATTCCGTCAGAGACAACTCCGCGTGAGATATTTACGCACTGCCTGTCCCTTAACTTCGTTCCGCAGAAGCAGCTCCTTAGCGCCCTGGCTGGATTTACAAGCGATGAACAGGAGCGCAAATTTCTGGCCTGTATGTCCTCCAAACAGGCTACTGAGCACTACAATTCCCTTGTCCTAGTACAGGGTCTGCTCTTTGTGGACATACTTGAGCTATGCTGCAGTTGTAAGCCACCTCTTGCCTTTCTGGCGGAGCACTTACCTCGCCTAGTGCCACGACCCTATTCGATAGCGAACAGTCCTTTGGAATCCGGTAACCAGGAGCTCCGGATTGTCTACTCCCTGCTCAGCGAGAAGCATGGAGTCACAACCAGCATGTTGGAGGAAAAGATTCACCAAATAAGTCCGGAGCAGATCGCTAAAGTGGCCATTTATCCGCGACTAAGCAATGCATTTCGGTACACAGAACAAGATCTAGGCAGCAACCAAATCCTAGTTGCCGTTGGGACAGGTTTGGCGCCTTTTTTGGGCTTCCTAGCGCACAAAGAAAGGCTAATAAGCCAACAACCGCAGCGGAAAAGTGGACATTCCTGGCTTTATATTGGTGCCAAGACGGCAGAAGCCACTCTAAAGGAAGATCAGCTGAAGGCCTGGCAGCAGTCCTCAGTGCTGGAGAGACTACGCATGTGTCACTCCCGGGGAGAAACCCCTAGTTATGTGCAACAAATGATGTTGGAGGATGCCGAGGAGCTGGTAGGGTTCCTGCTAAAACCAGATACTGTGTTGTACCTGTGTGCCGATGGTGCAAAAATTTCCCAGGCCATTGCAAATGGTTTACGTCTTTGCCTGCAGAAAGCTCTGCATCTCACTGAGGAGGAAGCCTCAAGCCAGCTCAAGGAACTCAAGACTCAGGGCAAATATCGCGAGGACGTTTGGCTGTGAAAAGAAAACTGAGGAGCAGTCAAAATAATAGAACCTATTCTAGACGATTGTATAGTTAAATCTTTTAGACCTCTTCTCATTTAGTTGCTTGCACTTTTTCTCGAAAGCATAGCATCCCTTTTGAATTTTGAATGTGTTTTGTTTTTCTTTTATATTTAGACCCAATTTAATTTAATCACATTGATTTGTAAATGTTCTGTAAGTATACTGAATAAATATTTGTGTATCATTAATTCCCTGCTCCCAACAAAAAGATGATTGCTATTATTTTGACTGCATAAACAAATAATCAACAGAATGCTTTGGTCGAATAAGTAAATAACGATATATTTAACAACACAAAATAAAAATTACAGTGCAAGGTAAACTAAATACATACAATTGTGAGGGGCCAACTTCGATGGGCGAAGTGGATGGGACTACGATAACTAAATGGTTTTGGGTCTGTGTATAAGGTTGACTTAAATCGTAAATTGCAAAATAAATCTAAATAATAGTAGAATATATGAATACGACTTAGGTTCCAAGCAAAACTAAACGTGCGCACATAAAACATAAAACTGATTGCGGGATTTTCTCTTTGAATTAAAGCGATAGTTGATGCGATAATGTACCGTTGCTTTATCCGCTCTTTTAAATATATATATATCTTCGTATTATTTATCATACTGTTTACGTTTATTTTGGCAAGTCGGGTCGTGACCTTGCACATTAATATGCATTTTGTATTTTAACTACGTTTAAGTTTAATTGAAATAGAGCCAATTGTGTTTGTGTATATTAATATAATTACGAATCGATCAAAATTGATGTCAGCTTCTTCTTTCTCCTATTCGTCCCTTTACAATTGCAATAAAAGTTGCGTATAAAAAATTATGCTACATTTTGTTGTTCTTTGTTTGGTTTGAAGACTTAAGTTTCATATACATTTACGTTATTAATTGCAATATTTGCGTTCGTCTTAAATGCGTTTGCGAATATGTAATGTCGGGTATGTCTCGGTTTCCAAAAAGGCCATCAAAACCCTAAAATACTCTTCGTTCGTTGCCTTGCCTAATACTCATTTAAGCTAAATTAAGAAAATCAAGTAAATTTTCGATTAAAAGTTAAGCTCTTTAAAAATTATGAATGCATAATTATAGGCCAATAATTTGGGTATCATTTCGTATATAAAATTTAACTATGAACCGATCTGCAGCAGCAGCAATTCATTGCCTACTAATATCAGAATTGCAAGTAAAAGATAATCCCTATCGGTAAGTGTATATATAACAGTTAAAGAAAGCTAACACCGGCTGGCCAAAGTACCCTTTCTGATCCTCCTGTGTTGTGTTTCAGAACAATTTCTAAAAAGAAAAGGGCGACTAGCTTTTGACATAACTCTCGGTAAATCTTGTGGTGGGAAATAGCATCAAAATGTAACTAAATAAGTGAACGGAATAAGGAAAAACCTATTTTGGCAAAGATATTTTATAGCGCCACTTCTAGATATTTCTTTCGTGATTCCCGTTGGGACTAGTTTTAGTATACTTATACCACTTCTATATGCATATACTCCCTTATGGGATATTCTTTGTTTTTAGTTTATCTCTTGAAATTTGACACAGACATTACCGCGTTATATAACAACTCTATTTATGATGGGGTTCTGTTTAGAATTACAATTTTCTTTGTGCGTATGGCGTATATCTCGGGGAAGGAACGAGAAAGTCTAATTAAATCTGTTCTTTTGTGGCGTTTGGTTAGTCTTAAGTTTGTACTAATTAAAATGGAATATCAATCATTTTTCCCTCAATCCCGTCAACACTGCGAATATCAGCTAATATACATGCTCTGGCTATCTGTCTAAGTATTTATCTTTTGCATCGATATCTGTATTCTATGGGAAATGCATAAATTGTGGAGATAATTTTGTTTTTGCTGGTGTGTCGCTTGCTGCTGCTAGCTCTAGTCCTAATGGCACTTGTTACACTCATTTCGACTTGCTATAATTATCGCCTTTGTTTCGATTTTTTTTTCTTTTTTTGGTAATTTACAACAAGTATTGCATGTTCTCTGTTTAGGGCTCGTTTGCACTTACTGACTACGACGAATTTTATAAAGAATCGCATAATGCAGATTTGATAAAATCGCTTAAATCACAATTATGTATATATACGGGTATATAAAGAGTAATCAAACTTAGGTCCCTACAGTTAATAATACAGTATCTATATCATATGTGCGTGTTTGTGTGCGTGGTCATATACATGTATACGCGCCATGTACGGAGTAAGCTAATTTGCCATAGGACAATCCAATCTAAGCGGTAAACCCCGCCCCTCTGCCATCGATGAACTGCCCGAGCGATGCGATATGGAGCCATGGTTTTGCGACGATTTCCTCCAAATATACCGGCGTCTGCACATCTCTCTGCCCTCGCTGTCTCGTGCTGCAAAGATACAGATAAAAAGCGATGGTTATTTATTGTTGGTAAACTTCCAGGTCGGGTAGCTGCACTGCAGCCAAGAACCGGGGCAAAACGAGAATGGGATAGCGAATAATTAACACATCGACCTCTAATAATTGTCATCACCCTGAAATACGTTTATGGGCAAAGGAATGTACAATCGTGGGTAACAAAGTAGTAATTTTGCTACATCAATTGTAAATTTTGAAAAAAAAGTAATCAATTGTTCTTTAGTTACCGTTCTTCGGCAACGTGACCTTATGTTTTCGAAAAAAAGTTTGCATGGCCGAAAACACAATTTGTAAAGTCAACTTATCAAACAACTGTTCCGTTATCGGCGGGCCTGTTATCAACGCATTTGATACCACCAGCTGATTAGCTGGCCAAGAAAGTCGTTAAAAATAGAACGCTACACTCACGCAGGTTATTGGGCCTTGGATTGCGGGGGTTGAAGTCAGGTGAATTGCATATTATAATTAATAATGCATTATCAGTACCACTTTTATGGCGCCTATTTCGGTGGGTTATTTCATTGGGTATCTGCATAATCTTTTGGCGCAGCTCACCCATTTTGTTCACACCGCCTCCCCCTCACTCGTTCTCCCTGATGCTAAAAAGAACTATTGTTATGCCATGGGAGAGCGGAGCATGTCAATTATCAGCACAATAATTGTTTATATTTATCAGCATGTGAAGCGGCACTCACTCGAAAGTCACGCTTTGATTTCAATGAAACGCGGCCTGCCGAGAACTTTTAGTTTTCCCCACAATTTTCCTTTGGCGAAAACGAAAAGAGAAGGGAAATCACACAGAAAATAATTGCGCAGGCATTAAAAGTATTAATTTCTGATTAGTTAAAACACACCTACCAAATAATGTTAAAAGGCCTTGCATTTTCGACCTGCTTCTCAGAAATGTCAACTAAATCAAAACAATTTTGTTAATTAAAGTCACTATAATGTTAGAATACATTGGCTACTTATTTAAAAATGCAATTTAAATTGCTTGCAAAACGCCTATGTAAAGTCTTAATAATGGAAGAAATACCACTGGTTTTTCCGTGTAACTTGTTGACTGACAGGCAAATGAGAGCGTGTTCCAGATGCAAAGAGGGCCAAGAGTTGTACTCTCGTGGATCGTGTACCTAGGCATGTAGACATATAATTGTGATCCACTGAGTCGCACCGCAAAAATGTATATTTTATTGCGAGTGTACTTGCAGCGAGTGCATGTGTTTGAGTGGATGAGTATGTCGCAGGCATTGGAAACTCTGACAAAACACTCGGTTCGCAAATGTTACTAAAGCCAGTGGATTTGGATTCCGTATAATACACAACTTTGCATTGTTGGCGGGCGTGATCCGCGGGGATATGGGGAGGGGGAATTCGTTTACAAACACCCCCCCTCGAGGTTGAATGGGAAATAAAATAAGTCTCTGGCGCAAAGTAATGAATGAATCATCTAAAATTCCGCATAGCTACCAAACAACAACTTGTGTATGGTTCAATAAACGAAACACTCACTCACACGCAGGCAAAAACAAGCAGCCGAAAAACCTTTTGAGCAAGGTGAAATTATCATTCGTCGGCGCCATTCCAAATCGAACTATATGTGAGTGGTTTAGTCATTATTTCTGGGTCTTTGGGCGTCGTTTGCTAGACCATTTTCAAATGACTCTGGGGATTCACGAGGGCCTTTCACTCACTAACGCACACATGGTTACACAGAAAGAAAGATTGAAATAACCAAATTTGGTTTTACATATTCAACGAACTTTTTTATAAATGGCAAAAAAAACTAGAATTCCATTTTTGCAGCCTTTAAAATAAATTAAATCGCTGGGAAGTGGCGGGTTAGAATTTCGAGCTCGGGTTTTTAGTATAGTATGTGTTAATAATGTTGAGCTATCATTACATTAAAAACTCATATAAATACTTAATTGATTTTGGTTTCGCATCCCTTGTTTTTTTCTGTGTTACCAGTTGTACTTTGGCCTCAGAATTGAGATTCCACGCCCAGAAGCCGCAATGAAAAGGGAAGAAAAATGTATCAGTTTTTGCGAAATTCGCGTGTAGCCCTCTCACACTCTTTCCAGAATTCAAGATTTCAATATCCGCAAGTAAGCAAATCCATCGCACTCTCTGCCTCCCTTTCTAGCAAAACGGAAAGCAAAAGTATGTGCCAGTAATATAAACAAATAAAGAGCCTAGAGATCCGGTAGAAGTTGGGGAAGCAGTCAGCGGCTGACCCAGGAGGAGCTAAACGGGGATTGTTCTTTAAAAATCTATCCCTTCTTAATTTTACTATAGATCCGCCTCTGCAACATGCACAGCTAGTGCATCACAATGGAGGGGAAGAGCCAAGGCAAAGGGGAGTGGGAGAGAGTATAAATAGCGCTTGCAAGTCGCGACGTCGCCAACTCCCCTCTCGCTTGCTCCTGAAGCAGAAGCAATTAAGTTGAGTAAGTGGGAGGGCGACTAAAGATGCAGCAGAACCTCAAGAGAGAAAGGAGGAGGAGGAGAGGGGTCGGGATAGCAGAAGCACCGCCATCAGAATCAATTATACACACTCTCATTTTTGTGCTCCACACACTCTTAGCTTTGACTCCACTTTCGTTCTCTCTGCGGTGCGGCTCTCTTTCTCTCCCTCAAAGAACTTTCACGATCTATGATTTTTTTTGCTATGCCTTATCACATCGAAATTGAACGAAAATTGTTCTAAGAATTTGATAAATTCCGCTCCGGTTTCTGGACTAAATGCCTGGGGGAATTACAACAGCACTTAAACAGTTTGTTTTATTCGGCTGATAAGGCCAATACAAATGCCCTCCGTGAAGCGTAGGTGTCTCTGCTGTCTGTGTGTACATGCATATATGAATTAAAGTTTTCTTTATTATGATGTATGAATATTTTGGCCAGACAAAGCGTTGTTCCAAACAGGAAATGCGAGCGAGCGTGTTAAATTGCGTACTTAGTTGTTGTTTGTTGTTGCTGACGGAGCGGCTTCTTTCTTTTTTTTTGTCCATTGTCAGTTTTCAATGGGATGTCTTGTGCAAAAACTCAACACGTAGTATACGTAATAGGTGTGCAAACGAAAATAAAAAATACTGCAACAGCTCTTGCAGAAAAACGGAACACGGTTTAGGATTTATAAAAGTACAAATTGTAACCAGGAGAAACCAACTTATTTTTAAACTCCCTTTTTGTTTTAAGACAAGAATGTTATGATAAACTGTTATAAGAAAAATATTATTTTTAATAAAAATATCCAAAACGGGCTGCAAAAGAAATTAGCACATAGAAATTTTGTTCAATTTGATAAGAGCTTTTTAAAATGAAGTTTTTTGGAATGCCACAAGCGTATGCTTTTTGCGATTAGTTTTTGCTTTTTATGAAATTTTTTTTTTGTTTCAAATCAGAAATCATTAAAAAAAAACAATAAGTCACTTGTGGTACTGCATATTCAAGTTGACTTTTCAGCTTAATCCTATCAGTTGAAAACAAATTTTTTAAATTTTGTATTACATTTGCGACTTTTCAAGCTGTTGGCGATCTTAGTATTTCCTTTCTAGACATAAAATCACAAGCTAATCAAAAGACAAAAACCTCGTGCACTCTGCAACCTTGATCGAATTTAATCTGTTGTTCGAACTGGAGCCAGTTACAGATTAAAAGAGTCAAGATAGCCAACTATCGTCGTTTTGCGTCTAGGTTTTTGACAAAATTTCAAACAACGCCGTGAAACTAACCCATCGGCCAATAAACCGACAGCCTCTGTTTCCACATGTGCGATTGCGAAAAGGTTTCCGTTGAAATGGATATCGCTTCGCTTGAATAATGAGCTACCGGCCAGATGGGCCCTACTACCTGGGAATTGAAAAGGGCGGGCGGTGAGCGGGACTTACCTGTTTTCGAAGGGGAGTTGCCGGGTCCTAGTCCTGCGCTCTCGCTATTTCTACGGTTGTACACACTACAAAGACTACGATCAGCATTCTGTTCCAGTTCCAGTTCCGGTTTCGTCCACACAAAACAAATTTACATTGAAAACTCATTATACACAATCGGGGCAGATCCCGAACCCGCTTCCGATCACGCGTAGAGCAGCCTGGCCGCCCGGTGATTGCACAGCAACTATACGTTGCGGCGGAGCACCTTCTTGGCGGCCTTGATGTTGGGCACCAGTGCCTTGACCTCGCTGCAGTCGTTGAGGAACGGATGGCTGAGTAGCTCGTCGGCGGTGGCCCTTCGGTCGACCTCCACCTGAAGGCAGCGATCGAGGAAGTCCTGCAGGTTCGGACTGAGCTTGTCCCAGCTCTTGATGTCCGGCCGACCGTTGGCAGCGATCAGGTAGAGGGCGCGGAGCGGAGTCTCGTACAGATAGGGCGGCTGACCCTCGATCATCTCGATGGCCATGATTCCAATGGACCAAATGTCCACCTTCTTGCCGTACTTCTTGCGCGTGACCACCTCCGGCGCCATCCAGTACGGGGTTCCCACCATCGTCTGGCGCTTCTCATCGCCCTCGATGTTGGCGCAGAAACCAAAGTCAGTCACCTTGACGGAGCCATCCATGCCCAGCAACACGTTGTCCGACTTAATGTCCCGGTGAATGATGCCCTTGGCGTGCAGAAAGCTGATCGCGTAGAGTGTTTCGCGGCAAACGCACGCGATTTGGCGCTCCTTCATCACAGTCTCGGTAACGACGTCGGTCAGCGGGCCGCCGTCCATGTACTCCATGACCACCCACAGCTGATCCTCGGGCTCCAGCAAGTAGGCGTCGAGGAAGTTTACCAGGTTCTTGTGGTTAAAGTCCTTGAGCACCCGGATTTCGGTGAGTATGAGATCCTTTGAGGACTGGTTCTTCATGTCGATGGTCTTGACGGCCACCTGTGACTCGTTCTGCAAATCACCGGCTATGAAGACTATACCGGAGGCCCCCTTGCCCACCTCCTGGGTGGTCTTGTAACGTTCCCGGGGATCCTCTGGATTGCAGATGGCTCGCAGCTCATCGTAAATCTCGGCATCGGTCTTCTGGGTTCGCTTCTCCTTCGAGCGGCGCAGTATCGTCTCATCTGGATTGTCATCCGCTCCGGCATCTTGGGCACCGCCGGCTGGCTTGATGATGATAGTGTCGGTGTTAATCGTGTGCTGGTTGTTGTCGGAGTCCTCGTCCCGCCGGAGGTCCGATGTGCGTGAGAACTTCTGGGTTACCCGGGGTTTGGGCTTGATCTGTGGCTTAGGCGGCATGGCATGCGGTGATTTCTTGGGCGGCACTGGTGGTGGTTCTTGTGGCGCCGCCTTCAGCGTTTCGCGGTGCTCCAGATTGGACTTTAGCTCCTTAAAGACTTCTTCCAACGCGTCCAGTGGCACCGTTGACTGCTGGCTGCTGTCATTGATGCTGCTGCTGTTGCTGTTGCCTGTCGAGGATCCGCATCCACTGCTGCTTTCGTCCTCCGATTTCTCCGGATCCTGCGACTTGTGCTTGTTCTTGTAGTTGACATAGTTTTCGATCTCCTTGGACTCCTCGTGGATCACATCCTCGGTGATGAAGGGCTTGAACACCTCGTTCTCCTTCTTCTTGATCGAGTAGTTGTAGTATTTAACAGCATGGTAAGCGGCATCGGGATTTTTGTCCTGTTCATCGCGAGTAATCTGTTGGTTCATGAGACGCACCCAAGTTACCGGAAGGCCTTCCAGGTCGCCGGTCTCCTGGTTACGCGACACATGAAAATGCCGCTGGAAATTCGTGGGGGCACCGATTTCGGAGATCGCCTCCTTCTTCTTAAACCACTTGGTGAAGCTCATCTTGCTATCGGTTTTCCTTCTTTCCCTTTGTGTCTGGGTTTGAGTGTTGTTGGCGTGGGGAAATTTCCTCCAATGCGTTTAGTTACGCTCGACTTGGAAAATTCTAAACGCTCGACGACTTGTTGTTGTTTTTTTGCGTTTGGTATTGTTACTGTTACTCAAGCCACCACTCTCGCTCTCTTTCTCGCTCCCTCTCACTGAACCAGCCGTGAGTCATAAACATGCACGCACACTCGTTCGCTCGGCCTGCGCTTTTGTGTGTGTCTCGTTTGTGTGGGTGAGAGAGCTCTTCTTATCTCTAACTGTAGTTGTAGTTTCTTTTGCTTAACGAAAACGCAGAAGATTTTCACTTTTTATTGGCCCCACTCGCTTCGCTAATTATTAATTTAGCTACCTTAATTTATTCAGAAATCACCAGTTTTCAATTGCTCAACACACAAAGGCGGACGCGGACACGAACACGAACACATCTCGAAGTCGGACACAAAAGGAGTGGCCGTCGCAGTCTTGTTCTTCCTCTGTCTATTGTTGTTGTTGTCGCGAGGCCGAAAACTCCCTTTCCGTTTTTAAACGTTCCAGGGTTCCATGACTTAACTGCAGCTTCCTAATGTAGTTTTTACCGCTAAACGCTTCACTCTAAAATTAATAACTTCTTTGGATTTTCCCCTTCGTTGCAATCGTTGCACTTTGCCTGATATTGCTGTCGCACTCGCACTAGAGTTGTGGCGATTATGCGATACGTATACGATATGATTATTTGCTACTAGTAACCAAGCATAAATTGGTTTTTAACTTCGCGGATTTATGATGTTTTTAAGCTTTACAATTTATGTTTTTTACGAGCCGAAAAACAAGCGCGCGTGTAATAACGTCTTGAAAATTGCAGACTAAGTGTGACCGCAGAGCATAGGCTCCGACAAAACCGTCTGGCAGTGTGACCATTTCGATAACGATGTCATAGCCGTTTATGACTATCGATGTTTCTTTAGATTTTCTTGATCTAGTATGTTAACCCTTTGAGGGGCAGTGGGAAGTATACTTCCCACCTGTTTCTTTGCCGTTTTTAATTAATCTCTTTCGCACTGCACTCGTTTTAGTAAAAATATATTATCATTTAGACTCTCAAATACTTATAAAAAGTTATGAAAAAAAAATTTTCGTGAAATTGTTATTAATTAATTAGTTATAAAAATTCAAACTTGAAAAAACGGTTGTGTTTTTGAATAAATTCAGCTGTGTGCAAACTACAGTTCCAAAAATTATGAAAATTTTTTTCTGACGAGCATATACATTGAACAAAAACATATGTTTTTTTCAGAATTTTCGGCAGGCTAGTTTTCATGAAAAATTTTTTTGAATAAGTTGGAAATAGTGTTATTTGACGAATCTTTCCGTTTGATTTCATTATTTGTTACGCGGCGAAATTCAAATATCAATGGTTGTACATAGGTTTTCGGGGTTGCTGATAACGATTTTGATATCAGTAGATTAATATCCAAAATTTCACCAATCCGATATCAGAATCGTAATCAGCGACCCCGAAAACCTATATACAACCATTAATACTGAAATTTCGCCAAAGAGAAAAATGTGCCCCTCAAAGGGTTAAAGTTAGTACATTTATCACAGTTATAAATATATGCAAGGTTTTTTGAAATTAGTTTTTTTTGTAAGTAAACAAGATATTGCTTTAAATTTATTAATGGTTGTTTCATTTTCTTAAACTAATTTTTAGACAGACAAGCTTAAATTTAAATCTACTGAGGATTTTTATTTGTGGCCAACTACTTTCAAACGAGAAGTAGCCAACCCGCTCTTCTTCGAATCATCTTTATTATATATTAAAATTTTGAAAAATCCATTTACCTTGGATCTGCCTTTTATCTAAAAAATAAATGATTTTTAAATCCTCAATCAAATATCTGATTCGCAACCCATTTCAACTTATCACCAAAGCGGAAGTTCATTGCCGTACTCACCGCTGTAAACAATAATAAAATCAGAGAATCTGGAAGATAGTAAAATAAAAAACCCAACTGACAATGCTTAATTACGGCCAACGGTGCAGCTTCTTCAGAAATCGTGTACCCGTCCAGATAACGGCTGCCAATTGATAAAGCGCTAGCGAATATATCGACTTACGGATTGTAAAAGCTGGTTAGTTTCCATTCGTCCGGAGAGCCATGCAAAAGCCTCGAGTCCCGATTTCGTTTCTCCTGCAATTCGGGATTCTTTTCATCCTGGAAGCGTTCCGTGTAGAAGCAGCAGCTCAACGGTCTCCAGACAGTCGGATTGTCAATGGAAGAGAAGCCGCGGAGGGAGAATTCCCATACCAGTTATCTCTGCGCCGCCAAACGGTTCACATCTGCGGTGCCTCGATCCTGTCCAGCAACTGGGCCATCACGGCCGCCCATTGCATCGATGGTCATGAGATGCAACCACGGGAGTTTACCCTGCGTCAAGGAAGTGTCAAGCGTTCTACGGGCGGAACTGTCCAGCCGGTGAAGACCATCCACAAACATCCGGCCTACGATCGGGCGGACATGAACTTCGATGTGGCCCTCTTGCGAACGGCGGATGGAGCACTAAGTTCCCCGCTGGGCAAGGTGGCTCCGATTCGATTGCCCGCTGTGGGCGAGACCATCTCGGATAGCATTCCCGCCATCGTCTCCGGATGGGGTCACATGAGCACCACCAATCCCGTTTTGTCGCCGGTACTCAAGAGCACCACTGTGCTGACTGTCAACCAGGAAAAGTGCCACAACGACTTGCGACACCATGGAGGCGTAACAGAAGCGTAAGATGGGAAAAGGGATGCTTTAAGCAATTTTATCAGACATACTACAGAAAGATTAATATGATCTGCGGTATCAAAGAAATTTCTAAAGCTCGAAAATATCTTTAAATGGTTCTTTAAATTAATCAATTTTTAAATAAGTCAACAAACATTTAATAAGAAACTTAAAAGAGGTTTCCATTATTAATAGATTTTATCCGCCACCTTTTTCTGCCAGACGCCATAACTTAATTTGCTTTTAAAATGTTTGTCACCAGAAGTTGAAGTTCAAAGCTCTAGACAACTTCCCTCTGAGTCTGAACAAATTAAGAATTTATCTCTTCTGAAAATTGTATGAGTTGGTAACAAGCTGTTTTTTCCCAACTCTCATATTGTGGTGTGTCACATAAATCTCCGGTAATTTTTGGGTCTGTTGAAAAGAAATCAAAATAAAAAAGCTTTATCATTAAGATCCAATTTAGCAAACCCAGCTTTAATTGCTTTTCAATAGTAACTTTTTTGGGAATTTTTGCCTACCGTAAGCTACAAAGCCAATTCATTTTTAATTACCGTTTATCCAATCTTCCAGAATGTTTTGTGCTGCCGCCAGAAACACGGATGCTTGTCAAGGTGAGTAAAGATAATTAAATACTGTCGGTGCCGATAATAAAACACTGAACCTGATCGTTCTTGAAGGTGACAGCGGAGGTCCGATTACCTCCCAGGGAACCCTTATCGGAATAGTCTCCTGGGGAGTGGGATGCGCAGATCCGTACTATCCGGGAGTTTACACCCGCCTGGCCCATCCAACTATCCGCCGGTGGATTCGGCTGCTCACGAAGTTGTAGACTTTTAGCTAATTCGTTAGAAACTAATACACGAAGGTACCACAGCATAAATCAGTTAAAGTCTTTTCTGTTAGAAGGGGTCGTTTAATACGTGAAAAATGTAGTAGGGAAATGGTTTATTGCGGATTCTTGTGGTAAGTTTTAGAAATGAGTGTAGTTTTAATTGTATAAATCCCAGCTTGTGCACATTAAAACAAAGTATAAATAAAATAAAAGTAATCAATATGGTACAGACCAGCGCAAAATTTATAATTAAATACTTTTTGAATATTAAATAACCGCGCTTCAACTACCGTTACCACCCCGATAACCAGACAGCTGATTGGTTGTGGAAGACGATAACCGATAAGCTAACACAGCGATAGACAATTGGATGGGAAAATGTACGCTCCTCTTGTGCGAAATTTTTGTTGATTTTTCGACGGTTATTTTTAATGTTATCTATTAAATAAAAGCGGGTTCACACCACAGTGCAATAAGAGCCGCCTTCGAAATATAGAAAATTACAAAATTCGCCCAAAAAGAGCACATTTCCCTGGGATCCGACGAGGGAGTGGCAGGTGGAGCAATAGCGGGTGGTGGCGGCACGCATTCTAATTAGGGTAAGTGCGTCTGAAAAGTACATCGACATACGACACCCCAGATCAGCAATCTATAGCTCTATATACAATTCACCCAGTTTTGTGCTGAATGTCCTACTGGCGTTGGTTGTGGCTGGCCCTCAAGATGATTTACCAGCTGCTGTGCTGCTCGGTGAGCCTGATCCTCTTCTGCTTCAATGTGTTCTGGCTGTTCTGCAACTTGGCCATACCGTGGTGCACTCTCACCCTGCTCGTCGTTTGCATCGCCTCCAAGTTTGTTAAGCTGCAGCGGAGTCCCAACGAGAAGCGTCTGCTCAGCCTGCTGAGCTCGCCCGAGGATTGGCCCACTTACTGGCCCATCGCCAATCGAGCGGCCGGCTTTGATGCGCCCGAAAACTCAAAGGCAGCCATTAAAAAGGTGGGTGACGTCATGAGCCGGTAGTTCAGCGATACAAAAATCAATAACATCCCCTGTTCCACCCCCTTTATAAAACAGTGCCTCGCACGTGGATATCGGAACGTGCTTCTGGATGCCGGCCTTACGTCCTGCGGCGAAATAGTCGTGGCTAACCCCAAACGAATCAATGTGGCCCAACAGCCGCTGGCGGAGCTACAAAAGTTAAACATCAGTGAACAGCATCCAATGGGGTGAGCCAATCAATCAGGTGGAAGTGTCCTTTAATCATTATTAACCTGTCATCGCACACAGGTCGCAGTACGAGGCTGAATCGGTGGCCTCCCTCAAGCAAATTTCCGAGTTTCTAGAAGCGGAGGCCTCACAGGCCACTGTGTTTTTGCGCTTACACGACAACAGCGCGAGGATGATTGACCAGCTGCAAAAGTTTATGACCGCCGACCAGACGTTTACCCAACGCACAGTTGTGATTAGTCGCTCGCCGCTGGCTATTTACCAGGTGAGATGGCAATATTGTGGTTTTATATTTTTAAGTTTTTATATCTTTTCTCTTTCAGCTGCGCAAGCTTAAGCCAGAGATCATATGCGGGCTTTGGCACGAGACTTACTTGTCACTCGCAATCCTCAAATCTTCGACACTTATTACCTCTATCTATGGCGCTATTTTGCGTAACATAATTGCCCCCGTGATCGGAATAAGCCTTGTCTTTCTCAGTAAGGAAGAGATCAACTTGTAAGTCAAAGTAAAAACAAAAAAATTTTTTTCTTTTTATTTGCATTGAGCTTTTTTCTTTGTGCCTATCATTCTAGTTTAATTTTAATATGTAATTTTTTCAGACACATTGCCGATCTGTGGCGGAATGTGGGCGTCCGTCCAATAGTCTACATGGTGAATTCACCCAACGAGAAACGCTATTTCCAAAAGACCATGAAGATTCAGTATCTCACGGATTCGCTGCGGTCGGAACCGCACCTCCTTATGAAGGCCTAGGAAGATCTTGGGGAATTCAACGAACAAAAACGAAATAGATCGACGCACACACCTACACAAACTGTTTGCATTTAGCAGCTGGCAGAGCTTAGCCTTTAAGAAGAACTTATGTACGCATGTGGTTTTGTAGAAGCTTTAGAAAGTATTATCCCGAGTTTACCAGCCCCAGTGAGATTGAAGATATAATTTAGTAATGTGCTTTTATTGTGTTTAGCTGTAGTTTTTGTTCATTTTATTTACGTCCTGACTTATTTATTTTGTTATTTATGGATTTACTTGGTTTACCCAATACTGCTTTATTTAAAATGTTCTCAAAGTTTTATAGGCTTACGCGATGTACAATATTTCTACTTATTACTCAACACACAATCATACGCCCTATATGGCGTACGAGTTTTGGATGTGCTATATATACATACACGCAGCTTTTATATGATTCCCCTTGTTACCCAAATCCCTAATGTAATCAATCGAAAGCCTTCGAAAAGTTTACCAGCATTAGATATGTATGTCTATACCAAAAACCATATTTATTAAAAACTACCTTTTATTATGATAAGAAATAAAGACGAGTGCAATGATTGATTTATATTCCTGTCTTTTCAATAATGAGGTTTCAGTCAATAGGTTTACGAATCTTTATTATTTTTGTGAATTTTCGATAGTGTCTTAAACGATAAACTCTCTATATATATATTTATTAATAATGTGTAATGCCTTAAATCTATTAAGGATTTTGCATTTCTGAGCGGGTAGAGCCATGCCAACCTAATCCCACCGGAACGAGGGATTAACAATTGAACTTAAATATTATCTCGTCTTCATTAATTGATAAATGCAAACTTTTTATACAGAAGTTTAGAAAATAGGTACAAAATGCAATATTATAAAATAACTAAAAAAAATTATACAAAGTGGTGCAAGCTGATGGATAAAATAGCTGCGTCTTACTTCCGGCGGGATCGAGTGGCCCGCTTGGGCGCGTCCTCACTGCTGGCGACCTCCGGTGCCGCCTCAAAGTGCACCTTCCTGCCCCTTCCGCCGCGCGCTGGCGGCGCAGCTGTAGAGGTGACGGCTTCGACTTGGGGCTCCTCGGCCGGCGGTTCCGGCTCCGCTGCCTTGGCGCCTCGTGCTCGACTGCGAGCTGCCGGCTTCTTGACCGGCTCCTCCTGCTCCTGGTTGGTGGCAGAGGCTTCTACAGGCGTCTTGGCACGTGATCCACCTCGTGCCTTCTTGGCAGGCGGATGCTCCTCCGGCTCAGGCTCGACCTTGGCCTTGCGCGCCGTGGCGCGTACATTCTTTTTGGCCGGTTTGGGGTCCGTCTCCTCTGTTTCGCTGTGGGCTCCACGAGCTCCTCGTTTGCCGGCTGGAGGAGCTGCATCCTCTGCCTTTCGTCGAGTGCCTCGCCCCTTCGCGGCGGGCGCTGGCTCGTCTTCCGCTGCGGACGCCTCTTGAGGCTCTGGTGATGCCTTCTTCGCAGGTGGCTCCTCGGCCTCGACAGTCTTGTCCTTGACTCTCTTTGGAGTCGCCGGTCGCGGCGATGAGTCCACAATCAGTTCGAGAGCTTTAGCAGTGGGATGGCGAACCCGGCGACCTCGAGCCGAAGTGGGCTTGTCCTCGTCTGGCGCCTCCGTGTAGTTCTTGCGCGGCAGATTGCGACCTTCGCGCCGCTGCGAGGTTGTTGGCTCCGGCAGGACAACCGTATTCTCTGGAGTGGCTTCAACCTCGACGAGGGGTGGTTTGGTTACCGGTGTAGCTGGAGGTGCTTCTTGTTCTGCTGCCTTGTTGGCCAGCGCTTTGGAAGCCGCTGGCTTGCGTGCCCGACGCGATGCGGAGTGCGGTTTGTCGTCGTCTGGTGCCTCTTCGTAGTTTTTACGCGGCAAATTGCGACCCTCGCGGCGCCTCGGGGTTAGTTCTTCGGCGTCGCTAGTCTTCACTGGGGAGCTCAAAATAACCGTGACAGCCGATACATTTTCCGATGGCAGGTCCTGCAAATCGATCTGCTTTGTCTCTTCCTCCACATGGACATCCTCCTTGCGTCCGCGTCGTGTTGTCGCCTTCTTGGCCACCGGCGTTCCCTCGTCGTCATTCGCTGAAGCCTTGCGGACACGTCGCGCTGTTGGTTTTTTCTCTGCTGCTGCGGGCACTGGAGTCGCATCCACATCAGCACTTGGCTTCCTACCGCGTCGAGTTGTCTTCGCCGCTGGTGGTTCTGCGACCTCAGAAGCAGACACTGATGGGGTCCCCTCCTTGTGCTCTGCCTCCAAAGATGCCCTTCCACGAAGCTTTGCCTTGGGCTCAACTGGTTCCTCAGTTGCCGGGGGCTCATCTTCGGTAGCTTTGCGTCCACGTCTGCGTGAATGCGATGGGATCTCTGCAGGCTCCTCTGGCGAAATCTTTTTAATTGGTTCCTCAATCGTCTCTGTTGTGGGCTTTCGGGCGCGTCGCCGGGTCTTGTGCACCTCCTCCTCCTTCGGCTGCGGCTTGGATGGCGCCGGTTCCGGTTCTGTTTCTGGCTGCGGCTCGACTGCCTCTTGGATTTGCTGAAGATGCTCCTGCTCGCTGGTAGAGACGGTTTCAACAGTTTCGGCCGAAGCTTTGCGAGCATTACGCCTGGTCTTTTTCTCGGGCTCCACAACCTGCAAGGGCGGCTCCTCGCGCCCCGCTGGCGTTCTGCCCCTTCGCTTGGGCCTTTCCGAAGCCTCTTGGGCTACAATATCAATGTCCACCGACGGCTTGCGTCCTCGACGCTTGGGTTTTTCGATTGGTTCTTCTTTAGTTGATTCCTGGACATTAGGCACATGTTCTGCTGATTTGCGGGTTCGTTTCGGGGGTTTACTTTCCTCCTCCGGAATCGGCTGGTCTTCCTGGACAGAGACTAGCGCTTCCTCCGCTTTGGCCTTCTCTGCGTCATTACTGTGCTGATTACTTGGGGTCGCTTCCACTTCCTCTGCAGATGGTTTACGACCTCTTCGTTTCGGTTTCTCCGCTGGAACTACTTTAATGGCCTCCTTGTCCTGCTCGTCAACAGAATGTATTTCTTCTAATTTGTGCTTCTTGTCTGGGACCTTGCTTACATCTTCTGATGCTTTGCGTGCCCTTCTAGTTGGCTTTCCTGGGTGCTGTTGAGTAATAGTTTCTGTTATAGTTTCATGCTCCTCATTTAAAGCCTGAACTGGTAAGGATGGTTGAGGCTCCTGTGGTTCAGATATTTCGGGTTGCTCTTCATTGGAATGCAGAGTTTGGTCTTCTTTAACGACTGGCAGAGTATCATGAGATTTTTCTTTCTTGTCCGATGTGGTTTCAGTTTCTTTTGCAGATGCCTTGCGGGCTCTTCTTTTCGGCTTATCTATAGAGGCCTCCTTCTCCTTCTTCTCCACCACTGTCTTAGCTTCTTCCTTCGATTCGTCTGGTTTAGGCTTTTCAGAATCCTGATCATAATGATCATTATGTGATTCCGGAATTTTATCTTCTTCGACGGATTCCAGAACATTCTCGGTCCTTTCCTTCTGGTCTGATGTTCCACCCGATTCTTTTGCAGATGCCTTTCGCCCACCTCTCTTAGGCTTTTCTGTCTCCTTTCGATTGGTATCATCCTCTTCGTTTGCCTCCGTTGGTTCCTCAACTTCTGCCTCTTTCTCTTCTTCCAGGATTGGTTTCAGGACTTCCTCCGGTTGATGTCCGACTTCTATATCCTTTTGTTCGATTGGTTCTGAACGCTCTGCGGAGGGAGTACGTCCTCGTCTTCTTTTCTCGATAGCTTTAGGTTTAGCCTCATCCACCTCAACCGATGGATTTCTACCTCGCTTAGCGTGAACATCACCCACTTGATTATTATCCACAGCATGCTCTTCGACTTCCGGTACCTCAGCTGATGGTTTTCGTCCTCGTCTCTTCGGCCTCTCAGAACCGGCAGCTTCAGCAGGTCGGTCAGAAGACGCCGATCCCTTTCTAGTAGCCCTTTTCACTGGCTTAGCATCTTTCTCTTCTGGGGACTTGTCCTCATGTTTTGCTGGCTTGTCAGAAGGTCGATTCATCATCGTTGTTTTTGTTGGGTCAGAAATTTCATCCTCTAGATCACTCAATTCCAAAGTGACTATTTCTTGGTTTTCGGTTTCCAAACCTGTCGAAGTTATTTCAGCAGGCTCCTGACTTGGATTTACTTCACTTTTGTTTTCAGGTATTCCGGAATTATCCTCGAATGCTGGAATGTCTGTCGTTACCAAGATCGAAGAACTATCTGCTTTTTCTTTAGCTTGTATTTCATTGTCTTGTTTCTCGAAGGTTTTATCTTCTTCGGATGGTTTAGTTATTTCTTCCTGGGTATTATCCAAATCGAGGTCGATGATTTCAGTAGCGGCGACTGATTCTTTTAATGGCGACGATTTGGAAACATCCGCAATAGAGAGGTTATCCGATTCCTGAGGCTCCTTTGTTAGAAGTACACTTCGTTTTGATGCAGAAGGTTTTTCTTCAGCAATAGCAGCAGAAAGTTTTTGAGGTAGAATTGAATCCGTTTCAGGTCCCTGGGCACTAGAACTTGAATCATCCAGATCAATGATTTCACACACTTCTGTTGATGAGATTTCAGGCTGCATTTTTTGAGGAGACAATTTACCATCCTGTTGTTCAACTGGCTGGTTTTGCTCACAAGATATGTCGTTGGATTTGTCAATTAGCTCATCGGCTGATTCAACTTGTTTAATATTTTCGTTTTTAGCGCTCAGTTCAATGATCGACTGTTTCTTGACTCCATTTTTAACCTCCTCCTTTTCCAAGCTGTGAATTTCTAAGAGGGATATTGGAGCTTCTTTAACTTCTGACGGTGTTTTAGAAATATCGCTTGAAATTTCCTGTTCCTTAATTGAGGACTCCTGTGCTTCTGCTATTGAATCATCAATCTTAGGTTCTTCAACAGTTTCACTCATATTGTCTTCGTGATTTGTATAAGGAGTGGATAATTTACTAGCGTGTGATGGTGACGCCTCAACACTTAGCATTATTTCTGGGTGAGATGTTTCGGTTGTTAAAGTATTTGTTGTAGAAACTTTGGTGTTTACCAATGAAGTATCCTTACTATTTTCCTTCTCAGGAGTCTTCTTCACAGGGGGCGATTGTAAAACACCTTCTTCAATGCTTTCAGGATCAACAGATATTCCCTTTCCATCACTTAATAGCTTGCTAAGTACCACGGTATCTACGGATGTGTTTAGCTCAACATTTTGGGAAGTTATCTGCTTCACTGCCACAACTTCTTGATCCGTAGATAATACTTGCTTTGTTTTGTCGAACCTAGAGGATTCATCAAAAATAGAAACTTCTTTGTGTTCATCAGTCGCTGAATCTTCAACTACACAATGCTCATCCAGTTTAATTTGCTCTTCAGTGCTGGATGCGTCCAGATCAATCACTTCATCGTCAGCTCCGTTTTGGTTAGATGATTTTTTGGACACACCTGTTTTATCCTCCTCTTCGGAAATACAATCCTTTTCGGGCTGATCAGGGACGGTGTCATCAATTAGTGCACTTTGATGCTGTAGAGTTTGGTGCTCATCATTGCTTGAGGCATCCAATTGAATATTTTCGTCGGCAGGTACGTTTTGATCAGTTTTAGTAGCTTCTTCCTTATCCAGAGGGCTTTCTTCTTTTGCTGCGTCGAACAAAGATGATTCAGCCAAACTAGAAACTCCTTTGGACTGATCAGTGACACAATCATCGAGTAGGGAATTTTCGTCCAGGGGAAATTGCTCGACTGAACTTGAAGCATCCAAATCAATACATTCATCGTTGGATTGCTTCTTATCGGAAGACTCTAGAACTGGACTTTCCTTCTCAACTTCCTGTACTGGCGCATTTTCCTTTGATTTTTCGACCACAGATGTATGGCCCGAAATAGAATCTGATTCAGATTTGTTAATCTGTGAGCTTTCATCCAATAAATTGGGCTCTATACTCGAGGCATCCATATCAATCTCCTTATCGTGGGATCGTCCGTTTTGATTAGAGCTCTCAGTTTTCTCCTTATCTACAGGCGATTCCTCGTAAGTCACGGATTCATCAACTAAAGAACTTACATTTGGTTGACCAGACTCTGCAGCTTTACTGTCTGGAGAACTTGTTGTTTCCACCGAAATCGTATCTTCTACAAAATCTTGGCTTACAGTTTCAGTTTTTTCGTTAGAAATGGCTTCTTCTGGCTGATCCAATTCATCTTCATTCCTCTCACAAATATCGGAATCGCTAGATGTAGGTGCTTCATCCTCCTTTTGTGAATCAACATCTGCAGCAATTGATTTTTCTGACGAGTCCACATCCCCGGAGTCTTCGATCTCAACTGTTATTGCAGGCGGTTTTTGTTTTGCCTCTTCGTCACTTGCAGTTTCTTTTTTAGTTGGGATAGACTCACATAAAGATTCTGCTTCCGGCTTTTCATCCTCGATTGAAATCACAGATTCATTTTGAGCAGTTTGTTGAACTTCGATTTGGTTTAAAATTGGGAGTTTTTCAGCAACTTTATCAGTCTCATCAACTTGGTCAACAGATTTTTCAAGCGCAATATCAGTTGCTGCTTCAGTAGTTTTTTCAAGAGGTGGATCAGATTTGATTTCTTCCGAGAGTTCTTCGGAAGTAGATGTTTCGAGGACTGGTTGTTCAGTTTCTGGATCGATAGGCACCTCATTAGGTTCGGCCTTTTCTGGAAGCTCCTCGGCAGAAGATGTTTCCATGACTTTTATACAAAGTTTATTATCAGTGGAATCCTCTTCGAGTTTTAGTTCTTCTTGATTTTTTTCGGAATGTGAAGTTTCGATGTTTGGTTGATCAGTTTCTGCATCAGCGGGCACCTCATTCTGTTTTCTTTCTTCGAACACTGCTTTAACTGTCGATTTTTCGCTATCCTCTGCATCATTTTCTGCATCAGTAGGTTCCTCATTTGGTTTAACTTCCTCTGGATTTTCTTCGGAAGGTAATGTTTCAATGACTGAGTGGTGTGACTTTGAATCGGAAGGCTCGTCATCAGCCTTAAGCTGTTCAAAATGTTCCTCTGAAGGCGATATTTCGACAACTGCTGAATTAGTGTTTTCTTCAGTGATCACCTCACAAGCTTTTTCTTGTGGAACTTCTTCGGAAGGAGATGTTTCGATGACTGGTTCGTTGGTTTCAGCGGTTGTGGACAGCTCATCAGGTTTGTCTGATTCAAATGGTGATGCTTTAATATCTAACTGATCCGTTTCTGTATCAGTAGGGGCCGCATCAGACATGGGTTCTTGTGAATGCGTTTCGGTTGCTGATTGATCAGTTTCTGTATCAGTGGACACCTCATCGTGTTTGGATTCGTTCTGATAATCCACAGAACGCGAAGTTTCGAGGACTGGTTGGTCAATTTTTTCTGGAAGATCTGTAGAGGGTGATGTTTCAGTGACCCGTTGGTGAGTTTCTGCATCGGTGGTCTTTTTAAGTTCAATTTCAGCGGAAGGTAATGGTTGATCCAAGCTAGCTTCTTCGGCAGTATTTTCAGCTGGAACTTCGCTTAAACTCAGTTCGACGTTGGATGAAATCTCATCAGCATTGCAGTTGGAAACAATAGCCGAACTATCTGTTGTTGAGTCCAGAGCAAATATCTCAGACTCCAAGATAGTTACATCAGCAACCGCGGACTGGTTATTTTCCTCAGCAGGTGCTTCCTCATCCTTAGAATTCTCTAGTTTAATTTCCTGAGTTTTCTCAGCTTCAAGTTCATTATCTTTCGGTTTGGTGGCGCTGATACTGTCCTCCATTGTAGTATCTTCAACTTCAATCAATGAGACTTCACTAACTGAATTGTTCTCGTTTTCATTTACAGTTGATGCCTCATTAACAGATTTGTTGTTTGGCAAAGCGGAGGTTTCTTCGAGTTTGTAGGCTATAGATGGTTCTCCTAAGCTGGAAGGCTTTTTGGGCGTCACCTCAGAGTCCTCTGGCTCATCCTCGTCATCACTGAATACTAGGGGCTCAGTAAGACCTACGTTTGAGTCTGTGTCGGAGCGATCTTCAATGTTATCTTTAGGTTGAATGGTCTGACCAGACGCCCTTGTCTCGTCCACAGTGACGTCGCAGGATTCCACGTTTGACACAATGAGAGGCTCCGAGAACATAGAGTCCGATGTCTGATCCAGCAACTGAATTCCGCTCATCTCATTTGGGTCTGGCGAATTTGTCCTAGAGTCTCCTTCTGTAAACGCACTTAGGTTCAGGTCGGCCTGCATTGCTGCCTTGTATGTGGTGCTGGTCAAAGGATCTTTGTGCGAAACTACTCCTGGGGCCGATTTACTGCAACTCATCAGAGCCTCCGACGACACAGACTCGTTTGGCTTTGAGGATCCTAAGGGATCAGCACCCGTTGCTGTGCTGAGCGCAGTCACATTTATCTCGCTTTCGGTGTCATTCATGTTCGCGCCAGTCGATTCGGGCACATCATCGAAGATCTTGTCCAGATGCAGCGTCGTATTTGTCATGTTCAGATCGTATTCGGTGGTCGCCGCCACTGAATCCTCGCGGGACTTCAATACCGCGCTAGCTGGCTCATTTGGAACCATGATATTCCTTGCGCTTGGCGTCTTCAGAACTCCATCCAGTGTCTTTCCCTGATCCACGCGAGCAACTGTAATGTTCCTGCTCTTGTGGTGGGGCGTGTTACCGGCAGAAGTGTCCAAGAGCTCTGCCATGTTGCCCAAAATTGGTGAGGCGGGAATCTTTGGTGTGCGCATCATTTCCCTTAGCCCTTTGAAGCGTGGCGTGCTGCAGCTCTTGGGGGTTTTTAACAAATCTTTCAGGCCGTGGTAGTCAACCTTGTCTGTTTCATCGACAGCCAGTTCGTTCCCATAGTTCTCATCCTCAGGGATGGCAGATTTTTCCTCTGTAAGGTAGTAATAAATTAGTTGTTTGCCGAGTATACCTATGTATTTATTTTTGATAAAACATAATCCGGTAATTCAATAATTAATTAAAATATTATTTGAAATAGAAGTACGCTTTGGCGGTATAATTTAGTTATTTCTGTAAGTCACAAATTTATAACCGGAATCTTATCTTATCTTATCTTGCAAAAAGAAAATTTTAGAATAAGATAGGGTCTTAACTTACCGTCCTCTTGACCAACTTCCTCCAAAATGACGCCCATGTCACCAACTGACTCATCCACTGGAAGATTCCTCTTGGGCGTATTCATCAGACGTTTTGATTGACGCGTAGGCGTGGACATTTCCTGTGAGAACCGCCGCTTTCGCCGCGGTGTACCCAGATCTTGACTTTCCACCGCCGAGCAGGATGCGCGGCGAGTGGGTTTCTTGTTGACCTCCGTCAACGCCATACGGCTAGCGTCCACTGAGGATTTTCGAGTGCTCCTGCGTGGCGTTGTGGCCACTGCCCTCTGATCAACAGAGAGGCGGCGCAAGCTTCTCCGAATCACAGGAGTTTCCACATTTGGGCTTTCTTTCTTTTGTGGCGTGTTGACTGCCGGAATAATTTAAAAAGTCAGTTTTGTTCTTACGAAGGTTTCAATTTACGGCTTACCTTTTTCAATTGGTTTGTTAGTGGATTCAACATTGGATGGTAGCTCTTCGCAAACGATTTCACCAATTACTTTCTCCGGATTAACTGAAATTGATAAACAAGACCAGTGTAAAGATCTCTTCAAATATATTTAAGTTTATTTCTCGCTTACCACTGTCGGTTTCGTGAGGAATATTGGCATGAACTTCTTCACAGATACTATCTTCAGCAATAGATACTTCTAATTTTTCTTCGACTGAAACAGGCAAAGTTTCGCTTTTTTCCTTGTCTTGATGAATGAAATTTGAAGGAGTTTCAGATTTCTGCTGATTCTCAACAGTTTCCGAATTTGCATCTGCACTTTGTTCGTCTTTAGTTTGTGATGTACCGGCTGTAAATTAATTTGCCAGTAAATTTATTATTAATTCCAAATTAAATTGTAGACTCACCTTTTTCTATAGATTCATCAGCGGACTCAATAGTTTCGACCGGAATATTTGCATGAAGTTCCTCACAAATACTATCCTCGATAATGGGTGTATCTGGTTTTTTGGTTTCTGAAGCTTCACTTCTTTCCTTGTCTTGAAGATTGGCATCTGAGGGAGTTTCTGGCTTCTGCTGATCCTTAACTGTTTTCAAATCATTTTTGGCACAAGGTTCTAGCTTGGATTTGTTCTCGTCGAGTATGGCATCATCTTGCTTGGACAGTACTTCTTCCTGTTCAGATTTTAACTCAAATGTCCTATTATTGTCCGCAATTGTGGATTGGTTCTTGTCTTCGGTAGAAGTTGGTTCTGTGGACTTTGTGAGCGGGAGGCTCTTATCGAATATTTCGGAAGACAACTGAAAGGACACGTCGCTTTCAACATCTCCAGAAATAAGAGCAGCAACCGCCTCAATTACTAATCCTGATCCACTCTGTTCCTTTCCTTGGGTGTCATCCATGACAGTGAACGTTCGACTTAACTCGTCCTTTGAGTCGTCCAATTTCTCCGGAGTTGAGCACTTATTCTGGGGCAGATTAAATGTTTTTCTGGGGCAGGGCGATGACGGCTTCGAAGATCCCGGCTTGGGGGAGCCGCTCTTGGGCGAGTTAAGCGATCGGCACGCCTTAGCCACCAGCTTGTTGCTCTTGTCAACGGCGGGACTTCGTTTGGCCGCCGCTAAGGACTTTCTGATCTGGGAGACCTTGTTCTCGCGAGGTGACTCCAAGTGCAATGTACGCCTGCGTGGTGAGGTATTGGGCGCCTTAGTCCTTGGACGCTCTTCTGGCCGATGGACTGGTGTCCGCCTGTGCGGATGGAAGGGCAAGCGGCGGGGAGTGGTAAGGCACTGCCTGCGTGCTTCCAGCAGCGATGGTCGCTTGTTTGGCGTGGCACCTGGAGTGGTCGTACCTGACTGGTTGGCGGTGATCTGCTTCTTGGTACTGGTCAACAGCGCCCTTTTTATCAGCGAATGAGGGGTTCGTTTTGGTGTGGCGCCTGTGGTGCCAGCCGGACGCCTAGGAGTTTTGTACCGTTGTGAAGCACCTGTTTGAGGCGGTGTTGACGAGTTGGTTATATCAATGACCAGCGGCGATGCATCGGACGACTCGTCTGTGCTGTCCACACTGATGGCCGAAGGTGTCTGCTTGGGAGTTGGTCGGAGCTTTGAGGGTGTAGTTAAGTCGATGAGAAACATGGAGGATGCTCGCTTTGCTTTCTTCGAGGTGGATGGCGTGCCAAAGTCCATCAGATCGCGGCTGCAGCTATCATCGTTCAGCTCGGATAGCACACCACCCTTTGGTGTGCTGTAAACGCTCTTGGGCGTGGACACAGTGACCGTGTCAGCTTTAACCGGCTTGCGTACACAGGTGAAAGACTTTTGCAACTTGACGCCAGTCTCGCGTGGTGAGAAGGAGGTGATAACCACGTCGGAACGGGCGCACAGCTGCAACAACTTCTTGTGGCTGCCCGGTGGCGTAGCCGTGTTTTCCTTGTTCTGCGTGGCCTCCAATAAGTCGACCTTGGGCGACTCGCAGGCGGTGGTCTCTGTGCTCGGCGGAGTGGAGAAATTTAGACTGTCCTCCTCCAAGTGAGAGCTCTGATCGCGTGAATCTATCGAAGTATTGCCCTCATCATCCGAATTGATGCTGTAGTGAAAGCTGAAAAAGAACCGGGAAAAACAGGGTTTTATGAGGTCCATTAACAAAAAGGCAACACATGCTTGCGGCAGAGTTTTTTTCCTATTGTTGTTGCTGTAAGGCTGCACACTCAAGGAATTTTAGGGGTTGCCAGGTAGCTGAGCTGGCGTTTGCCTGCTGTTTTTCACTTACTTGTGAACTGTCAGGCGTTTATCGGTCTGCGGACGATGCGATTGCTAACGCAAATAGAAAACATAGGGAACATGTAAATCTTGGAAGACTGTACTTGCAGTCGATTATTTTAGACACTTACCTTAAGCGAGGGACAGGAATTCGAGGCCTGCTCGACGGGCGACAGTCGCTCTGGGGTTCTGGGTTCATCCTGCGTCTTGGAAGACTTGGGGAACTCCCAGATGTAGACCTTGTCCCGAATGGTGATCCGTTCGCCGTGAAGCAGTGGACGCTTGCCGTGGATTGCCTTGTCGTTTAGATGGATGGGTTCCTGGCTGGACTTGTTGTAGATGTTTACCTAAAGATTGACAACCCTGAATGTAAGGGGAATTCATAGGGGTTTCCTGCTATTAAGACTCACCCTGCCGTAGGGGTCGCAAATTATTTCGCAAATCAGGCGCTCCTCCTGTGGGCCTTCCAGGATTAGGTCGCAGTTGAAGTAGGAGCCAACCTGAAAGGTACGTCCCTTGGCCGCCAGGACTACGGACTCACCATTTTCGTCCTCGTAGCGCAATCGAGCGCCATCCAGTGACATTTTCCCAGCGGCGTCGCAAATGCGGCTTGGGTGCGGGGAAAATGAATACCGAAGCGAAGACTAAGAGCCGCAAAGAGTTACAATCAATTGGGAAACTGGGCGACCGCGATTTTAACAAACACAACGTCCACAAACTTTTCAATCTTATCGTTTACTCTTTTCCACGCAATGCTTTTTTACGGCCTACATTACGAGCTTGCCGAAGTCAGTTAATTGTGGCGAAAACTCTGTGCAGGAATTTTTTTTTGCAATGGACGCGCAAGTAATGCCAACCCTCTTGAAATGCGCCGGCATAGGCGTTAAATTTGAAAGAAAGGGCGCGAGAGCTGGCAACTCGGTTGTGCTTAATGAGATGTAAGTTAATACAAATGCTGAATGTTTTTAATTATTTAAATGTATGTAATATTTTAATAGTTTAATTTAGTTTTTCATCACTTGATATTATATTGGGGAATTCCAATGTTATTTGACATGAATGGCAGCCCTGGCATTGAAAATCAGTTCACCAGTGCTGCAAAACAGCGAACAACGTAAAGTTTAAATTGATTACCGCAATCAAATTTAATAGGCAAAAAAGTCTTCTAAGAATTGAACAATACCTTATTTAAGGATAACGTGGTAATATCAGTAACCCAAAAAAAAGGAATTTTTTAATCTTTGAATGGGTGATTATTTAACTGTGCCATTCTTAGCACTGGTAATAAGCTATCGATAGTGTAAGCTATCGCGAGTGTCATCCCTAGAATAGAGCCGGAATAAAACAAAAAATTCGCAACAAAAGGCTACAATTTCATTCATAGTATATTCACCATGGACTCCGACGCAGCACAAAAGACCTGGGAGCTGGAGAACAACATCCAGACGCTGCCCAGCTGCGATGAAATTTTCCGCTACGATGCGGAGCAACAGCGCCAAATCATTGACGCAAAGCCCTGGGAAAAGGATCCACACTTCTTCAAGGACATAAAAATCTCGGCTTTGGCGCTCCTCAAGATGGTGATGCACGCCCGCTCTGGCGGAACACTAGAGGTGATGGGTCTGATGTTGGGCAAGGTTGAGGACAACACGATGGTGAGTATTTGGAGCAAGGGAAGAGTTCTTGTTCTTATAAGTAAAGATGTTGTTCTGGTAGATTGTCATGGATGCATTTGCTCTTCCCGTGGAGGGCACAGAGACCCGTGTGAATGCCCAGGCGCAGGCTTACGAATACATGACTGCCTACATGGAAGCTGCCAAGGAAGTGGGCCGCATGGAGCACGCCGTGGGCTGGTACCACAGTCATCCCGGCTACGGTTGCTGGCTGTCCGGCATTGATGTTTCTACGCAGATGCTCAATCAGACGTACCAGGAGCCCTTCGTGGCCATCGTGGTCGATCCGGTGCGCACCGTCTCCGCCGGGAAAGTCTGCCTTGGTGCTTTCCGCACATACCCAAAGGGTTACAAGCCTCCAAACGAGGAGCCCTCTGAGTACCAGACCATCCCGTTAAACAAAATCGAGGACTTTGGTGTTCACTGCAAGCAGTACTATCCCCTGGAAATTAGCTACTTTAAGTCTGCACTGGATCGCAAACTGTTGGACTCTTTGTGGAACAAGTACTGGGTGAATACGTTGGGCAGCTCGGGCTTGCTCACCAACACAGAGTACACCACCGGCCAGATCATGGACCTTTCCGAGAAACTGGAGCAGAGTGAGAACTTTTTAGGTCGCGGTACATAACGAGTCGGAATCGGGAATTGTGCATATAACTGTCAGTTTTTCACTCCACAGGCACCGATGTCAACGAGAAGCGCTCCGAGGACAAGCTGTCCAAGGCCACAAGAGACTGCAGCCGCTCAACCATTGAACTGATACACGGTCTGATGGCCCAGATCGTTAAGGACAAACTCTTCAACAAGGTCGGACTGGGCAAATAGAGCCAGTTTTAGGATATTCTTAATGAATTAAAAAAATTATGGATTTTCTATGCAAACAGGCGAATTGTAAGCCCTTTGGGAAATATTTTAAGTAAGTCAAGCTTATCCAAAAAAATATAAAAGCACCCTCAGGAGGGTAAAAAAACTTTAAATCTATTCTGTAATAAATATTGGGATTGAGTAGTTTCAGCAAGAAACGTTGGTAAATTTAAATAACCTTTTATACTTTAGTGAATTAAGTTTGAAAATACTATTGTTCCGAATTAGTTAAAACTAAGACGTTGTTACTAGGCTTCAAAACCCTTTGACAGTATGGTAGCAAATTTATTTTCTTTTATAAATTTTTGTTTTGCATTATCATTTTATTATTTTTTTTAGGTTATTAATCTTCTCTGCAACTTTTTTTAAATTGAGTTGAAACGCGTAAGATTAAGCATGCCGAAAAACTGAAAATTGGAGCAATTTAAATGGTTTTGAATTGTGAAAGGGAATACGAGCAGACCTCAAAGGAGCAACCGAGTGCCAACGAGTCGAATTTAGCTTTAATTGCTCGTGGATTTTTCGATGTAAATATCGAAAAGCCTGGTTAGCGTCTGGTGGCTGTTGTAATTCCGTCCCTCTCATCAATCAAATGGTTTCATCGTTTGTGTCATTCGGCGTATTTTACAACTTTTATTCCTCGATTGCGTGTCTCGCGATTGGTGGGTGGGGATTCCGAGTAGACTCATAGTCTGCTGTCTGCCCCTGGGAGCATAAGCTACAAGTGAGATGTCAACGGCCTTCCAGCACGTGGCCCAATCAACTGGGCAGGATTGGAGGAGCGGTGAAGAAGGGCACTAATTAAATACGTTGTCACGTTTATGGCCGCTGTGAAGAGCCAAAAGCGGGGTGCTAATGCAAATACCGGTCCTGTTTAACCGTTATCATCACTTCTGCAAGGAATGCTCATTAAAATGTCAACATTTCTGCGTGTGTTTTCATGTCTGTGCCTTCCACGATTTATGCTGTGGAATTTTTAAATCCTCTTAAAAGTAAATGTAAATTGTGGCGCAATACAAGCCGAAAAATCCCACATCAAAAGGGAGCATAAACAAAATTACAGGAGAAGTGATGGCGTTTTAGTAGAAGCAAAACGGACGCCTTTATAAAGATTTACGTGACAAACTCTTCGTTTGTGCGTGTGAGTTATTGGTATAAAAGCAATAAAACTTTCGTTTTTTGATATTTTATCGAAAAGTAACCGTCAATTGGCATCAACAAGGAGCAATGACATGAAATGTAACACTACCAGAGGGGGTTAGACCCACCATTTAGCAAGGGGGGGAGGAGGAGTCTAAAACGACTGCCGAAGGACTATAAAAGTCCGGGCGACAAACGACAGGCGCTTCATTCGCGTCCTGGATGCGAGCTGCGAAGCTAGGAATTTTTCACCCACAAAGTCCACACTCGTTGAGGATATCTTGGCATCCACAGCATCCTACTCACAGTCGTGAGCACCCGTCCAATAAAAATCAAAGTAACAACAATGGAAACAGTGTTCGCTATGTGCTAGTGCGTGTGTGTATTTATTACCTTGGATACTGTCGCCAGCATATGTGCCCAGATTGTGTGTTCATATATATCGGATTTGCATGGAGTTATAAATAAATTGGCTTCAAGGAATTGCAAAGTTGAACTGAAACCATAACGCCGTGAAAGAGGAATAAAAGTCGCCCCTTACTTGAAGGAAACCTGTTGAAGAAGGTTGGTTGGACTTTAAGAACAATATTTTATAAATTTTAAAATTGGTTATAATAATTTCAAATTCTTAGTATTTCAAGTTTAAATAAATAAACCAAAAAGTTCCTATGTTTCTATCAAAAGCTAATTAACCAAATCCCACAAGTTGCCCTAAAATTTCAATAAATTCAGTCATTTGTAGTAGTGTATTAACTAATAACTACAATTAGGTTTAAAGTTGAATAAACAAATAAATAAAACTGTTTAAAACATTTCTTCTAGAATAGTCAACCATGTATGGAATGCTTTACGAGAGTGTCCAGCACTACGTGCAGGAGGAGTACGGAATGGATATTTGGAAGAAAGTCTGTAACATCATCGACTGCAAGCACAACAGCTTCAAGACCCACCAGATTTATCCGGACAAACTGATGCCGGACATCGCCGAAGCTTTGTCCGCTTGCACGGGGGAGTCCTTCGACTTCTGCATGAACTTCTTCGGGAAATGTTTCGTTCGCTTCTTCAGTAATTTTGGTTACGACAAGATGATACGGTCCACCGGCCGGTACTTCTGCGATTTTCTGCAGTCCATAGACAACATACATCTAATTATGCGGTTCACCTATCCCAAAATGAAGTCGCCCAGCATGCAGTTGACCAACATGGATGACAATGGAGCTGTGATTCTCTATCGCAGCAGTCGCACTGGAATGTCCAAGTACTTGATTGGCCAGATGACCGAGGTTGCCCGGGAATTTTACGGATTGGAGATCAAAGCTTATGTGATCGAAAGCCAAAACGACATCAGTGGAGGCACCGCTGGCCCCATAAAACTTACAGAGGGTCCTCTTACCGTGATTGTAAAGTACAGACTGGACTTTGATAATCGGGAGTATATGGCCAAGCGCGTCAATACCGAAGCACATCCTTCTCAGTTAAAAATGCCCACTGTAAAGTTAGATGTCTTTCTCGATTTGTTCCCCTTCACTTTTGTCCTCAATCACGACATGAAAATCACGCACGCTGGAGAGAAGATCGTGGAGACGTGGATTATGCACAATCCCGGTGCGAATCCGAAAGGCTTCATCGGAACCCATGTCATGGACCTGTTCCACTGTCGTCGTCCGAAGGACACCACCATCAACTGGGATACCCTGATCCAAATGAGAGCAGTGCTCTTTGAGTTCGAGCTAATTCGCACAGGACACAATCGCGCTGCCTACGATGCTGTGCTCAATATGGATTTTGAGAACTATGATGAGATGGATTTGAATGAGGCCCAGACAATGGCATTGGCTAAGGCCAAGGAGTTTAACGAAGCACATTCGACGGATGCGGAAGAAGCCGCGGGAGAGGATGAGATTGATCCGGCCACCGGGGAACGTCGATCGTCTCAGGGACTGCGGTCAATCCTGCTCAAGGGCCAGATGTTCTACATCAAGGATGTGGACTCACTGATCTTCCTCTGCAGCCCTTTAATCGAAAATCTCGATGAGTTGCATGGTATAGGTCTGTACCTGAATGATCTCAACCCTCATGGATTGAGCAGAGAGTTGGTGATGGCTGGCTGGCAGCATTGCTCCAAGTTGGAGATCATGTTCGAAAAGGAGGAACAGCGGTCGGATGAGTTGGAAAAGTCATTGGAACTGGCTGATTCCTGGAAACGGCAGGGAGATGAGCTGTTGTACTCCATGATACCACGTCCCATCGCGGAGAGAATGCGACTCAGCCAGGAGCAGGTCTGCCAGAACTTCGAAGAGGTGTCCGTAATCTTCCTCGAGGTGATGAATGTTTATGATGAAGGTCTAAACAGCATTCAGGGAGCCATGCAAGCGGTGAACACCTTGAACAAGGTATTCTCAGCTCTTGATGAGGAGATCATCTCTCCGTTTGTCTACAAGGTGGAAACTGTGGGCATGGTTTACATGGCTGTTTCGGGTGCACCTGATGTGAATCCTCTCCACGCGGAGCACGCCTGTGATTTGGCCTTAAGGGTGATGAAGAAGTTCAAGGCTCACGATTTGGGCGACGTGGCCATTCGGGTGGGTATCAATTCAGGACCCGTGGTGGCCGGAGTGGTGGGCCAAAAGGTTCCCCGATACTGCCTGTTTGGGGACACCGTTAACACTGCCTCTCGAATGGAGAGCAGCAGCGATCCCTGGAAGATCCAGTTGTCCAAGTACACCGGCGATAAAGTTGCCCAGGTGGGATACAAAGTGGAGTCGCGCGGCACCGTCAAGGTCAAAGGCAAGGGCGAAATGGAGACTTACTGGTTGCTGGAGGGACCAGAGGGTTAAAAAAATAGAATACTCAATGTACCTTAATGTTTAGCACTTTGCACTGAAAGATTGTACCACACCTGAAGCTTAATTTGTTGCAATAAAAGAGAAAATTACCTCTTTACGATTTGTGTTTAAATATTTGAATCAAATGAAAAGACTTGAAAAGGTTACGTTTTTTAAATTTGCAAATATAAATTTTGTTTTCTTTAGCCCACGATTCTTGAAATTCTATTTAACGCTTTAGCCCCTTTTTTTAAATAATTTTATTGCATTTTTTTTTTTTTTTCAAATAATATGTACGTTTGTGGAATTTCTTCAGGAATTATAAGAAACCAGAAAAAAAAAACAACTTTTTCTTTAATATAGATAAGTTATTCTTCCTACCCTTCCCCGACAGTCTTCTCACATCCTCAACCCTGTTTCCTCAATTATTAGCTTAATCAACTCCCCGCCTTAGCCATTTCCAACAGACAACCCCCATTGCCGAAAATCCATTTTTAATAACTTTTATGGGCGGTTTGCGTGTCACTTTGCACACCATCAACTGCGCCACCCACGAAGGACTTCCATAAGTCTATACCATCTTTCAGTAGAGTTGGTTGAAGGGTCCTTTCTCCTTCTCCTCCCAGGAATTAAATTAAGTCACTTTGCGTGTGCTGCGAAAGAGCAGCTCAAGTGTCTGGGCCGTTGGCAATTAATTCCGGTACAATACCGATAGTATCTACACTGAAAGAAATAACTTTTTTCTAGTTTATGAAGTTTCAAATAACTTTATTTATACGTCGATTAATAAGACGGATATGGTTAGAATAACGAAAAATTATTTATTTCTTTCAACTACAGTATGATATTTATTTTTTTACAGTGTAATTATTATTACAGCATTAATTAAGTATTTTTTCCTGGAGAACTGAAAGACAACTTATACATATCGTAGTTCTTTGAAGCGCCTGTCCATTGCGTTTATTAATGTCATTTTGAGTGGCTTTTAAGCGAGCCAGAAATATCTTCTCAGACCAGAAAGATTGTCGTCCTTTCTGTCCGTTCATGCACTGCCCATAAAATTGTCAACGTTTATTTAATAGGCTCGACTGAAATCCGTTCCGCCGAAGTGGGACAAAGGCCTTTTGTTCGATGCTTTGGATTCCCCTTTAAATTGCTTTAAAACAACACATCAAATAGAGCCAGGATTCAAACACACATATATTCACATACATTATTGCCGGGATATGCGTGAAATGGAAAGGCATTAAGTACAGATGCCCCAAAGCCATCCACCCATTTGGGAAAAAGGGAAATGGAAAAGCGAATAACTGTACAACAATGATACATTTGACAGAGGGTTTTAAATGTTTCAGGGCGTTGGGATCTATTTCGGAAGTAATTTGGAAATGTTACGATGGGAGCATATGGTCCCTATAAAACACGATAAGGGAAAAACTGTAAAATAAAGTTTAAGAGCTTTTTCAAATCGGATTGGTACCCAACATAACGAGTTTGCTTAGTTTAGCCAAAATCCTAATAACGTGGAAAGTACTAATAAAAAGTATTATAAAATTGGTACTATAAAATTTGTTAGGCTTTAAAAGTTTTTTAGTTTTAAGAGAACAAACAAGAATATTATTTCTTGATGGTATATACTTTAGAACCCCAAAAATATGTAATGCCTCTAAATGTTACACTTTTTCAGGTCTGTGAGCATAAAATCTTCAATACTATTTCATTTTTTAAAGGGATTTTAAATTATGCAAAGGAGCAAAACATTTGTTTATGGTATTGTAGGATAATTAGGAAGCATTATCAAAGTTACCAGCAGTGCTTCTACTTTTGCATCCCTGAAACAACGTTTCAGCAGTAAAGTAAAGTCGAAAGCCCCACAGGACAATACTTTGCACGGAATGCCAGGACCTCGAACGCACATACCGCAAAGTGATGGAGTGGGGGCCATAAAACGAATGAACGGAGAGAAAAATGACTCCTTCGTTTGTGTGTCAATGTTGATACTGTATCGAAAGGAGAGAAAGTGGCAATTGTGGCAAAGAGCATTGACTGCCGATGGAAATAACAGAATAACAACGATGATGATGATGATGATGATCACGATGGTCAAACACAGAAGTGCGTGTCGAGGCGCAGGCACGTAGGTCCTAAGTGGTCCGGAAATATTGCTCCGACTGCAACTCGGTAGTGGGCGGGCTATAAAAGGCCTGACCGCCAAAGGGGCTCGCTTCATTCGACCGACATCGTCCCGGCTAAAAGGGAAAGCTCCGGCAAACAACAGCCCACGGCGGAACCGACGGAACCGACAGACTCTCACGAAGCTCGTCAGTGGAAATCATGAAACAAATCAGACAGCCAGAAGCCAAGGAAGCAGCGACAGGCGGCAAAACAAATTTAGTGTAACAATAGCAACTGCCGACGACGGAACACGGAGTCCGGAAAAGTGAGAGCCACCGAAAAATACGTCCGTATATATAATATATATATATATATGCTACGAATTTACGCATCCGGGGTAGCTGTGTGTGTAAACGTATGCCTCCTTAAATTATAAATAAGCGAAGAGCAAATGCCGCGCGGATAAATTTAAAACTCTTTAAGAGGTGCAGACAACGCGATTCGATGCTGGAGAACTCGACGCGGTTCGGTTAGTGGATTGGTGCGAGGCGAAAAGGAATATAAAGTAAGCGGGGTTCCAAGGGATATGATAAGCTAATTTCACGGTCCCGTAATCAACAATATTTAAGAGGAAATTCCACAGGGTTTATTAAAAACTGAAGCGAAAGCAGTTCGTCAAAGGATTTAAAAACAATTTTGAGTGAGAAAAGTATAACAAAATACAATAATACCAGTTAGAACTTTAAACTTTAAAACATAAATTCCTTCTTTGAAAAATCGGATTCTTTGATGCTCTTAACTTATAATTGATTAACATTTAATAAAGCCACTTTGTATTATCATCTGTAAATTGAGGACCTCTTCCTAGCAACCATAAATTACGAGCGATTAAATCTACTTATTATTAACTTGAGGATAAAAGAGCGGAAGCCAAACGTCGGCCCTGTATATTATATTTGACAGTTTACAATCTCTGACCATTTATCATTCCTAACCATTTTCTTTTAAACACACGAACAACAGAACTCTAGTATACTTTTTACGGCCGAAGGTTTGTTAGAATTTGCATGTTTTTGGTCAGAATTAAACATATTTACACAAACCCCTCAAAGATGTTTGGGAATTTATGGCTTAGTTAGCTAGCATTTGTGGGAAAAAATTTAAAAGGAGGCAGTGCCAACAGCGAATTACCGACAACAGCAAACGGAAATAAGTCAGGAGTACAATGAGCCGGGAACGTGACAAGCTTAAAGGATATTAGGGAAGAGGAGTCGCTGGATTCTCTGCCTGGCTCTGGCACATGAACACAAATTAAACTGTCAGGGCAATAAATCAAATTATAAGGAGGAATAACAGAGTTTCCTTGAGTGCTGTTGAAGGCTAGATAAGAGGAAGTCCCTTGGCACATCGCGCATATGAAACCGTGTTTTATTTACTCTTCAAGTTTGCATCTTAAGTTGATAAGCAGATTATTAAGTTAACTTAAGTAGCGGAGTAAATCCAGCTTTTTATATGAAGTAAATCATTTAAAGAGGCCAAGAGTAAATATCTTATAATTATTTATTTAAAAGTAAAGGCTCCAGGGATTTAAATTATTTTTGATTGACCCAAATTTTCAATTAAACTTACGAGTCTCTACTTACAAGTTTTCTTGACCCAGACCCTTGTCCGTAACCTTCGCTTGTATCCTTAGCTCTCATCAATCACTCGGTTATATATGAGTTTGTTTGGCTAATCCCTGACCCACACAACGAAATTGACTTAAATCCTCCGGGGTCGAACACAGTTTACCTAATTACCAGCTGTGAACGATGGAAAAACTTTGTTTGCCCACACCCTGATTATGCGCCTGCCAACTTTTGCTCGTTTCAGGAAAAACTTTTGCGAAAGCAATTTGGACGATAGACAGGACGAAGCATCCCCAACCACCGCCGCCATGTATGGAATGCTGTACGAGAGTGTGCAGCACTACATCCAGCAGGAGTACGGGATGGAGACCTGGAGGGAGGTCTGCCAGATAGTCGACTGCAAGCACCAGAGCTTCAAAACCCACCAGATCTACCCGGATAAGCTGATGCCAGACTTTGCAGCTGCCCTTTCTGCCAGCACGGGCGAGTCCTTCGACTTCTGCATGAACTTCTTTGGGAAATGTTTCGTGCGGTTCTTCAGTAACTTTGGCTACGACAAGATGATCCGCTCCACGGGCAGGTACTTCTGCGACTTCCTGCAGTCCATCGACAACATCCACGTTCAGATGAGGTTCACATATCCCAAAATGAAGTCGCCCAGCATGCAGTTGACTAGCATGGACGACAATGGCGCAGTGATCCTGTATCGAAGCGGAAGGACTGGAATGTCCAAGTACCTGATTGGCCAGATGACAGAGGTGGCCAAGGAGTTTTACGGCCTGGACATGACCGCCTATGTCCTAGAGAGCCAGAACGATATCTGCGGGGGAACAGCGGGTCCCATTAAGCTTACCGAAGGGCCTTTAACTGTGATTGTAAGGTACCGACTGGACTTCGATAACCGCGACTACATGGCCAAGCGGGTGAATGTCATCGCCCATCCTTCCCAGCTCAAGATGCCCTCGGTGGACCTGAACGTGTTCCTGGAGCTCTTTCCCTTCACCATTGTGCTGGATCACGATATGAAAATCACACTCGCTGGCGAGAAAATCGTTGAGACATGGATCCTTCATAATCCAGGTGTAAATCCAAAAACTTTCATTGGCAGCCACATCTTGGAACGCTTCAAGTGTCGGCGGCCCAAAGACACTCAGATCGAATGGGAGACGATTCTGCAGATGAGAACGGTTCTCTTTGAGTTTGAGTTAATCCGAACAGGACACAACCGCGCTGCCTACGATGCGGCCTTGAACTTTGACTTTGAAAACTTCGATGAAGCCAGCAGTCTTAACGAGGCCCAGGCAATGGCTTTGGCTAGTGCAAAGGAGTTTAGTGCGGAGCACGACAAGGATGAGCCGACCACCTCCACCTCCAAGGACGAAATTGATCCTGCCACGGGACAGAGACGACACTCGGTGGGTCTTCGATCTATCCTACTCAAGGGTCAGATGTTCTACATCAAGGACGTGGACTCGCTGATCTTCCTCTGCAGCCCTTTAATCGAGAATCTGGATGAGCTGCATGGCATTGGTTTGTACCTCAACGATCTCAATCCTCATGGATTGAGTCGGGAGTTGGTGATGGCTGGCTGGCAGCATTGCTCCAAGTTGGAGATCATGTTTGAAAAGGAGGAACAGCGGTCGGATGAGTTGGAAAAGTCCCTGGAACTGGCTGATTCCTGGAAACGGCAGGGTGATGAGCTGTTGTACTCCATGATACCACGTCCCATTGCCGAGAGAATGCGAAAGAGCGAGGAGCACGTCTGTCAGACTTTTGAGGAAGTTTCTGTCATCTTCATTGAGGTGCTAAACGTCTACGACAGTGGATCCAATAACATTCAGGATGCAATGCAGGCAGTGACCACTTTGAACAAGGTTTTTTCGGCCCTTGATGAGGAGATCATTTCCCCATTCGTATACAAAGTGGAGACTGTAGGCATGGTTTACATGGCTGTTTCGGGAGCACCCGATGTGAATCCCCTCCACGCGGAACACGCCTGTGACTTGGCCTTAAGGGTTATGAAAAAGGTGAAGGCTCATGCTCTGCCCGGCGTGGCTATTCGAGTGGGTATCAATTCAGGACCCGTGGTAGCCGGAGTGGTTGGCATGAAGGTACCTCGGTACTGCCTCTTTGGAGATACTGTTAACACAGCCTCACGAATGGAGAGCAGCAGTGATCCCTGGATGATCCAGCTGTCCAACTATACTGCGCTTAAGGTGAAGAAGGTCGGCTACAAGGTCGAAGCGAGGGGATTTGTCAAGGTCAAGGGCAAAGGGGAGATGGAAACCTACTGGCTTCTAGAGGGACCGGAGTAATTTTGTAGAATTTAAGAAATTTGTAATAAATTGTTAATGCCAGGATGCATACTACATAAAGTGTGGGAACACTATACAAATATTTTTTAAAGCTGGAGGTACTAACCTGTATCAGCAGCTTTCATTTGAAAAAGTTTGATCAATTCACTGCGTTGATCGAATAAATTTGTATTATAGGGTCAAGACGAAAGAACGTATTCAAAAACTAATCCTCATTTGTATTTAATAACAATATAAGCCGGGCCTTGTTCTCGCTTTAAAATACAATCTTTCCTAAGTATTTGTAAAAGGAATATGGAATATTTAGCAATAAATACTATGCGTATCCTTATTAATAATATTTTCTATTTGAATGAAATTATCGACCTAAAAATCCGATTAAGGAACGATAAGTGGTAAGACTCGGTTGCGATCGGATTGCTTTCCCGCGCAATCTCGATCAGCTGTTCCAAACAGGTTTACAAGGAAAGTTTTTAACTTCAAAGCAAATAAAAATGTTGCGCTTTAATTTAATAGTGGCGGTTTGCGAGAACTTTGGCATCGGAATCAAGGGAGATCTTCCGTGGCGCCTAAAGTATTTTAATTATAGAAGATAAAACTGAAAACTAAAAGTTCAATCCCTGCAGATCCGAGCTGAAGTATTTTAGCCACACCACAAAGAAGACGAATGATCCTGCCAAGCATAATGCCGTCGTGATGGGTAGGAAAACTTATTTCGGAGTTCCAGAAAGCAAGAGACCTCTCCCCGATCGTCTGAACATAGTGCTGAGCACCACACTTAAACCCGAAGAACTGCCCGAATCAGTACTTCTTTTTCCAAATCTGGAGGAAGCTCTGAAGTTTCTGGAGGGTAAAGAAGAGGTTGAGAACACATGGATCGTGGGTGGCAGTGGTGTTTATGCGGAGGCCATGGCCTCCCCAAAATGCCACCGGCTGTACATAACTAAAATCCAGCAGGAGTTTGAGTGCGACACATTTTTTCCCGCAATCCCCGACAGTTTTCAAGAAGTTACTCCCGAGTCCGATGTTCCACTGGGTGTGCAAGAGGAAAATGGCATAAAATACGAGTACAAGGTCTTAGAAAAACAGTCGCAATAAAGTAAACCTTCTTTTATTTGCCTCGGATGTCCTTTTCCGCAACATTATCATCTCCTACACCTTTGGCCGCCAGCATAAGTTCGTATAATTGCACCACCTGGTCGTCCTTAAGCATTTCAACGGCCTTGGGGTCTATTTGCTCGCCCAACTCGCCCTTGGGCTTCCCACGAATCCCCAGTTGTTGGGTGATTGTGGAGGCATAGCGCTGCAAAGGGTTCATACGTAAAATGAGCACATTTTCAATAATTACGTAAAACTCACAGCCCATTCGGTCATAAAGAGCTGTGCCTCCATGGGATTGCATTTGAGGTGTCGCCGGAACTCGTCTCGTACATAGTTATCACCCAAGGCACGTAGTTCCGCGGGAAGTCCTACGGAAATTGAGAACCAATGTGAAATGGATGCTATTTGTGAGAGGGCTAGTCTTAAATCTTACCTCTGTGGAGTCGCAGAATAGTCTTGTACAGCAGACGAACACGCTGAGGGTGGGTCAGTTGGTTCATCACAATTTTCGACATCCTGAGTTTGTTTACTACACAGCATTCATATTCTATAACAATCCCAGCCGGTTCAAAATAAAGTGTGAGCGGAAAATAACAAAAAACAAACCGCAGTCATGAACAGTTCTAAGTTTCATATGGCAACACTGGTCTGTCAATTTTTAACAGGTGGCAACTATTTGAGAGTGTGTGAGCGCATTTGAATACTTAAACTAACAGATTAAGAATTCCGGTCGAGGATTAATTCAAATAAATAAGCACATCAAAGAAAAAGGTTTTATTTTACAACTAAATTAAAACAGTACTGGTCAATTTAATGTTATATTAATTTAAAGCAAGGCAATTTAAAAACTAAGTTACCTGGCGATAAAATATTCTTTTAGAATATAGTTTGAAAACATTGACTTTGTTTATACTCATTTTATACAGTTTCCCAAATCCTTAAGGATATTGTGCTTTGCAGGAAAAGTTAAAGCCAAAGCTACGCAGGGTTTGAAAACTGGCAGGAGGGCTTTTTACATCATGGTTTATTTGTAGCATATTTGTATATATCATCACATGTGCAGTGTAGGTTTAATCTGTCGTGGATGCATCCCTTGGGGCTAAAATTTGAATTTAAAGAACATCTCGCGTGGAAATTGGGCATTGCATTAGAAAACAAACTAATAAATGACATACACACACGGTCTGCACCAACTTTGGCTAACTATTGCACGCCTCTCTCTTTTCCTCTCAAATACTATACGCCTAATTACACCAAGCACCAAAACGGAAGGTGGCGGAGGGGTACACAACATTGTTGTCGTCGTCGTCGTTTTGAACAGAAAGACGTTTTTACAATCAAGTGTTTTAGTTTTGTTATTGCGGCGCAGCTGCAGCCGGCGGCGCTTGATTCACCGGTTCCTGGTCCTGTTCTCCGGCTACATTCTGCTCCGGCAGCAGCGGTTGACCTTCGTCGCCCCAGGGAAAGCCGCCAGGACGATCCTCAGCGGGCGCTTGGTAATTGCGCTCAATGTGCTCATTAAAGAGGCGTTTCCTGAGGACAAAAAGGAGTTGTTATAAAAATGCTAGTAGACTTCAAAGCAGACTTACAGAAAATAGGGGGTTTTGATCAGTCTATAGCCGTTGGAAATCGTAGGATAGACATCCTCGAGCACAAAGTAGATGTGGCCAACGCCCATGCCGATGACGTCCACCCACACGGTGTTGCCAAGGATCGTGGAACAGCAAAGCAGTACCCAAGGCAGGTAGGGCGCCTGGAAGTTGAGAACGCCGAAAAAGTTCATCGGCACCAGTGGATTCCGGCGTGACCACACATAGACCAGCATCAGTGTAAAGGCCTGGCCCAAAAACAGTAGGTTGACGAAAATTCCGAAGAAGGTCATCAGTACGCCGCCAAAGATGAACATCATGACAAAGTCGGAGCTGCGTCCGCGAAAAGAGCCGTCCTCCAGCATGCGGCAATAGCGATATGTGAACACCATATTGAAGAAAAAGCTAATGCCGATGGTGCCGAAGTACAGGAATGTGGTGGCCAGGCGCCAGATTTGGAACTTGCGAACGATCAGCGTGGGATTGAAGTACAGCTGGAGTGGCGACACTAGGTCCAGATGCTGCAAAGTAAATAAAGTTCGGCAATGAAACACGTACACGTCACCCGCGATAAAGAACCTCGATTCGGGCGTTGGACACTTACCACCGCCAATGTGGTCAGCACACAGACCGTGGTGTAGGCCCGTGTGACCACCGGGATCTCCAGGTAGAACTGCCGCAGCGCATTCATGGCGGCTTCTCCTCCTCCGTTGGATTTGGAATCTGCAGCTTGGCAAGTCGGCTGCGTTTGGATCCTTTGGACTTTTGGAATTCCTCCCCTTGCTCCGCTCACATCCACGAGCGGTCGAGCTATCTCGAGTGGTCGCCCCACCTGGTTGTTCGGATCTCCGGATTGACAATCGGAAATGGATTTGGGGCAGCGCTCAGGCCGATGGAAATAAAAACGGAACGCTAGTTTTTATTTTTATGCATCCGCTAGAGTAGAGGTGGATAAGCATCGATGTTTTAAATTTTTGCAAGCATCGATGTTTGACGTGGACTATCGGCGCTCTTCCACCTCTAGAATTGAACATCAATGTCCCACTCTCCTAATACATCCGGTACATCAACCTTATACACTCTACGAATTTATCCGAAATACCCGAATACCCTCCTGCATTAGCAAGTACACAACTCACAGTTAGCCGATCTCCGAATTTAAAGACCGCGATTTTAAAATTTTCGAGATAATTAGATTTTTGAATCTACCGGGGAATTTCAAACTTTTAAACACTTGATAAAAAAAACTGAAAGAGAGATAAATAAAGGCCAAACTAGTTTCTGCCTTTAAACACTATGAAAATGTTGTTCTTTAAAATCTCTCAGATTTATTGCACTGGTTTCTTACGGACTAACATCTAATCTAAGCTGACTATGCTATAAATTGCACTGCGTTTCTTTCTAGCTAAAAATTCTAAAACAATGAATTCGATTTGCTAAATTCGAGCGGCCGGCGGAAGGACTGCTCGAGGTTGTGGAGCCTCTGTTCCAGGTCGTTCATCGAGTTCCGGAGGGCGTGGCCCCGAGGTCGCAGCGAGATCTGCGGCGAGTGCTGCATGAGGTCGTCCTTGACCCCGGAGAAGGAGTGCCGCACGCAGGAGCGCTTCTCGAACCGCGTGTTCTGGTAGTGGGGATGGTGGTTCGGGTGGTGCTGGTGCTGGCGATGCTCGCAGTTCGCACTGCGGCAGTTGTGAGCCGTCAGTGGCTCGTCGGTCTTCAGCGAGTCCTCGTAGGTGTCACTGGATGAGAAGGGTGGTCAAGTGGGTATTACCGTGCAAATTCAAAATCAACTCCCAACACACCTGCTGTCTGTATTTGGATGAGGCTGACGCAGTTCCATGTGGGCCTTGGCATGCCTGGGACAGAGTACTTCCGGATTGCTGCGCTTGGAGCCGCCGTGTTGAAAGGAATCCGGCGAGGTCTCGTACAACTCGCGGCTGCTCAAGAACTCCACTCCAGAGTCCTGACCCGTCGAGTGCAGCGAGAACAGCGAGGTTTCGTAATTATTTCTGGAATGTATTTTTAAAGATAAATGTTAATATTATATTTGGAAACAGTAATAAGTGCTAACCACTCGCACTCCGATTTTTATAAACATATGTTCCTTTACATACATATTACATATTATTTATATATTTTTTATATTTGAATTTTGTTTTGCAGGGATAAATCATGTCTAAGATTCCTACTCTTTTAATTCCCCCTTAGTAACATTTCCACTTTATTGAAACATTTTACCAAACTCATTTTAAACTTAACAACAGAACTACCTAAACATAAATTCTGGCACTTATTCATAAAAGTACAAATAATTAATTCAAAGGCTTTACCCTCAGTGAAGCCTAAATTCTTATGTTAAAATGGTAGTTATTTAACTTAAAAAATAATATACATATTAAGTAATCTGTGTTGGTTTCACTTACAGGTTGCTCACCGGCTGGCAGGCGTTGTACTTGAGCACGAACGGAGTGCTGCCTGCACCACCGCTCCCGCCATCTCCCCCACTTGCCGCCACCGCAGAGGCCTTGGCAATGGACTTGGGCAGGGGCACGTCGATGTACTCCCGCTGCTGCTGGCGCTGCTGCCTGAATGGAGATCGGAGATTGTGGCTGGGGATTAGTGTCGAGAATGGAAACGAGTTTGGCTGGTCACTCACTCGTTGAGGAACTGGTGGTGCTGCTGCTGCGTGGCCATTGCCTGCTGCTGGTGGTGGTGGTGCAACTGCTGCTCCAGTTTCTCGGTGGCCGTGGCCGTCGACTGCGTCTGCGCCGAGGAGCAGACGGACTCCGGCATGAAGGCGCTGGTGGGTCGCTGGCTGCCGCTGCTGCTGCCCTTGCTGCACCGCTGCGTGTGCCGCTGCTGCCGCTGGCGTCGCTGCTTCTGGCCCCGCGGGGATCCGATTCCCGCGATGGTGTAGGTGAGCCCCGCGTCCGAGGAGGAGAAGTCTCGCTGGGACCAGAGACGTCTGCAATCGGTCATGAAGCAACATGGACAGGTTTGGATAATTAAAGAAATAGTTAAAAATGTTATCATCAATCAATCTTATTTTTGATTTAACAGAAAAAAGGTTATTAATTGCTGATTTATAAAATTATTATATATTTCATATCTTTAAATTGTAAATGAATTAAAAATGAATTAAATTAAAGTAAAAGCAGAAATTGTATTTCCTATAAAGGTTTAATTAACGTGTTGTGCAAAAATTTTGAATATTTCCTACCTATAATAGGAACATATGGAATTATACATTTAGAAATATAAGATTTCTATTTCCTATCCATCCTAATTTCTTCAAGTGTTAGAAAGATGTTAAGATATCATACAATGTCAATAAAAACTTTTCTCTGTGGAGGATGAGCGCAGTTGATGAGCTGAGAGTCAATTTGATTGGCATTCCCATTTGGGATGTAGTTGCACAGATGTCACCAGATCTTCATCTAATTGCAATACGTTGTTGTTGTTGTTGCCTCACATTGTTGTTGCAGCTGATGATGTTGTGTTTGTTGCATTTTACCGTTATAATTTAATCGGACAGGAGAGGCCCAATGGCAGCCGGTTTAGTCCAGAGTCTTGGAAACATCAACCAAGTTGGACATTGCACGTTGCACGTTGCACATTGGCCATTAGCAACAGCAACAATACACAACAACAACAACACACACTCGCAGAGAGAGCAGCAACATGAGGGCAACAACAACATTTGCAATCGACTTAAGATTTATTATGGGGCCTTCGGCTTAAGCTAACACTAAATGGCTAACATGAAATGCATCTATGAGCTACAGTCTTTCGGTTTTGCAGTTGCAGTTGCAAACTGCAGGCTGTCTGCCTCTGCAGCTTAGTGCCCCTCAATCATACCGTTTTTGGCGCATGCAGAGGTAGCAACAGGCGGCTATCAATGCCCCCAAACTGATCAGGGCCAGCAGCACCAGTGTCACAAACTCCAGTCCTCCCATGAAGCCCGAAACGGAGGCGTGAGTGGGTCGAGCCGACTGACCGAACTCGGCCAATTCGATGATGCGCGGCATGGGCTTTCCTCCGTCGAGTTTCTGCTGCTGCAGTTGCAGTGCATCCAGTTGGAGGCCAGCCAGGGCTCTTGGGAGAAAGAGAAAGAGATGGAGAAAGAGAGAATCCATTCAAGACCATTAATTCGCATGACAGTTCTGGGTCAATTGATTCCTCTCTTTTTTTCGAGCAGCCAAGAGGAGGGAAGGCGGGTTGGTTGGCAAGGGGAAAACTTACTCCTGCAGTTGCTCCATTTCCATAATGGAATTCGTGTGCGGATCGACGGCATATATGTAGGCATTGGTGCTGCAAATGGGTGGAATAAACAGAAGAAGAAGAAGAACCTGTTAGTTGGGGTCTTTTAATGGCCAATTAAATTATGTAACGCGGCCTAGCTGCCCACTCAAATAAAATTTATGTCTCAGGAATGCTTGAGAATAACTTGTCATCTATCTGGTTTTGCTGCAACCTCTTTTTGGGGCATGCAAATTCTAGTTATATGAGCTAAGTGTTGAGTTATTAATTAGGTTTTAATTAGTTAGTTGTTCGTATGCAAGTCTCAGGAATTCTTGAGGTTGAACTGTTATATTTCTGGTTTTTTTTTGTTACTAGTTGTTACCTCTTTGTCAAATTATTGTCCTATGAACTATAGGTTAAATTGATAATAATGTTTTAGTTGTTAAAAGGCAAGTTTTTGTCAGATTTTCTTATGGAACTGTTGACATCGAAACAGAGTAGACTTAATTTTTTTTTAAAAGCCATTTCAACCAAAAAAATTCTAGGAATAATACAATTTCTTAGTTAATTATGTTTATCATTCCTGGTTTACCTAGGTATCTTCTTGTTTATTAATATTAAAAAGCTTCGATAATAGCTTTTGAATAAATACTTATAGGTATGCCTTTTGTTTCATAAAGAGAATTCTGCATATTTCGATATAATTTTTGAGATTACGCTTTTCTTATTTGTTTTAGTAATATCAATAATTTAGTTTTAATAAAAAATAGTTTATTTAAATTGAAGTGTATGAACTTACGCCGCTTCGAGTCCTCCAGAATAGGGCTCCAGCAGTCGGACCCGCACATCCTTGCCGATGGCATCGCTCAGTGCCTCCATTAGTCCTTCGATGCGGCGTTCCACCTCGACGGGAACTCCGGCTACCACCAAACGCACCTGCTTGGCCTCATCGATGATGTAGACGAACACGTTGACAATGCCACTCCGTCCATCATCGTCACCCATGCGATCGGTGGCCTTCACATCGAAGCCATAGATGCATTCGTCGCGGGAAAGATCTCCCAAAAGCCGGATATTACCCGACTGCTCATCGATGCCAAAGAGTCGAGTCGGTTCGTTCAGCAGACGATAGCGAATCTCGGCGTTGAGTCCCTCGTCCAGATCGGTGGCCACCACCCGGGTTACCGGGTAACCAAAGCTGGCACTCTGCGGCAGAACAGCCACAATTGGTTGTCCGTTTCCCTTGAACTTGGGTGCATTATCGTTCTCATCCGCAATGTGCACCAGTATTCGACACTCGTTCAGGGAGAGACCCTCTATCCGCTCATCCACCACTGGATAGGAGACCTTAGCGTAGTTCCTGGCCTCCCTGCTCAAGCGATCCGCTCGAATCCTCAACTGGTAGCGGGAAATGTGCTCCCTGTCGAAGGGTTTCAAGGCGTACAGAAGCATATTCTTTGCATCGTATTCGAAGGGCGGATGGGCATCCGTTTCATCCAGACCCTCCTCCAGCCACAGGGACCAACGATAGTTCTCCGGATTGAGACCAGCACTCAAATTAAGTCGCATCACCTCGATGGGTGCTTCATTGTTCTCCGTGAGCTTCACTTCGTAATAAGCATGCTGGAATACGGAAACATTCGCCGGAGGTTCTGGTTTGGGCGTGGATTTCGGAGGATCCGTGACCGCCTGTCCCTGGAGATTCACTATCACAATTGCCGTGGCTGACAAAGTGGGACTTCCCACATCGGAGGCTATAACCGAAACGTTCAGATGTTCATAATCATTATAACCATTAATGCGAGATATTGTGGAGATGGTTCCATCCCTTGAATCGATTTGGAAGAGCGGCGCCTGCATTTCCTGGTGTCGAATGGAGTAGAGAACCAACCCGTTGCCATTGCCCACATTATCCTTGTCTATAGCTGTGAGTTGCCTCACAAAGGTTCCCGGTTGGGTGCTCCTATCCAGATAAGCCTTATAAACCGGCAACATCATCGTGCGATCTGCCACATTTGGTATGAACTTGACCGCCTTCGTTTGATCATCGTAGCCAATGAACTCGGGTCGATTGTCGTTGATGTCCAGCACATTCACCTCCACGTCCACGCTGCTGGACATCCTCTGCATCGGAGGAGCATTATCCGTGGCTATCACCTGGAAACTGTACTTATCCTTCACCTCTCGATCGAGAATTCCGCTTATCTTCAGCACTCCAGAAGCTGGTTTAATAGTGAATGGTAAATGCAGATCACTAAGCTTGTACGTGATGTTGGCATTCTCCCCGAAATCCATATCGATGGCAGTCAGTTGACCCAGGACACTATCCTTGTACTCGCCTTCCGGAGTATCGAAGCTGTACCAGGATTTCTTGAAGGTGGGTGCGTGATTATTCACATCCATTACCGTGAAACGCAGGCAGGTGGAATCCCGTAGACCATCGATATCGGTCACAGTTAGGTTCAACCACACTTCTATATTAGCTGACAAAGGATAATTCACAGATAGTTCGCCACTGAGTTTGTCGATGTTGAAGAACCGCACTCCCTGAACCCGCAGCATAGGCATTCCTGGTGTCCTTTCCACCTGCTCTCCCTGAAGTTCGTAGTGAAGTTGGGCATTCTTGCCGAAGTCCTCGTCACTGGCGCTCAGCTGAAGGACCTTCGTGCCCACCGGCGTGTCCTCATAGATGGCAAACAGAGGGCACTTAACAGAAACAGCTCGAATCATTCTGCGTCTGGATTTCGCTCTTGCCACCACTCCCAATCCTCCACCCACCGATCTCTCTCGATCTGGAGAAAACCTCGGTGAACCGGGAATGTGATAGGGAGGAGGTGCCAGCATCATGGCCGCCGTTGCCTGAGGAGCTGCCAAGCCACTCGAGCTCTCCACGAAGTAGATCTCCATGTCGGTGGTGTACTCTCTGATCTCCAAACGGGAATCCTTGAACACCGAGATGCGCTCGAACATCGGAGCATTATCATTGACATCGGCTACCAGGATAGTTAGATGAGCATAACCCGAAAGGCCTCCGGAATCGGCGGCAATGATCTTCAGGTTGTACAACTGCTGTTTCTCGCGATCCAATCCCCTCTTTCCTGTGTAGGATACCCGGAAATAAGGACCCGAACTGAGCTTGAAGTTCGTCTGCATGAAGGTGGTGTGCAGTTCCTGGTACTTGAACTCATCGTTCCACTGATCGGTCAAGTTGAAGATATTGAAAGCGCCCGTTGTGGATGGCATTTTGTGTTGGGTGGCATTCGGTGATCCCGCAGAACTACTATTCACATACTCTATGCTGAACTCCTCACTGTAATCCCCTTGAAGTTGAACTCTGAACTCCGCATTGACTCCCTCATCAGCATCCTGAATTAGAATCGCATGATTCATGGAGAGTTCTGTGCCCACAGCGCAGTTCTCGTTGATCAGACCCACATAGGTTAATCCATTGAACTTAGGGGCATTATCGTTGACATCGTCCACCTTGATGTTGACCTGGTAGATCCCCGCTCCACTCACCAATCCCGTGCTGTACTCCACAATCACGGTGAGCTCATAGTTGGCCTGCTGCTCTCGATCCAATCCGATCAGCGTAAGTAGAGTGCCATCCTCCGTGATGGAGATCTTGTTGACCACCTCCTGCTGGTTGGCAATGATGTAGCGCAGCTTCAGATTCGTATCCCCCACCAAACGTCTTGGTAATCGACGCTTCGACTTGGAGCTGCGACTCCGGTTTCTGCTGCGGAATCTGCTGCCCGTGGTGAGATTTCTACCAGTGGCCTCCGGCGGCATTTCACGGAAGGTTCCCAGATCGTTGTTCACCAGATTGACGCCATTCTTGTACAGGAGTTGGCCAATGATGCCACCCACTACGTTCTCCTCCACATGGAAGTTTATTACATTCATGTTGATCTCTCTAAAATTGAACAAATTACGTTATATAAAAGAATTAGTTTGTTTTAAAAGTGAATATATTAGATATCAGTAAGTAGAGCTTGTTTTAAAAATAAATATGATAATTATGTATAAGTAACTATAAAGCTTTAAAGATGAGAAAATTTTCTTTACTTGCCACCCTATTATAAACTCTCCAACCCTATTAGTCTAATATGTTTTTTTAAAGTATACTCACTCTATAACAGGTCTCAGTGGCACCTTTTGCTCTGGCTTGTTAACAATATGGATGGTAAGATTGGTGATGAGTACACCTTCATCGCTGAGTTCAGCTGGCGAGGCGATTGTGGTCAAAGGAGATGAACTACGCGACATGACCAACGATTGCGTGGAGTTGGCAAAGAGCTGTGAAAGATCAAAAAGTTACAGAGATACTGAAAGCAAACAATAAACAAAAGATGTACTTACATAATTAGCCACCGCTTCGAACTGGTAGACTTTCCTTTTGAACTCTGATAACTCTCGAATGACTGTGATAATTCCCGATCTCTCCTCGATGGCAAAGGGAACTCCCTCTGAATAAGTGTGTAGTAGATCGTACATTATCTCATCCTCTCCATCGTAAATCAGAGTGGTGCGCACTTGACCCACCGAAGTTCCCAGTGGGGTATTCGCACCCACCCAAAACTCGTACGGAGCACCCACAAAATCAATTGCCTGATCATCGATGGTTGCAAAAACCTCAATGGTGATCACCGCCAAAGAGAATCTTCGCTCCGAGGGATTTGTGGGTTGATCGCTCGCCTCCACGAAAACTGCGATGCGTCCTCTTCTCAGAGGTCCACCCACATAAATAGTTCCGTTCTTGTTGTCCAGCCGAAAGGGAATGTAACCACTGCCTTTTGGACGTTGAAGTTCATATAACAGGTGACCATTGGGACCGTCATCCGGATCGTGGGCAACCACCTGACCAATTACATAACCCGTGGGAGCATTTATGGGCACCTTGAACTCATACAGATTCCCACGTTCGAACTTTGGGGTATTATCATTCGTATCGAGCAGGGTGATCTCCACTAGAACCTTACTGGGTCCTGGTTTCTTTAAGTGCTTATCATCCAAATAAGAGGGATTCCTTTCTAATGCCTCCACATTTAGTTGGATAGATCTTCGCTGCTCACGATCCAATAATCGATCATCGCGCACGGTTATCCAACCTGTTCTAGAATCAATTCGAAAAGCTCCTGCTGCATCTTTAGTCTCCACCAGATTGTACAGAAACTCCGAGTTCTCGCCCTGATCCCGATCCACGGCATTAACCTGCAGGACACTGAAGCCAGTGGGAAGGTTCTCCACAATGGAAATGTTGTAGAAATCAGCTTCAAACTCGGGAACATTGTCATTCAGATCCAGAACCTCCACTTCAATGCTGTTAATGTTTAATAAGAAATACAATGAGTTTTGCTTTAAGTTAATTTGTGATTTTAATACTAACCGTGCTAGTGCTTTCTTCAAAGGATTATCCTTCTGCCGTGCTTCTAGCTGGAGAACAAAAGTATTTCCCGGCAGACTCTCCTCCTCCAAATCGATTTCCTTCTGCAGATACATCACTCCATTGTGGGGATTTACTCGAAACAGTTGTCTTTCGTTTCCCGAAATGATATCGTATACAAGTGAAGCATTCAGTGAATCCTGATCGAATGCCATTATGGGAGGAGCAAAGTAGAGGGGTATCCTAATGGGCGCTCCTGTCATCGGGTAGAATTCATTGATCCTGGTGCGATAAACACCTTCTGTAAATTTCGGTGGCAGATCGTCCACATCCCGAACATTGATTGTTATTGTGGTGTTTGCCTGGTTGGCTGGAGTTCCACGATCCCAGGCGAAGATTGGCAGCTTGAACTGCCGAATGCCATTATCGAAGTCCAGTTCTCTTTTCAGGATGAGCAGTGGTCGATGGTGGCTTTTCAGGGCAAAGTATGGACTGCCATCTGCCGAAAGTTGTTCCGGCACCGTGGACATGCTGAAGTGCACCTCGGAATTCGGAGTGTTGGGCTTATCGCGATCGAAGGCCTGAACTCCCTCGAAAATTATGCTCTCCACGGAGGTGTTCTCATCCACATCGACCACGTAGGGCACGTTCAGGAACTCCGGGGCATTGTCGTTCACATCCTCAATGTAAACTGTGATGGATAGGTAGCTACCCTGTAATTCGAAGGAAAACAGTGTATAGTGTAGTGATTATTTACACTTTAAGTTTTAATTTTCTTTTTGATTTAAAGAACGATTTTTTTATATCACAATAAACTTTCAGATTTTACAAAAATTCTGTTATAAGTTTTATAATTTAAGTTTTTAATTTAACAAAAGAATTATTTAATGGTTTTCCTAGTTAAAAGTCTTGTGAAGAGTTATGAGCTTCTTATAACTTTACTTTTGACATTTTAGATACTTATTAATATATTTAAATACAAAATACAAAGATGATACATAATTGTAGACAATACATATTTTAGAAATTATATTGAATTTAATTACATTGATCAATCAAAAACAACAATTTAATATATAGTTATCGTACCCGAAACTATATTTTAAATTTAATAGTAAGTGTTTTTAACATTTAAACTTGCTGGCTTATAAAGCTGATTTTGTAAGATTATTCAGAGAACCTACCTCCTCGATCTTCTCCTGCTTTCCGGCGCACAGGATGCGGAACTTGAGCAGGTTCCGGGGGACATCCCGATCGACGAGTCGCTCCAAAGAGCGGGCCAGGGTGACCACCACCGTGGTGGAGTTGTGCTCCGTGAGGTTGAAGTACTTGTGGTCCCCACTGACGTCGGCTCCCTTCAGGGAGGCGGTGGATCTCGGATAGGCCTGCAGCCGGAGGATCTCCTTGCCCACGGGGGCATCTTCCCGCAGTCGAATGAAGCGGACACCTTCGCTTTCCGCGGCGACTCCATCGAGCGTGTGAAACGCACAGCTGCCGGAGTTGCTGCCTCCTGAAAGTGGGGCACGAGATTACAGATTACTATATATGTGGCAGCAGTCTCAACTTGGAGGTGGAGTTGGGGAAGAAAAGTAAAACTTTGACAAATTATCGTTGTTGTTTCGCATTTGGGCATGCAGATTTTCCGCGAACACTCTGAGAACCGAAAACGGAAAAGCGCCGCGAACAACAATTGGAAAACCCACCGCGAAGTGCGACGTGCGGATCGAAAATGGGAGAGGGGGAGGTGGGGGGAAAAGGAGGCGTGGCAGAACAGGCGCCAAGCTAACCGAAAAACTTTCTACGTTTGTCGCGTGGCCCATTCAACCAGTGATTTTCATGTGCAGTTGCAAGCAGCAAGTTGCTAGTTGCAAGTTGCTCGTTGCAACACTTTTCCACATGCATTCAACTGTCTCCCGTGTCGCGGATTCTCTCAATCTCAATCTGCTGCTGAACATGTTGCTGTATCTTCTGCTGCTCCAGCTGCAATCAGCTCTTGCAAATTATTTTCTGCCGCTGCTACCCAAGTATTCAAGTATTCAAGTCTTCCCACCCTCATGACATAATTAAGCATTTTTTGTTTGCCCACGGCTCTTGGCCCAAAAGGCATTCCAGCCAAATGCGTTCCAAGTGACAAGAAGACATCGTCTGACATTTCTCCGCGCTTCATTTTCTTTCTTGCTTGGTTTTTTTTGTTGTTGTTTGTTTGTCTTTCTATTTTTCGGAAGATCTCCTGCAGCGGGAAATTATCATTGTTGCTTTCAGATTCAGATGGAGATTCAGATGGAGATGGAGATGCAGATGCAGTGAAATCTTGGCCATCGCAAAGTAACTTGGCCCCTTGTCGTCGTAGGCATTGCTGGTTTATTGTTTTATTTGCCGCTTGGCATTATTCCATTTTCGCTGCACCGCTTCTTGTTATTGCCGCAGTTGCAATTCGAGTCGCAATTTCTTTTATTTACTTGCAGTTTCTGGCTCACTTCGGTGTGAACCACTTGTGGGGCTTCCCCTTCATCGCAGGGAAGGGCCATCCAGCCAGCATTCGTTATATAGGCAGTAAAAGCAGCATAAAGAAGGTGTACATATCTTAAAACTTTAACTTATTAACTAGAGGTTCCGTTAGGAAGACTAATTAATCAATGCATAAGGTTTGTTTGCTAATTGGGTGCTTCCTTATATTGAAAACTTTTTATAGAAAAATATTCTTAAAAATGTTTAAAATGTTTAAAATGTTTAACTTTAACTTTTACACAAAATAAAAAAATATTCCATACATATTGAAATATATTTTCCTAACACACTTAATCGTTATAAAATGTTTGAGTACTAAAAAGAAAATAAATAAAACAAAAAGTTCATTAGAAAATGAGTCGGAAATTTACTCGATAAAAAAACGAAATGTATTTTGTATGTCTGTGTGAAGAATCGCAGAAATTCATAAAAAAATGTAAAGAGTGTTAAGAATATATTACAAAAATATAAAAATAATTAAAAGCGACATATAAACGGAATTCGGCTGATTTAAATTCGTTACAAGTATTTATTTGCCACCATAAAAAAACCTTTAAAATTATTGATATTCCTAGATCAAAATATATTTCCACAGTTATAAATTCTTTAAGAAACTCCACGTATTTTTTATCCACGCGTTGGTGATCAGAATCTATTCCACATGTGACTCGAATGCAAATGTTTCCCAATCACTCGCCGGACTCACATTTAAATAATTATGCAGTTCTGTTCCGATTGCACTTAACACTTTCAAGATTGAGGAGTTTTCGTAACGGTGCTCCCCAACTCATTTCCCACAACATAAATGTCATTCTCATTGTTCTCATAAAACAGAAATTATATGTAATTCATATGCACCATTCACATGGAACTCATGAAACGCTTTGGCACTTGACTGCCACTTGGTTGCCACTTGGTTGGTTGTCTCACAGCCATTTACCCATTCATACTTGGCTCCGCTCTTAGCCATCAACTAGAACATTAAGCTCAGGCGGTCATTCCAAGTAACACAAACAAATTAAGTTTTTAATTAGAACATTGCCACATTCACTGCCATCACAAGCGACGGAGACACTTGGGTTCCCAAGTCGAAGTCGGGTTTCCTAAGTTCGAGTTCACGCCGGGCCGAGTTATTAACTTGGCTTGTAGTTGGTAGTTGTCAGTTGGTAGGTGCAGGAGCAGGTTGCCAAAATGGGTCACTCCATGGATGAATAGCTAAGCCAAGTGGGTCAGCTGTCAGTGGTTGCATAAACTAATCGTCAGGTTGCCGCATTGAGATAATGCGCTCTCAAAACAAATCGATTTCCTTGCACATTTTTGTTGTATTTTTTGTTGTATTTTTAGCCAGCCCCTGAGGAAAAGCTGTCGCACCAGCATTTAAATTCGAAATTTGGGTTATTTAACGGTCTGTAAACGAGACAAACGAGTTGCATGCGTTGCAAAGGGGGGAGTGGAAAAGGGGGAAGGGGAAACGAAAGACTTAGGCGACAAACTGCGTCCAGCACTTGATTTACGCGGACCAACGCACATTAGCACTCGAGCAGAGAGATTGCGAGCTGGAGGAGACACTACACATTAACCGAGAGATTTACGAACACATCCCGCTTAAAGTCGGCTTAAAAGGCCATAACGGCTTTCGGCCAATTGCAACTTGCCTTGCACTTGTTGCCCCGTCTTCGCCGCTCGGCTCAAAGCAATAAGCCCGAAAATCGCCAGCGAGGGGAGAACTGAATACATTTTGGCTGCCATATCCTGGCAGTATCTTTCGATTTTCACCGAATTTCACTCCTTGGTTAGTATATAGCACTATATGGTATAGCATTAGCCGAACGCTCGCATCGCGCTTCGAGCGAAAAAACAACCGACAACGCAAACACCTCGCGACCAACTGAAGCTATCTTCCCGACTGCAGGTTGAGCCGACTAGTTTTTCACACACATCGAAACGAGAAGAAAAGCCACCACAGGTGACTGAGGAAAAGTGCTGCCAGAGCGGGGAGAAGTTTTCCGAGGGAGGAGCTTTGCGAGACTGAAACTGACGTATCCTTGGCTATATTGACTCGCTCAGAAACCGTTGCGCTACTATTATTTATTTCTTGAGTGCGTTGCGTGCTGGCTGAAAGACAAAAGCCAGGCCCAATGGATGAATGAAAGCCAAAAGCCAGAAAGCCAGCCAGTAAGGCAGCCAGAAAGCGAGAAACAAGGAAGGAAGGTCCAATAGCAATATCAAAAGCCAGTCGTAAAAGTATAAACAACAAAAGTGATTAACATAAAGCATAAACATGCAGTTCGCTGAAGCCCAGAGCCCTGGGCACTTTTGATGGCTTCATGTTTGCTGATGATGGTGATGGCAGTGATGGTGATGATGCCCCTTTGATGGCAATGCGACTAGCGAAAGATGCCGCAATGGAAAGCCATTGCTGGCTGGCAAGTTAGCAAGTCAGAAAAATTAGACAAAACACGGCCAAAAGCCCAGACAATATGGTGATAATCCAGTGAATCCAATATGAATCGAATGGGAACCGCTGCAGTTGCAATAAAGGCCTCTTAACGGTTCTTGCCTTTGGCCAAGTCGCAGATGCGCTGCTGCTCAAAAGAAATGAAAACAAGAAGAAAAGAACCCAGGGAGGGCTTATAGGTTGGGGAAAAATGCTAACAAGCCCGCCGCGCAGAAAGAGCCAAGGAAAACAGAGGCCGAAAGACAGCAGATAGAGGCTCAAAGACTGAGCAGCGTTTGCATTATGCGGCTTAATAGCTTTTACATAACAGCTGAGTGGAGACGAAGTCGAGGCAAGAGCGGCAACGCCGACTGACCGACAGCCCACAACAACCTACGCAAAGGTGTGCACTGAAAGAAAACTTCCGAAATATTGAAATTTAATGTTGATATGTTTTATGAAGAATATTTTTTTCGAATACTTAGTAGAACAGCGTTATAGTAAAGAAAAAAATAAACATACCAAATTTTTACAAACCATAAATATTACAAATAAAAAATATTGAAAATATTGAGGCTAAAATTATTCACTTATAATAATCGGTATGAAATAATTTAAATCTCAAAAAATGTATGTGGGCTCATTAATATGCTCAAATGTACGTTTAAGTGTTGACATACATTTTAATTTAAAAAGTTACCATTTATTTGTACATTGCAATTTTCTTGAATAACAAACTTTTTTTCAGTGAAACCATTAAAAACTAAATACTTCACAAAATGAATAAAAGTAAAAAATGTGGTAACAAAATACTCGCTTACAGTGTTTTTAAGATATATTACACCAAGGAAATTAGCCCAAAGCGATAGCAACCTATTAAATTGGTAAGCTGGTGAGCTAGTAAAAATAGGTAGGTAGTAATTTGTCGCAGTGCAGTGGTGGCAAGAGGCGCGGTGTTGAAGAGCCGAACCGATCGAGTCAGCGGCTTGGAAAATTGGCGCGTGCGAATGCTCCTGGTTTCTTGACTGCTGGCTGATGGCCGATGGCTTGTGGTTAGCCACTGCTCTTCGCTGGAAGAAGAATCAATGCTAATCAGCGAGGGCCGCTCGAGAAGTTGGCAGGTGAAAGCAGGAAAACAATGGGCAAGTCGATATGCTAATCGATCAACTCACCTGCCGCATCATATTACAAATCATTATTTAAACTCCAGATGGGGCAAGCAACAAATTGGGTATGCATCGTTGGCTAAAAAAGTGGTTTCAAAACACAACTAATTAAATTGAACATTTGCAGACAAACATTCCTTCTTCTCTGACGCAAATACCTCGCTTACATTTAATCTTTATGTAACTCTCAGTTTTTAAGCCCAAGCCAATGGCAATTAATTATCAATAATAACCATCATATGTTGCAGTTTGGTGGAAGACTTAAACGATTTCGTGTTTTTTTGACTGCAAATCTATTTCAACTTGTTTTTTGGGGACTTGCTGACTGCCACTTTCATTTCCAGTTTACGCAATGCCAATCATCGAAATCAAAATTCACGAAGAGACTGAACATCGCTGGCGAAGTGACAAAAACTTTATTGAATGGCGGAGTTTGTCACCATTAATCTTTGCATGATAATATCGAGATTGCAACGCAGACTTTGTTCAGTCCACTTGCTCTACTTTTATTGTTTAAAGTTTAAACTTAAAATGGCAACAAAGCGTGAACTCCCATGCAACATCAACAAATGGCATGTTTAACCTTATTGCAGTGTCAACGCTTTGAAATATATTTATTTTTGTTTAAAGTTATATTGCTGGCCAACGAGGGAAAGATAAAACTAATTTATGCAGCTAATAGTCAAGCGATTTCTATGGAAATGTTTACATTTTAAACTGCGCGCGCTCAAGTATCTGGGTCAACAGCTCCACCATTATTGCTTTGTCGGGTTTTGGAACTATAGTGTCGCCACCTAGCGACAGCTGTTAGTTTAAAAAATGAACGAATCTTTGAACAATAAATTTTTGGAGCCACTGTGCATAGAGTATTAATCAATACGAAACATTTTTTTTAGGGAAAAACTTATTTTAGTGACACATTTTCTGATTGTTTAAAAGATTTTTAACTTAAAGTAAAAAAATTAGTTATTGTATCATTTTTTATTAAATGTATAGCCTTTTTATTCTTGAGATTCTTAAGCATTTTAAGAGAGATTTCTACGTGAGATTTATTTGATAACGATCCACTGTTTTGTTTCAGCCAGTTTCATAATTCTCCAAGCTAAACTGCAGGATAATCACTATAAAATTCATGGCATACGAGACCAGAAAAAGCCAAAACGAGTTGTCCACTGTGAAAAGGCCTAAGATACGAAAATTTGCACTGCCAGTTGGTGAGACCAAAGGAAATGCTGTTGAAGCCATGGCCTGATAAAATATTAATAATAAGTTACCTTGTAAACAACGAATATATGTTAGATTAATTTACCTTTTCCTCAGTGAGTCCTTCAGGCACATATTCCAATTGCAAACACCTTTTTCTCAATTTCGCAGATCTCAACTGGCAAAGATGAGCTGCCAAAACCATAGCATACAGTTGGATTGCCATAATTAGGCAATTATTGGAAATGGTTAATGGAACTCCATGTTGGGATACAAAATAAGACATAAAGGCGTACATATTGGCCAGAATGTTGATGAAGCTGCCAATGACCAGCAGAAATAAACCCAACTGAAAGATTTTCACGAACCTCTGAACCAATCTTGACCACATTCGTTCCTTTTGCAAAAGTCTGGCCAGAATGGGTTCCTCCCTCTCCAGTTGATTGTAGCATTCCAGAATCAAAAGCATGCCTCCAAACAATCCATTTGCATAAACACTGGCCACATGTTGCACATAGAGCAGAACTCCAAAGGCCAAAAGTTGCGACCAAGGCAGACGACTTCCTGCTCTTCCCAAAAAGGGAACATTGCAAAGGACTTCGTAGAGCGAAAGGAGCAACTTGAGCCACAAAAACAAAGTGGACCACCAGCTGAGTTTCCTCCGGCGATGCAACCTGGCCAAACCATTCACCAAGTTGGCCAACTTCCTGCGATTCAAAAGGTTTGTTCCCATTAAAGCCAGTGAAATGCAGACATCACCCGTCATTGTGGCCAGAGCAATTATCTTAAAGATCGTTGAATGCCGGACATTTGTGGCTTCATACAAGGCGACGCTTTTCCACAAAATGAAAGGAGCCACCGAGGTGAGCAAAAGCCAGCGGAAGGCCGCAGACAGGGTGAGCCATCTTTGACATCTGGCTCCCGATGGACCACCAATTTTGAAGGGGGCCAAGGCCAAGAGCTGCCAGAACCTCAGCAGAATGCAGAGACCGCAAACGTGCGGCAATCGCGACATTTTCCGGTCAACTGACCCTACGGCAACCCAGACAACCTATATCTATATCTATCTATCTGTTTGTCAATCGCATTCGCTATCGCTGCCCCAGCGGCACTAAGCCAATTCCAATTCCAGATAAGTGCCATCGAAATGAGTGTGTGTATTTCTATCAACAAATTGCCAACATTGCGATTAAGTGAAAGAGTTTTCTACTGTTAAAGTGTCCCTCCGACTGACTGACTGACTCACAGTCCCCGTGGATTTTCAGGTCTTCGGCTTGACACGCAGATGGAAAGTTTTGGTCAGTGTGGACATGAAGTTGGGCATTTCCTTCATCTGGTTGAGGGCCTCGTTCTTCGTGTTGGACTGGTACTCGTAGGCCACCTTTCTGTTCACGGCGGTCAGCAGGCGGAGCAGCTCGGCTCCGTCTGGTTGGGAGGCCTCGTTGGAGGCCGCCTGGTCGAGCACCCGGCAGAGGCTCTGGATGAACCAGGACCCGTCGTCCACGTTCCGGAACGAGAAGAACTCTGAAAGGAAGAAGAGTCAAAATCAGGAAAAGTATAGTAACGAATAGATAGCTTTCGCAATCTGAAATTTATATATATATCTTTATGAACTTTTGTCTAAAATCTTCTATTGCAACAAAATGTGTATAAGGACAATATCAGCTGTAAGGTAAGGGTATTGTAATTACTTTTTTAATTTTTCCATTTTTATGGTTGCTCAGATTTTTATAAAATTTAATTTGTAGTTGTAAGGTTGTAAGTAGAATATCTACATATTAAAAAGTATGTAAACAAAAATAAGATATAGTTTTACGGAAGTACTTGTTTGTTCTATTGAGGGTTGCTTCGCAAAAATATGTAAGTGGTGTGTTGTTATTAACTTAAATTTAACAAACGAAGAAGGAAGGAAGCATACGAATTCAACAAAAGAATAATAATGAACATATAAAAAAAGTGCATGCACCATTTTAGAGCTTTAAGAGTATTTTAACTTTACCTATGAAGTAAAATTTTAAAGATTGTTGTATATCTATTTTCTTAAACACATTAGCTAACTACATTTATATTTTACTAATTCGGAACCTCCTTCAATTGTATATGCTTATGCGCATAAACCTTAGGCAACCCTTAATTGATTGATGTTAAAAGCTGTCCAAGGCCCACAACATTTTCGCTTCGTTGTGAAACTGTGAAGAGCAGATTACTTGTGTCAGTACTCACTATCGAAGGTGGAGTAGAAGACGAGCATGTCCGCCGTGCTGGGAATGGCATAGGTGATGGGTTGGACGGGGGCCACTGGTTCGGGGGCCAGATCCCTGGTCATCACCGCAAACGATTGGAACTCGACGGCCTTCTCCAGGTTCTCGCCACGACAGGCCTGGATGAAGAACAGTTTCGGCTTGTTTTTCAGCGTCTTGCAGTTGTCACCGAGGAAGGGGTTCCACAAACGCTCCACAGGATACGACATGTCCTTGGCATAAACTTTCCCCTCGGTTCCATGTGACATCACCGCCAACACAAAGCAATCATTCTGGCTGTGATCCTCCTTAGCAACTGAAATTATTTTGAGAAAAATTAAATATTATTTAAATACATACTTCGTTCTCTTATAAAAAAAAGGGTACTTCTTGGATTTTATTTTTAGTAAAGACCTTGAATTCACTGAATCACCTGAAATTCCCCTTACTTTTTAAGAAAGTATCAAACGTTATCTAATCCGTTTGAAAGTCAACGAACCGTTGGGATTTTGTATTTCAAACATATTTGTTGTTATTTTGCCATTTAAATTAAAAAATAAAATGTTTTCGCTTGTTTTTCCGATCGATCAGGAAAACCGATTACTGTCTTTATCTCATAATTGTTGCAGTTATTAAAGTAGTGACTTTGTTTTGATAGAGATAAGATATGGAAGCTTGAAAAATGTTAGCACTTCCAATGAACTAGAATCTGTTTAAAAATTAATTTGTTTAACAATAAATAGCAAGGTTTCTTGTAAAAAAGAGCTAAATCGTTTTAATTGGTTATATACAAAGTGGGAACTTTATAAGCAATAAATATATTTCATAACTTCTTATTTAACCAAGCAAACCGAAAATAAACTTGATTCATCCGGTAGATAAAGCGGCTTTTTAGTGATTTACGATTACTATATGTAACACCAACTTGGTGGAAACTCACCTTCTTTTAGGATGTCGTTGATTTCGGAGAATGTCAGGTCATTGTAGGTCCGAACATCGAACCCAAATCGTCGTAGAGTGTCCTCCATATCATCGCGATCCTTTTCTGTGCCCACTCGCTGTTTCTGCCCCTTGACATCCTTGTGGTTGAGGATCAGGGCGATTCCTGTCCTGGCACAGTTCTCGTATGTGTCCTCTCTCGTCGGGAGGGAGATTATGATCCGCTTGAGGTCCAGCTCCGAGGTGGGCGTCCTGGCGATCTGCGTGGCGTCCGCCTTGTCCTTCTTGTGCTTGTTCTTCTGGCCGAAGAGCGAGAAGTCGGTGTCGTCCATTTCTGACCGTCTGCGCGCTTTGGCAACCTGTGACTAAGCGCGATTAGGTGTCTTCGGCTATCAAGCCACCAAAATAAAAAGTGTAGAAAAAGCTCCCTCTCTTTTTACCGCTTATCTAATCAATGCAGGTGTCTTATCAGCCTGCTGGGGTGGAAATTCTCCCGCTCTTGGCGACATTTTTGCTTGAGGCTCTTGCCCAACGTTGATTAGCCTTCTCGGGGGAAGTTACGTTTATTGGCAGCGAAATACAATTCGCTTTACCATTGCCATTGCACCAGACAATTTGATTTCCCTGACGGGTCACGCCCACAAAAGGGGGCGCTCGTCAGGGAAATTGGCAACTTCCGGCGAAAGTGGCGCTTCTGTTGGGATCTCTTAATGTGTTTTCAATAAAATTCAGATGCGCAAAAAAGCATTAGGCGGCCAACTTTGCCACGCAATTCAAATTTTCCACGCACACAAAGTAACGGAAACCGGAAATGAGTATGGCGCCCCAAAGTTCAAGGAGTACCGTTCTTACACGTACCGCGTACAGAAAGAAAAAATGAATGGCACTTTTAAATTTATTTTAAAAACAACTAAACATAGAAAACGCTTTGTTGACCAGTCCTTCATATTCAGAAGAAATAACCTCAGCTTTATTAAAAAAGTTTTTGCAATCAAAATTTTATGAAAATATATTTTTAATAATTTTAAATGAACATTTTTTTCTCTGCACCCGAAAAGTGTACCGTAACAAAGAGAGCATTGCGTGGGCGTTGAAGAGAGCGAGTTAAGAGAGTTACAGAAACGCGTGGCATGTGGAACACATAACAACAATTGCGGCTAATTAATAAAGCTGCACCTACGACCCCTGATTGGCTGCCAATTATAATTGATATGTAATTACAATTAGCGACATCAATCTCTCTGTCATCTCAAGTGCGAAAAACCGTGGGAAGGGAGCAGGAAAGTTGTTTAGCCGGCTTTTGAGAACAATCGCACTGGGGTCCCGAAGGGGTTTGCCCACTTGAAGCTGTTGTTGCCCCTCTCCAGTGACCTGAAATACGCTCTTATCTTACGCCTTAAAAAAGGTGCAGAGAAAGGAGAGATTTATTAGGTTGGCATTCAAAAATGCACTTGCTGAATGCTCAAAATAATATGATTTATCGAGCGCACTGTTTTGGAATAACAATGCAAGGTTTCACCTGAAATTAATGTCTTATTTCGTGTAACATTAAGGTATAAGTTCTTACTGTGTGGTTTTGTGGTTTAAAATGTTTATATTTCTTCTTGATTTTAATTAAATAATTTATATAATTTAAATCATATTAAAAACTCTAAAAAACTCTCAAAATGTTGCTTTATAATTGAATGGTTAAAAAATAATTACATAATTAAGGAGCAATTATTTTAAGTACAATAAGTAACTCCCACCGGTTGATCATGTTTTTGTTGCTGTTTTCTCCGTTATCCGTGCTTATTTACCTTGCAACACCTTCTGCAACTCGTCGAACCGCAGTCAACTCAAACATAAGCCCCAACGAATTGCAACTCATGTTTGAGTTCGATGGGTGTCTCTCAATTTATGCCGGGGGACCCAGTTTCACCCATTAGATTTATATTAGGTGTATGCGAAGGAATTAAATTGATAGAATTTAAGGTAGTTAATGAAAGCTAAATATTTATACTTTACATTTAATTTCGAAAATCCCTTTCATTCAAAAGAAAGATATTTCTTTTATGGGGTCAAAATTCAGACTACGCCCATGTCTCTGGACCTTTACAGCTCGTCCGCTGGAGAGGCGTTGCATCTGAGTTTCAGGTCGAACCAGAGAGAGCCAAATGCTTTCTGCGTGCGAACAAAACCACCCGACCTTCCGATGTATTGTAGGTATTTTCAACGGCCTAACGGACCCGACGAGACTACTACCCTGCACTTATTTTACCATGCACCCAACTTTCCGATGTTCGATTCAATCTGTCTCGACGGCTCGACTCGCGCGGTCACCCGCTCCGGAAATCGGTAAATAACTGGAAATCGGGAATTTCGAACTTGCAGACGACAAATCGAAGTCGGCTCGTATCAAAAACCCAAATTAAACCAAAACAGCATCGCCAAAAGCTTTGTTTGTGTTGCCCAAAGTGGAGGTGTGTGTGCGTCGGAGATAAATTCGCAATCGGGAAAATTTCTCGTTTTTGGGGGTCGCGGGATCCTATCCTCCGGGCGTGTGTTCTTCCCCACCTCTTTGTTGTCCTTAGATAAGGACGAACGGGCGAAAAGAAAGCAGAAGGAGCATGTTTTAAGCTGTGACAACAACAACAACAACAAAAGAAAAACAACTTCAGTGTGTGTGCCAAGTGCAAGGAGTTGTAATTTATAGTTGCCGAAATTAAATTATGTTAAGTGCCCCCAATCAGTAAGAAGGTGCAGTGAAACGCGAGCGGCAAAAAACGGGATCCAGAAAGCAGGCAACAAGGAGGAATTCGATAGCAGCAAAAAGTAAGAGAAGTACTTAAGAGGTGAACCAAACAAACTGTTTGATTATTATAGTAAGCGGGGTGCATAAAATCTCATTTGGGATGTGTGCGAGTGTGTGTGTGCTTTGTATGCAAAAACGTTGACAAAAAAACAACAACAAATTAGGGTGGCTGGACCAGATGACAAAAGAAAACAAAAGGCAAACAACCAAAAGCGGTGTTTTTTGTTTGTTTTTATTTTGGAACGTTCCCAAAACCAACCCATATAGTACATAGAGGAAAAGGAGAACCCACAATGCGAAACGAAAACGAAATCAAATCAAAAGCAGAAACCCGCCGAAAGGGAGCAAAAAATCCTCAGCTAGCTTTTAGGCGAATGCCCTCGCAAAGCGCATAAAAAAATAGATTAACAGGCTAGGCAGCGCAAAAAAAAACATTGAAATTCTGACGTCGTCGCTGGCTAAGCCTCTGCAGCAAAAATAACAGCAGCATAAAAAACCAAAACAACAGCTAGGGATGCCAAAGTCGGGTCTAACGTTTATACGATACCCGGTACTGGGATTTTACACAAACTTATGGTTGTAACATAAATTACATACATAGGAGCCAAGATATTTTGTTTAACTTATTTGTGAGATTACGATACATTTTAATATCTTGAAGCTTAAGGTGAAAAACATTAATGTTACCTGTTCACCTTTTTCAATGATGGAAAGGATTGTACATAGCTAATGGGAATTTTTCTTTAATTTATTAAAAATTTATTGATGGGTAACTAATAATAATTTACCAATATTTTTAAAAGATACGTTTACGAGACCATAAAATAAATGATTCCATAAACAGTAAAGCTTCCTTTCTTTATCAGTTTAAGGTGTTAGTAACATAATATTAAACTTTGAAATCGAAAACACCTTTTAGTAATAACCTGGGGATATCGCCATAAACCAAGTCAATTTTATAGCCGACAAGAAATTGCTTGAGTAAATTTGAAGAAAGATGTGGATTCCATGTGCATATATGTATAGTTATAGATAGTTATAGGATAGTTTTCTTGTTCAATATTTAATAGTTACTTTTATTTGATTTATTATTATGGTTAATTTTCCATTATTTTTTTGATAGATACTTAAAACTGTTTAAGCATTTTTAGCTGTCGTTAGTGATAAGTTTTTCTTCATTCTATATACCTTTAAAGCCAACGTATAGTAACAACAAGTTGGCAACTGACCAACTGGCAGTGTAACCAACCGCGAAGATTTGCGCTTCACTTTTTTGCGCTGCCGCAAATGAAGTTGCAGTGGACATCTAATGAACCCGCACCTGAACAAGATGGAGACCCTTAAATTGCCGGCACACCTGAAATATTCAAGATACTTTATGGGCATGCCGCAGCTGGGCCAGAAGCATGCCACTGATGCCGCAGGCTGCCCCATCCTCCGTCTAGGTGTAAATTCTGTAGCAGAAACATTCGTTTATGAGCGGGCTAAGGTTGCGCTTTCTGCCGCCATCCCTCGACCCTTTTCATTTGGGGGACTCCCCCGGGGACCTTTCGCCCTTCCTCGGGGGTATTCTTACCCGGTTTCATGAACTTCAGCTGAGCAATTATTAAATATGCAAGCTTTTTGCCGCTTTAAGATAAGCCGGGGCGAATATTTGTGTGGGTGGTGTTCGCCTGCTCATCTTTTCGCTTGGGCCCTTTGATGTTTGGCATGGGGGTTACCTAAAAATGCGGGAGACAGGCAAACAAACATTAATTGTAACTGTAAATGGTGTGAAATGAGCGAGTGACTGAATGGATGAATGACGGAATGAGTGGATGCTTAGCAGCAGCAGCAGCATCAGCTTTTGACTGAATGAATGAATGACTCTCGAGTGGAGCTGCCAGTGGCAGTGAGTCTCTTTCAGCGCTGAAAATTGCGTTAAGTGGATGTCATCGTTGGCCGGCGACAATTTTGATGAACTCAACAAAAACACTTGACAGCGGCTCTGAAGATTTTCGGGGGGGTGGGGAGGGTTTTGGGGAGCAGTCGGGCATCGGGGAGCTGACCGAAAGGCAGGCCATGCAATAAACGAAATTATGACGCTAAATTGAACACAAAATGCCCAGTGAGACGGGGCGAGAGTGATAGTAGAGTCAAAGAATAGTCCAGGAAAGAATAGTTGGGGGCAGAAGAAGGGGTTGGCATGGGGGTTTTTCAACACAGCATCATCCACTCCGCTTCGACCCGTCCACATTAAACGCGCGAATGAACAGCAATCAGCCGAAATGGGGGATGGGATCCATCAGGAAAAGGAGGAGGAGGAGCAGGGAAAAAGGGACTGTGGGCATGGCTCTGGACCGACCGGGAATCGGACGAGCACTCGGACGGACCATAACTGGTTGTGCCCGGAGGAGGGTTCATTCAACAATAAAAGTCACGATAGACATGGCAATACGGAAATGCTATTTTCGGGAACCGCCGCTGCCTTCACACGGAATGGAATGGTCCACGTCCGCCCTGCGAGCGGAAGGTGAGAATTAAGAAATTAGCGTACACCCAGCACACCAGTTCCCGGTATCTACACATAGTACCCAGTATCCACTATCCAGTATACAGTATACTGTATCCACTAACCATTTCCCAGTTGGAGCTGCCAGATGGGAGCCGATGGAGCTGCTCGTAAATTGCCCGCCGCCGCTCACTTTAACTTAATTATATAATTTGTGAGACAGCAGTGATGGAAAAGGGAGACCAACCGACCAACGAAAAAAGGAAACATCGCAAAAAAATATGGATTCAAAAACTGAAGACTGACATACCCTGGAAATTTAAGAAATATAAAATTTTTAAGTATTTATAGAAAGCTTATTAGCTTTCCTCTGATAAAATTTTTGTATCATATTTTTTTTGTTCTTGTTAAAATACTTGTTTGCAGAGGAGCAATAGGTGAAACATTAATTAATGCTTAAACCGGTTTAAAAAGTAGTCCAGGGTTATTTTGCTGCATGTTAAATAGCTGAGGTGTAAAGTTAATGTCAATATAAGAATTTTAACATATTTCCTGTCAAAATGGGCAATCTGGTATATCTGGTTTTAGAATAGCCACAAATAAAGCCTCTGTTCGGATTTTCTGATTTTAGAAGCAGGTTGTGAACAAGACACAAAACAAGGCTTGAAAATATATCCACATAGTAGAGAGACTTCTAGCTGAAAGAGGGTATAAAAAGGCGGGTCTGGTGGGTTTTTTCAGTGCACTGAAAATTAAATGAGCTGAATGCATTTAAGCCCAAATCAGCGCAAGCCGTCGGCTTAGTGACGAGGACAAACTGTGTCTTAGTGACTCAGCAGGCATTCGGCGGCAGGACGAGGAACGCCGTCTCCGTTAATGGGCGTTGCTGCTGGAAAAAAGTAAATAATCCTTTAACCACAAAGCAATTATGCAACGCAAAGGCGACAGACGAGCGACCGGGCCAGCAAAACGGCAGCGACATCGTCGACGGAAAGGCGACATCTTGTCAGCCGGTGAAAAATTACCAACCAATGACGCCGGGATGCAGACAGAGATGAACGGGAAAAAGGGGATCCGATGGGTGGAGCTGTGGATGGTGGATGGATAGTGGAAGCCCACAGGTTGCAGCCAGCAAATTACTTAAATGCCAAGCCGAAAAGTCTGGCAAAAGCTTATGGGAAAATTTAAATTGGCGAGGGGCGAACGGCGGCAGGTTGGAAGGCTTCCCTCTGCGGTTACCTTGCACTTTTGGCCGCAACAAACCGGCGACACACACGAGGCTGGGTGACAAATGAGACAACATTTTATGGACCTCCACACGGTTTTCATTAAAACTTGTGACTTTGTTGTGAGGTGGGACTTAAATCAGGATTTATTCGAGGCGTGTCTTTAATTCACTAATATTTATTAATGATTTAAAACTCATAAGATAAATATTTTGTAGTAACAATATATCACTCTTTTTATACAGTGCCTGTTTTGGGTTTGGGGTGGCATTGGTTTCCCCTTTTGTTATATAAACTGTCCTTTTTGTCAGCACATCCGTTTGTCCAGAGCGGTCAACTTAATTCCGGGATTATTATTAATGTGTATGTCTAAAAGGGTCTTTGGGTTTGTGGTGAGATTATCTGTGCCTGATGAGTTATGGCTGTTTCGGGGCTTAAGGGATTATCCAAACATTTGTTCAAAATGCAGATTAAGAACCTGTTTTTTATATATATAAAAATGTCACTTATAATAACCAGTAACTAAAATTGAATGCTCTTATTAAAACAATCTTTATCTTAGTTTTCCCTGTGTATCTAGTAGCCAGCTAGATTTATCGACCATGCATCTAGCTTATCACATCCCATTCGCCTCCATGTTTCCTGGAGTCTCCCTGCCATTTCCCACGATGTGGGGCCACTTCCAGCTCAGGTTGCATTCTCATTGGCAACTTGCAACTGGCGACTCGTGCGCCTTTGGTGCAGAAGTTAAGCGCTTTCCTATGCCTTCAGTGCCGGATCAGAGCGCAATTGATGGCCAACTGCTCAGAGCCTTTAACCCGACTTAGCCGCAACATGACAATACCACACAGAGGAGGAAATGGGAAGAGCAAAGGCGGGGTTTTCAGCGGAGGAGGGGGAGCAGGAGCAGGAGGGGAGAGGGAACTTGGCCAGACGGAGACTGTCGAATGTCCAGCTGTGTCTGTTTACATAGCCACAGCTCTTTAGCAACTCGTCTGGCCAACGTTTTATGTTCTTTCGGTCTGGCTCTGCGCTTCAATTTTCGCCTCAGACAAGCGGAGGGAAATGCAGGAGAGGGAAATGAGGGGAAAATGGATGGAAAATGGTAGGTGGCCCTGCGGGTTTTGGTCAGCTTGTTGGACGACCTTTCAACGGGGTCGCGGATTTACATTTGTTGCTCGCCTCGGCGCCAACTCATTCATAAAAACGCACGCAAAGTCAAGCGTTGCAAGTTGAAGGTTGCCCCGCCTGTGGTTTTTCTCCCCCATCCCCCGTTTCTCCCCCCTCTTCTTCAACCACCTTGCACCCGCCGTCTGTGCTCGAGCTTTTATGCAGTTAAGTGCTTAGTTGCGTGTAACTTTACACTGTTTAACAAACTCACTCACTCGCCGCACAGTGAGTCAAAGGAGTTCCTGAAAGGAGTGTAGTGGGAGTGGAAGGGGTGGAGTGGAAGGGGTGGAGTGGAAGGGGTGGAGAGGAAGGGGTGGAGAGGAAGGGGTGGAGAGGAAGGGGTGGAGAGGAAGGGGTGAAAAGTAAGTAAAAAGGTCGGGATCACCGGTTTGCAGTAGGCGACTTTTACCGCACAGAGCTAGTGTGATTTTGTCGTGTGTGCCACCTGCAAATTTAACTAAGAGCACTGAAAAAAGTTTCCAGTGCATCAACAATATTTCTTAAAAATAAAAATTAATTATTTAATGTATTACAAGAGTATACATATATCCAATAAATGATTACTTCTTGGTTAAAGAAATCTCTTAATTCAAAACTTTTACCAACTTATATTGCTGATCATTTTCTATCAGCATAAACCGATAATAGAAATGTTTAATAATTTAAAATTGTGTTCTTTTATTTACTTTCTATATTTTTTTTTCGTTTATCTACTTAATTTTTTTATCTCTGCACAAAAGGACATTTATTAGAGTTGGTTAAGCTAACCGTTCGCCGGAGTGTGTGGGCCCCAAGTTAATTACGATTCCTCTTTAGGTTGTTAAGCACCTTGCTGCCTCAAACAAAATCAAATAAAGTGAATGATGGCCATAAAAAGGAAATACCTGGGCAACAGAATGTGTAGGAGCCGGCAGAGATGAGGTTAGAAAAATCCTGAAGTGGGCTCTCCAGAAAAAAAAGAGGTGAAGGGATGTTGGGAAGCCAAGTAAACAAAAGCAAACATTGCGTGCCAAAATTCCGGAAATTTTTAAGAGTCACAGCATGTGTAAGCTGAATTTTTACAAGCAGACACACAAACACATCCTAGACCGCACCACTACACTCTCAGTCCTCGAAGCGCCACCCCCTCCCCCTCATCCCCCTTCACCCGTCTTGCCAACCGTCTGGTTCCATTCCTTAGTGCCATGTTTCCTGTCTAAGTGCTAAATTGAAATTCCGAAATTAAGTAATTTCTCCCAAGGGCAATTTCTGCTGGAAATCTTCACCAAATATGGACACACGCCCTCTGGAATGGGCGTGGCCATCAGTGTTGCAAGGGGACGTTCGCCCGCCCATAAAGCAACAAAAGCAAATAGTAAAATAAACAATAACAACAACACGGCTTGCCAATGAGTTGCACTAATAGTTTGTGTGTAGAATCTGCCTGTTAAAGAAGAAGAAGAAGGCACATAAAAAGAAAATCCCGAAACTGTGAGAGGAGCAGCAACCGCATCTACATGAAAACAAGCTGTAAAAATTATAGGGAAATGGCAAACGACGCACACATAAGTATTTTGTTACGGACATTAAAGCTAACGCCGAGATATAGCTTGTATCCAGTGACTCGCATCGTTTAATCCTAAACTAGAGGGCCGACATAAAAGTGCAGGAATATCTTTCAAGAGCAGTTGGTTGGAGTGAACTATGAGAAATGGGCGTAGGCAGGGATCAGAGTGTTATAAAGTATTTTAATGCTGTTTTTACGAGAATCTACAAAGTTATTTATACAAGAATAAGATAGCATAAAAAGTAAAAGTTCAGGGAGAACCATAGATCACATACTAACAGTATGGTTCTGATATACTACTAGTATTATAGTAAGAACAATGAGTCCTTTTTCTCATCAAGTTGCTTCCAATCAATATGAATTTTCTTTTAGAAAATAGTCATTAACCACTACCAAATCGCTTTCAAATCCCTTCACTGCAAATTCTATTCAAAGAACATCCAATTCCACAGCCAAAAGAAAGCTTATTTCCCTTTCTTTGAGCGCAACTTTTTTTAAGGTTACTCCAGCGAATCCTTAATCAAAATCGAAGTGGCTCAACACTTTCTTTGCTTGCTGTCTTCCAAAATCGAAAGTTTGCCAATTCATTCCGTCACCAACACCCACCCGCCATCCAGCACCGCCCACATTTCCTTGCAACATTGTCGCCCTTTTCGTGGCTCAGTTTCAGTTAACTTCGAGGAAGTTCTACTACAGCTTCCTCAATATTTTTCAATTTAAATGATGGAGCAGAAAAAAGAGAGGAAACTCCGACGAGCGAAGGAAATGACGCTTCACACTTGTGAGCAAAGGGGATGGGGGTTACGGGTCCTTGTTGCCAAAAAAAAGAGTGAGGAAAACAGGGAAAAGTGGAGAAAGGGAAGTGAGGAAACTTAAACACTTCTTGCATTTTTCTCATGGCACGACAACTATTTATTGCCTCGCCCAAAAACCCAGACGAAGCTGTCGGGGATTCCCTGTTGTTGTTGGGCTCCTTGTTGCCATTGTTGTTGTTTCTGTTTACTTTTGTAGTGGCAGCAACAAAGTTCTTTGCTATGGCCAGAGGCAGGAAAAACTTACACTCGAAGGAATAAGTGTTGTAATTAGATGAACTACACAAACTTAATCTGAAATAATATTTGATGTCTTAATATACATATAATTATTCGTTGAAATTCATTTTCAAATAAAAAAATAAAATATATTCTTATCTTCTGAACGAACATTTTTCTTTGGAACTATAATTCCTGATATAGTTAAAATATTTTCGTTAAGGATAGGTTATGATTTTAACTTGGTAATTTGTTTATACAGTACCAAAACTTCCTTAAATATTTTTCTGTGACTTTTTTTCACAAGAAAAAAGAATTTTTCTTTAAGTGTATTACAAGGTTTTCTGAAGTTTCCTAGCATGATGATGATGTTGGATTTTCGGGGGTTGGTGATGGTGTTTGGCCATGGTGATGATGAAAAATGCACATGTGTTGCTAACGGCCCGATTATTTTTATTGTTTATTTACTTTGATTTGGCCCTCTTTGGTCTTTGTATTAGATGTGTGTGTGTGTGTATGTTGTTGTATGGCCGTCATGTTCATGTTTTTATTTGCCACGACCGGACTCGTGGCCATGTTCTTATTCGGGTTATTTGGGTTTGGTTTGCGCATTTGTGCGTAACGAATAAATTTAGCAAAATAAATAAGGACAATAATCCCTTTGAATGCATTGCAATTGAGCTTTTTACAGCCATTGACTGTAACCCGACCACTCACGAACTCACACATACACTGACTTACACATATACAAGCGCAGGCACACGTACGTGTGGCACTTAACTCAACATTGTTGGATGGCTTAGAAAGCTTTTGCCTCTTGGGCAAGGATTCCATTCCGTTTTTTGGTGTCCGGCTAATGCCATTCAATTCTGGCTTGATTTGCATTTCAATTCCAAATCAAATTTTTCAATTGCCAGCTGGAAGCACTAGCCCACACAAGCACACACACTCCCACACGCCTATCAATATGTGTGCTAAGTGGCCGCCCACACACTCACACACACACACTCACACAAGCTTAATTCAATTTGCAATGGAAAGTCGAACAAATTCATAGCATACTTTATAGCGCTGCTTGACCGAAGTCGAATCTCCGAACTCCCCATGTAATTGACAAAAGCTGCGCTCCATGCGCTCCTCCAAATTTGAAATCAATTTATTTTATATTGAGTTAGCTGTCCCCAGGCCCCCCGGAATAGCATTAACCTTTGGCAGCTACATTGTGTAAAATCGAAATCGATATGCCGGCGATGCTGAACTTTAAAAGGGGGGAAATTGGCCAGCCAATTGCAGTGTCAGCTCAAAACTCGGAGCCAGCGAACGAACAACGAACCTCCACTTCACACACACACTCACATGCTCTTATTTGTTAAATTAAAAGCTTCTCCACCGCCTTGCAATTGTTATTGTTGCTCGGCGAGCGGCGTCATCATCCGCATGCCCATCATCATCATCATCGGCATCCTCATCATCATCATCGCCGTCTTCATTTGCCATTATTGCCTCCGGAGCGCACAAGACTTTCAATTAGTTTTATTAGGGTGTTCCAAACATTCCATTGACTGAAAATCAAGGGGTACGGGCATCTCATTGTTGTTTTCGGCCCGATGCCGATGTTGTTCCCGCTTCTGTTTGATATTGGCCTTTTGACTTTTATGCTTTTTTTTTTTTTTTTTTTTTTGGATTTGGCGCAATTTTTGCTTTTTGTGGTTGCGGCTCCTGCGTTTTTGTCGGTGGTGCGGCCTCTTCAATGGACCGATTGTTTTTCGAGTTTTATTGGGGCTCCTCGTATTGTTGTTTTGGTTGTTAGGCGCATGATTGCGCAATGCCAACGCACCGAAAATAAGTAATATTGAAAGTATAAATAAGTGCGAGGGATTGGCTTGCGTGCGTGTTAGAATGTTTAATCAGCAATTTAGGCCGCATAATGAATCAGCAAATTGGAAAAATTTAAGTCTAAGCCTAGAAAATATAAATGACTTTTAAATTATTGTACAAGCAGAAATCATTTAACCTCTACTCATTGTTTAACTGAATCATTATTTAAAAGCTTCTATATTTTATAAGTGACGCAACTTCCACTTGTCATTTCATTTATGAATTATTTAGCAATCCTTTTAATTATTCTTGAGTAATAGTTGTAAACTTCCCGAGAACTTTGTCCGAGTGCTTCTATATTGGTCAACTTTTGTGTACTTTTAAAGCTATAATTTTTGTGTGAAACTTGTAAAAAGTTCTCAAGCTCATTTCGTTTCTCTAAAGAGCATTTCAGTTTCGTTGTCCTCCCCTTTCAGCGTTGTTCTCCATCGCTATAATTTCCACTTTATGACTTTTGTATTGCCAAACGCCCACCAATCCCCCGCTTCCCCCGCGAAATCCCCTTCTTCTGGCGGTGGCATGTGGGGCAGAGTTGAAGGCAACAAATGTTTTTGACACGACAAGTCCATGGGTCAAACGCCTTTCCCCTTCCCACTCAAGTTGCTTCCTCTCCCCACCTCCTTAGATGTTTTTTATTTGTTTCATGTTTTTGCGTTTTTCTTTTTATAATGCCTTCTTTTTTTTGTCAGTGGCTGCCACCGCTACTTGAGCTAGAAAAAAGTTTTGTGCGAAAAAAGTTTCGGCTGCCCGATTCTTGCGAGGTGCTCGGTGTTCAGAGTTCGGTGCTCAGTTCAGTTCAGTTGCCTTGGATGCGGGTCGAGCACGCCCGGCTGAACTTGGAAGCCAACTCGGTGGCGGGACATCATCCGGTCGCCGAGCCCGGCTGATTATTGAAAATGTGGCGACACCGTCGACGGTCCAGTTTGCACATAATTCATGGAAAAGAAAGAGAAACAAGAAAGGAAGCTAGCTTCGGCAAGCCGAAGCTTATATACCCTTGCAGTTACTAAATATGTCGAAAAAAATACATAAAAGCTAAAGAGCAACGAAGCTATGACGATTTTTCTATTAATTTTCCATATTGTTCATATGACAGCTATATGATATAGTCGTCTGATTTTAATGAAATTTAATTTGTAACTCAAGACTCATTAGAAAACTCTATATTCCAAAAATCATTATTGCCTGATGGAAAACAACGAGGTTATAATTATATTTCCGTTATTTCTATATAGATTTTTCTTTCCAATGGCAGCTATATGATATAGTTGTCCGATTTTTATGAAATTTTTTTCTCAACTTAAGAGTTTTTAAAAAACTTTATGTTCCAAAAATCATGCTCGTGGCATGAAAAACAACGACATTATAATTTTTTTCCATTATTTATATATATATATTTTGATCTCTCCTATGGCAGCTATATGATAGAGTTATCCGATTTTGATAAAATTTAATCCGAAATTCAAAAGCAGTTAGAAAACGCCATCTGGAAGGAATCAAGTCGATCTGATCAAAAACAACGGTGTAAAATTTTTTTATTTCATTCTCTTGTATGGGAGCTATCCGATATAGTCGCCCGATCCGGCTCGTTCCGACATATATACTGCGTGCAACAACTACACAACTTTTGGGAAAGTTTCAGCGAGATAGCTTTAAAACTGAGAGACTAGTTTACATAGAAACAGACAGACGGACAGACGGACCGACGGACAGACGGACAGACGGACAGACGGACCGACGGACAGACGGACAGACGTACATACATATTTCGATTCAGATGGTGATGCTGATCAAGAATATATATACTTTATGGGGTCTGAGGTGTCTCCTTCACTGCGTTGCAAACTTCTGACTGAAATTATAATACCCTTTGCTCTGCAAGGGTATAAAAAATGGAACCCCTTCCTTCTTTCGTTTTCCCCCAACGAAAAGTTTCGGCGTAACTTTATTTTTCACTTTTCTTCTCATTCTGTGTCGTTGCAGTTGAAAAGTGAACGCAGAGCTAAATAAGTTGCAATGTGAAGAGCCCCCTGAAAGGACAAGTGCGAACCGAGGAACAGGACTTGTCAACGACTGGCAGGAGCAGCTGCCACAGCGGCGATTGACAGGACAAAAACAAAGGGCCAGAGGACTTCCCCGCTCGAGTGGCACGAACACGAGCAGCAAAAGTTTAGCGTTGTTTTTCCGTTCCATGGCCCCCGGAAAACTGCAGCAACGGGGCGCAATGTGCTGGCCAACAACTACCGCAGTCGAAGAATAGAAAATCACTCGAAGGCCTTGCCAAAAAAATAGTAAAAAAAACTAAAGACAAGTAAAGCCAAAAAAAAAAAAGAAAGGGAAGGTGGTGGAGAAACGAGGCAAACGTTGCGGTGCAGCATATGTGCTTTCGCTGTGCTTTTTCTGTGATGCCACAAGGACACAAGGACACTTCAAGTGACAGCAACATACGCGAGTTTTTCGTTCGTGGAGAGCCTTTCATCTAAGACGCAGCAGCAGCAGCAGCATGCGCAAGCACAAAGCGCCGCCCAGCGGCAGTCCAAGGACAATGCCCCAGGACATTTCACAATCGGATGGGGAGAACCCCACAGCAGAAGCAACGGTGGAAGCCCCACTGCAAAGTCTGTTGTTGGGCCACAATTCAGCGGATTCCTCCGCAGCAGCAGCAGCAACAACAGCAGCAACAACAGCAGCAGCAACAGCTAGTCGCCTGGCCCCGCCCCCCTGTCAGCCCCCCATTATCAACAGCAACAACAACAAGGAGCGGAATCGCCCCACAGTCCGGTTCATATCCTTGCTGCACGTGGCCAGCTACGTGTTGTGCCTCTGCGCCTTCAGCTTCGCCCTTTACGGCAACGTGCGGCAAACGCGGCTGGAGCAGCGGATGCAACGCCTCCAGCAACTGGACGCCCGCATCGTGGAGCTGGAACTGCGACTCGAGCAGCAGCAGCTGCTCCACTGGCCCGCCGATCAGACACAGATCCTGGCCAGCAATCCCAGCGACGTGGCCAGTGGCAGCAACACTAACAACAACAATAACAACAGTCAACACTTGGCGCTGCACGTCCGGCGGGAGTTGCACCGCCTGCGTCGCGATGTCTCGCACCTTCAGCTCACGAGGCGCCAGCAGCGGCGGCAGGCGGCAGAGGTGGCGGCAGCGGCCAGCGGAGAGGGGGGATCCGGCGGCGGTCAGTGCCAGTGTCAAGCAGGTGAGTTCAATAAAACTCGTTTATAGTATATCTTTAAATAGAAAATATAATATATATATATATTATCTATATCTATAAATAGTAGTATATCTTTAAATACATAGTTATATAATGCCAAATAGTGGAATTTAAAATCGATGTACCTACTTATCAAATCTGATTGATTTTTAAAATTTTTATAGCTTCAATAATAACATTTTGGAAATTTTTCCGAATGCTTTTAAAACTTTTTATATTTTTCTAAGAAAATTGTTTTAAAAGAATTTTTAAATTCAATAAATGAATAAATATTTTGGAATAATTGTGTTCTGGTTAACAGTTACAGTATTTTTGGAACTGATAATGTAAATATCAACTTTAATTTGGCTCAAAGCTGTTGAAACACGTAAACGAAGTTATTTCTTGGAAATTATAATGCAAATAATAACTTTAATTTGATTTAAAAAGGGTTTAAGCTTTGTTGTTATTTCAAAAAATATGCCACAAGCAATAAATGCAAGCATCGTTTTGTTTTTTTGACCAGATAAATATTAACCAATGTTTTCTCAACAAATATAATAAATTATATTATATTAAATTAGCCTACTAATTGGTAATTAATTACAGACTGCTAATGCTTGGGGCTACTTTGCAATTAAACTGTTGTGAATGTTTGACGTCAATTTCAATTGAAAATGTCAATTCCCTCTGCGAAGGTAATGTTTGGTTGACCGCAGCTTAATTCCTTTAAGCATTTACCGAAACCGGAAATGTTTTCCCCTTTAATAAGGGAACGCCACACCGCCGACAAACGTGTTCCTTTGCCTCATTTCGGGATATCTTGTCAATTTGACAGCCACAATGTTGGCCATGAACCGCCTACATTTGCGGTCATCGCCCAATTGGTCAGAAATGTCAGACCCAGCCACACACACGCACACTTACGCACTACTGCACCCACACAAGCGTAAGTCAACAAGTCGTTGGGGCCAGTGTGTGTGTGTGTCTGTGTGAGCCCTATTGTGTTCGTTTGCGTTGCGTGTGGGCCACGAAATTTAATTATTTGCGTCCCGGACCAAATTTATGGCAGTTTAGAGATTTCATTAATTGGAAAAGTGTTTTCCCAGCCGCCCGAACACGAAAGCATATAATGTAGGTGGGGAAAGCATTAACCACGCCCTCCTTGAGTTTTTCGCAATTTTTCTGCGTTGGTTTTTCCCCACATTTTTCCTCTTTGGTTGTCTGTCTCTGGTGACATTACCGAAACTTTGATTACTCGGGGATTAGCAGAGCACTTCCCTGGCACACACACACACACACATACCTAGCAGACACACACACACACACTTGCATAAATAAGCAGTGGGAATGTGGGAGTGGTGGGACTCGTGCTGCCAGTTTGCCTTGTGGTTTGCATAAATTTCGCTTAAAATACTTTTTGAAAACTTTTGCGACACTCACGCGGCTGCACAAACTCGCTCTTTCTCTTTCCCTCTCTTTTGCCCCTGACCTTTTGCCACTTGGAGGTGGGAGTTTGTGCCACAATTTGCTTCTGCCGACTGGCTGCTCTGGTCGTATTAACGCAATTTGTCTTGACATTCGCACAATTAACTCACCCGCTAAGCTGCCGGACAAACTTTGTGGCTAATCCCGTCGATCCAGATTCACATTCCCATTTTCCATTTCCTATTTTCCATTTGCCAGTTTCGCATGCATTGAGCATATGACGCATACGCAACGTGGGCCAGGCCAAAAGAAGCAAGGACAGTAAACGCTCGTCGCAATTATTTAACAACTTTGCCAATTCCAGCGAGGGAAGCTGAGGCTCCAGTCTGGGAGATAGGACACAAAGTTTTATAATCGATGCGCTGGCAGGTCGAAAGTTTTGCCCGCCTGGCAACGGTCGAAGTTTCTTTTCAAAGTCACTGCATATAAATAAATTTCTGCCGCTCAAAGAGAGATTCCTCATCCTCCTCTGTTTTTTTGTTGTTGTTGTACCCGAAGGATCCTTGATAAGCGCGTGCCAAGCGCCGGGACACAGTCTTTTCACAACTTTAAGCCCCGCACAATAAATCAAAGCTGCTGCGGGGGCGGCACAAGGACTTGTCACTTGCTTATCTGCGGCGTAGACGATGCGGCAAAGTCATCATCGGTTGAGCCAAGTTCTCTTTCCCCGCTGCATGCTACATACCATACTATATATGCAGGCTTGTTCTGCCGATTTCTCCGCCCCCATCCCCTCGGATAGCAATCTCCCATTCAGGATCTCTCTCTTTCTGTCGATTGCCTGAGAAGTTCACGTCAAGGACATTGCAGTTGCTGGCAAAAAGGATAAGCCAGGGCCTGCCGCATTCCGATTAAGTCGATTAGTTTTGGGTTTTATCGACGTTTTCCCCCAGCTTTGCTTGGAAAATTGATAAAATTAGTGCGACAGCAGTTGGCAGTAGAGTGCCATCGCATTGGAGGCAGCATTAAAAGCAATCCCACATTTTGGTAAGCGAAACGAAAGTTGTCGAACAGTGGAACGAGGCACTTTTTAAAATGTTTCAAAGGGGATTTTATAAGTGGATTGCGAAGCTTTGAGAACGCTAGATAAACAAATATTGCCAGCGTGCTTTAAAATTCAATAAATAATTTAAATGTTAAAGATCAAATAATTTTTGTAGGAATACTAATCTGCTTTATTTTGTTTGCTTTAATTGTCAGTTATAAATGTAGCAGCTTAAATTGGATTGGCATAGAAAACACGAATTTAAATAAATTAGCGGGGATTATTTAAACTCGTGTTAACCCTTTAACACTATGAATATGAATTAAAGTTAATTTCCCGCCGCAGTCCCCTTTAAAGAGCTAATTCAATTGATTAACCGGACAGAGTTGGCATAAATTAAATGTATTCCTCGGAGGGGAAAGAGATTTCCCTGTGGGAAATGCAGCGTGGCCGGCTTAAAGTTGCCTGCTTTGCACATTTCATTTTTTATGAGCATACTAAATTTGAGCATTGAAAATTTACGAGGGTCCCAGGGTGCAACCACAAACACACAGGGACATGGCTGGCTGGGCTTGTCAAACTGCAAATGACATTTGGCCACTTCTCATTCACTCGCATTCTTGGCTGGCGTTCTCCACTCCTAAAATTTGCCATTGCATCCTGTCAGGAGGGAAAGGGGATTGGGAATGGGAATGAGATGGGATCTCCGGGCACTCAGGTTCCACGGGTTAAGGGTTGAAGCATCGGAGAGTTTAGGTAACGATACACGGGTCCACTCCGTCCGGTTCTGTCTGCCGACTGGCTGCCACTCGGTTGTCCAGCTGAAAACCCTCAATTTATCATAGCCGAGCGCAAAATCCACTTTACCAGCTGCCCCAGCGACATCGTTGGCTGCGTGTGACATTTTGCAAAGCCAAAATATGTAGAACATGCCACAGAGACACATCCAGATGGAAGGATTTCAAAACGTAGCAGAGCTACGAACAGAAAGAGTCGCTAACACGTAGCCACTCACTCAAAACGGGAGAATGTACTATGTGTTGGAGCAGTTAGGAAAATGGCATATGAACTATGGAAATTCCCAATTAGGTTTTAATGCGTACAAGTGCTTTTTATTCACTGCAATTTCTCACTGGCAAACCAGACTGCCACAAAGGGCGGCGGCATATGGGTATGGGTATGGGTATGGGTTTTGGTTCAGCATCAGCATCTTCTCCTGGAATTCCACTCACGATTCGGGGTAGCAACTCGGAGGCAACATCCCCTGTGTGTCTGTTGCGTTTATTTGCCAGTCATAAATTTCAATCACGTTGCCCGGGTATAACGCCGAGTGGATATACTCCATATATCAGCTATGCTCTCCTGATTCTCGGATTCCCTTCTCTGCATATGCCGTTAGGTTGCTAGCACCTGCCAACCCCTCGTCGCCCCCATTTTTTTTTTTTTGGCTGTCAGTGCACAGCAAAAAAAGGAGATATTAAATGATAAATCACGCCTTTTCGAGCCACAAAAAAGTGTCTTGTTGCGAATATGAATTGTTTGTTAAAATGTCCAGACGAAGGGTTGTTAAATGATTTGTGTTTAATATAGTAAATGTTTGGAAAAACCACATGGAAAATACGTTCTAAAGAACTGACATACGCAAAATAAAAAATCCAGTAGTGAGATGTGCAAACAAAACATCGTTAGTTTAAACACATCAATCTTTATTTGGAATTGAAAAATAAAATTAAATTGTCAACCACTAAAAAAGACCCCATACAAACTTTACACATAACAAACTGAAATGAACAAAATAAAATGTTTTCTATAAGTAAAGTTAATAATAAAGTCTTAGTTCTAGTTGTAAAAATGTAATTTATACAGATTGATATACCAAGCATTAGTATTTCTGCACCCGTTCAATATTTTTTATTTATGGCCACTGAAATCCTTTTTATGATGGGCCATTAAATTTGTTATGCAGCCAAGGAGTATCAGGTTTTTTTTCGTGCACATTTGCTTGTGGTTGTTTAGGGCGTGTCGAGGTGGCCGAGTGACAAAACCACCCATTGCCTGGTCCTTCGAGCGTGCCCACAGAGGCTTGTGTGGTTTTGGGACCACACCAAACCAGACTGGAGTAGACGGGAGCAGACTGAGCCACCGGACCACACCTCGACTGGGTTTCGACCAGTATCGATTGTCGCTGCACATCCAATTGATTTCCTTCGTTTTCGTTTTCAATTTGCCAGGAAAAAGGGACATTTTTGTTTATGCCTCCTTCGTCGAACTGCCGCTCGTTAGTTTGTGTGTTTTTGTATTGGCTTTGTTTGTTGCTTCTCCACCACCGGCAAGTTGGCTAACTAGCGAGCTGGCCAACTGGCAACCTGGCTACCCGGCCAACCTGCCCAGCGTGGATAGCAATTTGTGACTTTGCGTGACTTTTGGCTTAACCGTGCTGGCCACCACCACGCCTTGATTGCCATTTAAATGCTGCGCTAATAGGCCAATAAACCATTTCGCTGCACAAAAGATATCAGCACAACAGCAA